GGGGGGGGGGGGGGGGGGGGAGTTACATCTCTATCGTTAAACAACCAATTGTAAAAGTTAGGCATTAATATATAAATACTCCCTTTCTATTAACTCTTCGTCATATTTTATCTTTTTAGATTATAATTTGATATTGATGACAAAAGTTTCAAATGAAAACTATTTTGACACTGTTTTAAAATAATCTATTTGTTGTCAATCAAAAAAAAGTTGGTGGGGAAAAAATTTCTCCTTGTATTTCTTGAACATTTACTAAGGAAACACATGTTGCATGAATATTGAATAAAGCAAGATTTAACACATGTTAAATTAGCTGGTAATGTTACATCTTCTATACGCAACATCCCCCCTACTGAACTTCGGACCTATTAACTTTCCGACCTACTGTAAAGTCGGAGCGACGCGGCTAGGACAGGCTAGGGGACCGGGCGCTGCGGCCACAAGTCCACATAGCACCTGTAAAACCATGTGCTAGTAGGTCGGATGTGTATGTATAGCGGATTTGTCGTAGGTCAGAAGTGACGTATAGCGGATTTGCGTAGGTCGAAAAATACACCACGGTTTAATTTTATTAGTTTTCTAACTTCGACTGGGGTGCTCAATGGTGTAAGGATGTACTTTTTCCATACATTTGCTCCCTTGAGACTGAACTACATACTGCTGGTGTAAATTTGAACCACCTATTCAAAGTAAAATAAAAAATTTAACTAGTTTTGGTAATTCAAATTCGGTCCTTGGCTCCCCAATATATTTTCGTATGGGAGGGGGCCGGGTGGCGTGACATTTTTTTGATGAATGATATATTGGATCATTGATTTATTAAAGCTGTTTTTAAGATAAAAATAATTTAAAATATTTAAAAAAATTACATGTAGGTCTAAGGCTACAACGGTCCTAATTGATCAGCTGTTCAGCTCGAAACCCCCCCCCCCCCCTTCTCTTACTTAAATTTCTTTTCCAATATCTATCCTTTGTTACTAGGGGGGAAGGTATATTAAAGATCGTGCATCAGAATTTAGATATTTGATTCATCCTAGCATTCAATCCCGTGATTGACCTTAATCTTAAATACTTAAATATTTGAAAGGGAAGATTTGATTTTAAAATGGTTAGGGGTACAGATTTTCTTTATCAATTACTCCGATTGATTTTTTGGGGTTTATTCTGCATTTAGAAAAGTTTATAATTTGTGGGAAACAAATATGTCTTTTGAAATTTAATTTTACATTTTTTCCAGGGTTTTAAAATCATTTTCTACTCTAGCAAAGAACAATCGTGGTTCATGAATTAATTAAAGATGTCGTGAATTTAAATATTTATTTATTCCCCCCTCCCTATTATAAGTTTCGCATACAAACTTTCTTCGCTCAAGAAACTTTGAAGAATTTCTGCAGTTGGACTTATTCTGAAAATAAAATGAATCATGAAAGACCAAGACTTTGGTTTGGCAAGCTTTTTGTTATTGGCTAAACAAAAATTTACAAAAGCATTAAATAGTTCTTAATATTTTAAAGTAAATCCAGTTGCTAATACCAAGCTTTCGATCGAGCTGTTGTGTAGTATGTATTTCGCACTAGTGGGAACAATTTTTCGCTTAAAACGACTGTTTGATTGATCTTTCTTTTCTTCTAGGATTCTGTGAAGGGAGAATCCGGAAAGGATTTCTTGCTCTCTGATAAATACGGATTCCTGCATTCCTGCCCAACCAATCTTGGAACAGGTAATATAGATTCCTGCCTAACTAATCTTGGAACAGGTAATATAGATTCCTGCCTAACTGATCTTGGAACAGGTAATATAGATTCCTGCCTAACTAATCTTGGAAAAGGTTATATAGATTACTGCCTAACTAATATAATTTGTGCCTAGGATCGATTTAATTTTGATTAATATCGGGATCCGGCCTTGATCCGTACTGGAAAAAATGGATCCGAATCTAAGTTATTTCCATAAAATTAACTGAACTTTTTTAACAAAATAGAATTTTCAAATTTTTTGTCTTTATTTTTTTCGCTTGTTTTTATCCTAAAACTTGATAAGCCATTTAGAAATGAGGAAATTTTTATAATCTCTCTTTTTTCAATAGTTTAGATTTGGGGGGTTGAGAGTGAACATATTTTTGAAGTTTTTTGTTGGTATGTTGCCCCTTGGATCCGGATCCATGGATCCGCATATTTTTGCGGATCTGAAGCCAGATCTAGGAAGCCAAAACCTTGCGGATCCAATTTTTTTTCGACGCATTTGTACATAGTTGATACTTAAAATATTTTTGTTGTTTTATATACAATGCACTTAAAACGACTATTTTTTTATCCGCTAGGTGTCTCTGCCACAATGAACCATGTTGAAACATCGAGCCCAGAGACACCTATCGGCCAACTAATCATCGTTTAAATTGCATCATTTATACATCAAATAAAGAGTATTTTAAAATATCAACTAAATACGCATGTGTCGAAATAAAATCGATGACTCCCTGTAAAGAGTAACCAACCATTAATATCTTTACCCAGCAATGCTTTGATTAAGATTGAATGAGATATATTTTCTATTTTAGTTTCTCCAGAAAGTGACTTGTAGATTTTTACTCGGGAACGATGGATTGTTAATTTTATCAATTAAGGCTCGAAACCCGATTGATAAGATGAAGGGGTAATGGGTACCAAGGTTATAATGCAAGGGAAGTTTATTGTGGTCGCGTATACTCTGCGTACATATTGAAACTAGTTCTCTCTGGGCGGACTTAAACTAGGATAGATGCATCAATTCGTTCAGTATCCGAGGAGGTTAAAAGAATTTAATTTTGATAATTTTGAAAATTCACATAATAGTTTCCTATGACCAGAATATTTCGTACATTATTTTTGTGAAAATGGATTCCATGTCAGGCTGTGATATCCGTCTTGTGTTTACTTTTCCGTCCAAAGACAGTACACTGTAGTGCAAAAAATGCGTACACCTCTGAAATAATTTTCCTTGTATTAGTACCTTCATGGGTACTAAATGGTAATCGGACATTCCCCTCGTTTCATGGTGGGATCTTTAAGTTACCAAGACTGGCCCTTTAAAAGGAGTTTTTTGGAAAACCGAAAGGATGAGGGTCGGAAGCGCTCCACGAAATTAANCCCCTACAAGTCTAAGGACCATCTTTATTTTTTTTTGTATTTAGGTATGAGAGCCAGCGTACATGTCGACCTCCCTGGATGGACCAAGGAGGGATTACCAGCTCTTAAGGTAATAATATTCGGCTTTATTTTTAATACAGAATTAATATTTCTCAATTTTTTATAATTTATACCGTGGACTTTTGTTATTTCGTTGTTAATGAGATGTATGGTTCTTTTCGTGCTTTATTTGTTTTAAAATTCCTTATCCTTGATGTGTTTTATAGGCTTTATAGGCTTAAACGATTGTTCATTAATTATTTCATCTTAACTTCAAACACTTCTTTAATGTTATGTACTTGCGATGAAATCCTATCATGATTTTTTGCGTTAATGCTTATCATTTCAACATAATTTTATATTTTTATTATTTTGTTAAATCGCTAACCTTCAATTTTAAATAGCTTCTCATTAATAGATTAAAAATTTAAGTTCTTCAATTTGAACCTTTTTTGTAACTTTTGTATTGTTCTTGAAATATGTGAATTGTACTTGAAATATCTGTAATATTCTCCATCTTTAAAATGTACAGTTAACTTCATACTTGTTTAATATCTGTAGATACAGGCCATGGTAGTTGGGGCTTCACGGCTTCGGCTACTGCCACTCGGGCGTAACAGTATCATTGCACATGTCATGCTAATTCTGTGATCCATGCACCCCGGAAGGGAACACTGGGTTGCCGAGAGCGGTGGTTACCTAGTAACACGTGTGTCACTGGGGAGTCATAATAGATGTTTTACTTTTATTTCTATATACTATTATTTCTTAATACAGTACGTGCTGAGCCGGTAACCTTAATTCTGACTCTCTAATCCGTAATTCCAAAGTTTGCACTTTTAATTTCTACCTTAATCCACTTTTTTGGATATATCGCAGAAAAATCAAAAACCGGGTTTTCAATATTAAGGAGACTCTACCGTTTCTGTAAAGTATCTTAAATGGCGCGTAAAATTTCAAATTTCCCGGCTTCAGAAACTTGACTATGATTGGTTGAATTTTATACACTTTTCAGGATACAAGTACAAGATTAGGTTAGTCCTGAGATTATGAAAAAGATAGGATCCGCCATTCTTAAGTTTCCAGCTCTTCCCCTTTAATGAATATACTGAAATTTGTGTACTATCCTACAGTAATTATTTACTGAACTACTGTCTACTCGGCTGGCTAGATGTAAGGAGCTGTACTTCAATGAATGTTTTGTGAGCCTAGTATACTGTACTGTTTATCTGTGAACTCTTTCTGCCCAGAAACTTATTTACTTCTCTAGTACACTTGCCTGTAAAATGTAATTAGATGTATGTACTGTGCAGGCTAGATGTGAAGAGCTCCAGGTACAGCCTAGAGGAACCAGAGGAGAATCTGGCGGTCAAACAGGTACAGACAGCTTGAATTTTGTCATTGCATTTTTGTTAACAATTTCGTTATTTCACTTTAAATAACTTAGCAATGGCATTTCTGTAAGTAATTGGTTGATATAGTAATACTCGAAAATGAAATGTCGTCACAATTTTGGTGTTGGTGTGCCAGACAGTAGTGTTACCATATGGGGAATGAAAGTTACTAACATTATTGATTTATTTAGGGGTTCGGTTTTTTGTACAAATTGATTGCCGAAAATTCTCAAATTTGTTAACCCCAATATCTTTGCTACCTGATGTTGTAAATCTTTGATATTTTAAGATATTATTTTAAGATATTTCGAATCTAAGTTTTACGACATTGGGTTGCAAAGATATAGGAATAGAAATTAGAATTTGTGGAGTCACTATACGATTTAAAATAAGCTGTTAAAGCAATAAATATAACTTTATATGATGGACTAATCATACATAATTTAGAATACTCGCACTAGTTTTGTTTTGATGATATTTAATTAATGACATATAATATTAATTTTATTTTATCTAGGAGTGACCTACGACATCTCCAATAAGCATCGTCTCGGCTACAGTGAGGTGGAGCTGGTCCAGAAGATGATTGATGGAGTCAACACCCTCTGGAAGGAGGACAAAGCCCTCCAGGCCAAGCACGGCCTCTAAACGGCCACTCTGCCGTCCTCCGGGGAGTTTGGAACCTCGAGGATTAATACTAAGCGATCCCGTAGTCAGCACGTAGTTTTATTCACTATTTATGTGGTTTATGTAAACTAATGGTTTTATTATTTACAGTTAATATGCTTTATTCTTGCGACATTGATTGATCAATGTCAACAATGCTTTTAACCCAGCTTTAACAATTGGCTACCAAAGATCTAAAATATGTTAATCAAATTAGTCTTCTCGAGTGTAGAATTTAACAAAAATATGGAATGATTTGGTTGTGATTTCTTGATTGAAAATAGAATTTAATCTTCCATTGTAAGTTATTTTCTCCCTCTACCGGTGTTAATATTAAACATTGTGATTTAGATTCGCACTTGCATTTACTCGATCTCTAGTTATCTAATGAAATATACACTCCGTATAAACAACTACTAATATTCCAGAGTGGAGAATGTGGTGGGGTGGAGGTGGGGCATCGCCCCCCGATTCAGAGGGTACAAACTCTCAGCTAGATATTGAGGGTACAAGCCCTATACCAATAAGGTTAAATCAGGATAAAGAAAAGTTTTATAAGTTGTCATACAAGTTTTTCGTCAGAGATATGAGAGGATAGTTATTAAGCCTGGTGGAGAATAATAACGTTTAATTGTTAAGTTTTATAAGAAAAAAAATACTTGAAAGATATGAAACTCCATAAGAAATATATTTATGAAGAAGTGAGAAAATGAAAGTTTAGATAAACTTTTTTGTTTCTTTTATCGGTCAATTTAACGAGATGGATTGGGTTGTTATGTGATAAAAGTGATTTAATCTGAAAGCAAAAAATTTTTAAGATCAAAATTATTAACCTGATAACGAAAGAGTGATTTTCATGCATGTAATTCATAAAGCCATACCTCTCTTAAAATTGAAGATCAGTCAATTTGTTTTGAGAACATTTTTTCATTTTATAAGATCAATCAATGATGTGGAATTTTATTAAATTTTGCGTTATTTACGTAAAATCGCTCCTATTTTCTTTATCCTGCAACTTTGCGCAGAGGTAGGCGGTCTGAGGATGGGAATGTATCCTCCAGTTCCTTGAGTTCCAGCTACGGGAGTCCGTCCTCCGACCTTAGGGACCTTAGGAACATGAGGAACCAGTTTGAGGATCAGGTACAGAGAGGGAGGGGGGAGAAATCGATTAATTTTTAGCTTGCTGGGACATTTCTTTTATCCAAGATGCTTTGTATTTTTGGGTGGAGATTAAATTATTTTTAAGGATTTTATTTGCTGATTTTAGGAAATTAAATAATTGTGTTAATGGGTAAAAAGTGCCAAAGAGGTTGACAGAGCTTTCATTTTTTCATTTTTTGCCTGGTGGAGCATCGAAAATCAGTTAGACCTGAATTCAGGGAATAAAATCCCTAAATCAAAGAGACTTGATCTCCCCTATTTCTTTCTAAAGCTTCCTATAAATAGTCCAAAATTCAAGCCACAATTAATATTGAACTTTAAGAAAATCAAAAGAGAAATTCGTAACTAAAAGAATGTCTTAATTTTACCTTACATTTATTATTTAACAGGAAGAATTGCTGGGACAGATAAAAGCAGCGTTGCAGACCACAGCAAATAAAAATAAAAGCCAAGAAAAGGAGGTAAAAAAAATTAAAGGATAGAAAGATAAAATAAAAATGAAAATGGCTGTAGAGGGTAGACGTAACATAAATTAACATATAAAGGGAACTATGCCTGATTCACAACGATACCCAGTAATCATTTTTCTAATGAAAAATAAAAATAGTCTAGTTTTTATTTTAAAGTTTATAGTTTCATACGTTTCTCTTAGAGCGACTTATAGATTATTTGCAGCAGAGAAAAAGAACGTATTTTACAGATATTTCAATTTTAAAATGAAATAAAAGTATCAAATCTTCCCCATTTTTGCTGAGATAAAGATCTAAAAGGTACCTGTAAGAAATTCCAGAGCCCTCGATTTAAAAACTTCGGGTCGAGCCGTAATTCCTTAAACCCGACTTGAAGACCCAGCTCTGACGACAGCTTGTGTCACGTAATTGGCAGCTGCAAGATCTTCGTCTCGACTTCATTAAATACATAAATTCTAATTAATTAGCCCTCTAATGTGAAGACAATTAAATGAACAAATTTGATTAGTTGGGAGAAGTAGTTGAACTATCTAGACTAAGTTGAACCTGAAGAAGTGGTTCAGCTTAGACTGCATAGTTCAATTACTTTTCGCTGAATTTTAAAACTTTCTTTACTTACTTTAGACCATTGCACTGGTTTTATTTCCTCTGGAAAACGCCTGATATTGTAGCTTATTTCATTTCCTCCGTTGCCCGTGGAATTAAAAAAACGAATTTTGAAGAGAAAGTTCGGTCCAGCCGTTTGGCCAGCTACGTCTAACATCAAAACTAATGCAATTAGCTTATCTATATAAAAAAGCTCTTCTCTTATATATAAATATATATATAGATAGATAAGCTAAATGCATTAGTTTTCAATGTTTCCTAGGAAATGTTAGTCGACTCTTGAATGTTTCCTAGGACTATTTTAGTCGATTCTTGAATGTTTAGGACTATGTTAGTCGACTCTTGAATGTTTCTAGGACTATGTTAGTCGACTCGCTCAAATGCGACAGAAAGGAAAAGCTGGAGACAAAAGAAAAGTTTCGACTCCAATTAAAACTGAACCTGATAGTCCACCTGGTAGGAATTTTTCTTTCTAAAGAACGAAAAGTTAAACCTTAATTTCGTAATGCATATTCATTAAATTTGACATTGAAATAATCATTTTGCTTTTAAAGACCTTGTAAGCTATAAAAATTAAATCTCAAGCATTCTTTAGTTTTAAACTTTTCGTGAATGGTGATAGCTATAATTAGAACCTTTTATTAGATGTTGATTGTTAATACCATCTAAAATCTAACGAAAGGTTTTTGTTCTTAAACTTTAAAAAATATATTTTTAAAGGTGGGGATAGGCATAAACATTAATGGATTTCACCGTTAGCGGAAAGTTGCCCGGGCCTATTTTTACTGTGTTTCAATGCAGTGTACATTGTACAACTCGTTTATGCAGGACACGTTTATATAAATTTATCCTGTACAGTCACACTAGTGAAAATGGACCATCAGGTTTCAAGTCAAAACACCTAAAGTTTTTCTCTTGTATAAATCTATATGCAGTTTACTTAGTTTTAATCTCAATTTTCAGAAAATGCCACCTAAGGGATTTTGAGCGAATCAATTTTAAGAAATTGTAGAAATCAAGTGCATTCACAGGTCTAAAATCAAACGAAAATTTCGTTTAAGACTCATCTGCTTCTTCTGGTTTTTTTTGACGATATTTTAACAGTATATGGCATGGTCTCCAATTTGTTTATTTTCTTTAACAGTCATAAAAATTATCTTAGCAAAAAGTCAAACCCCCTAAGTCAACTGCATGACTGTCTAAAGTCTAAGTCTTTTTGGATGCAATTTTTTACTGATTTTACTGCAAAAATACTTTTTTAGACAGTAATTAGGCAATTATACAGTTCACATTCAGGCTTTGATGTTTTGCTTAGACAAGTCTTATGACTTTTAAACAAAATTTACAAAATTTGGGAATCCTGCCATTCACGGTTCTAAAATATCAAAAAAAAAACCTTGAATCTACAGTTACGTTTGAGTTTAGACCTGAAAATGAACAATTGCGAAAATATCTCAGGAAATTGCACATTAATATATTCCAAAGAAAAAATGTAGGTGTTATGACTTGAAACCTGACGATGTGAATACAGTGGACATCTACTAGCATAATATCTTCTGAATATTATTTTAATTATGTTATTTGTTCTGTACTGTGGATATGTAGGGGGAGGAAAGAAGACGAGAGGGACTAAGATGCAGGTCCTAAGAAAGCAGCTGGAAGAAACAAGGGCCCGTCAGGTCAGTCCTACGTTAATTGTTTGAATAAAACAATACAAGCCTGGAAACCAGTGCTTAGGATCCATTTAATTTTGATGCGGCTCCGAATCCTGGATCCGCACTGGAAAAAATGGATCCGGATCCAGATTCAGAAAGCCAAAATCTTGCGGATCTAACGGCTCCGGATCCTAGGCACTGCTGGAATTTTTTAAAAAATTCAAATCTCAATTAAAATTTTGCGATACAAAGTTATAAGGTTGCCGTAGTTTTAACGATTGATGATTGATTTATTGATTGATTGATTAGGAGGCCGAGGCTGCTAGTAGGAAGGATCTGGAATATATGGTCTCCAACCTCCAGAACGAAATCAGCAAGGGATAAATTTGTCCTTCAAACATACCCGGTTAAATTAGCTTAAATAACGCTTACTGAATTCATATTATTATAATGAATTCCCCCACTTAATTTCGAATTTTATTGGTACTCATCCCCCGCCCCCCCCCCCATTAAACTTATTTTAATATTTGCATCAGAAAAGGGTAAATATGTTAAACTTTTAGCTCAAGAGCATCAACTGCCCCTTCACAGTAAACATTCCCTTTATTTATAACAGATGACTAATTTACCCGGTCGTAGAGGGACAACATGATTGCCTCCCTGCAGCTCTCGAGTGTTAACTCCAGTGTCATTTCGTCACCATTCGTCATGTCCCCTGAAGCAGTGAGTCCGGACTTCAGTCCAGGCAGTATTACTCCGCCATATAGGGGACAATCGGACTATAGGTATTTAAATATGGAGGGGTGGCTACCCCCGCCCCCTCTTCCTCTCTACTCTACTCCCAATATAGATTTTGTCAGCAATCTTCCTTGATCCAATTAAATTTGTAAAGTAAATACAAATAAGTTATAAATCAAAAAAGTCTCCATACATACATGAATTTCAATACAGCTCCCTGTTATATCTTAATTCAGTAATTATAACAGTATTTACAAATGCTTTTTTTACATTTAACATTTAATAGTATATTATGCGTAGGAAGAAAGTGTAATAGTCACAATTATTGTTATAATATTAAAAGAAAAACCGCGGAATAATTATTTTTCAAATTTTTCCGATTTCCTAATAAACTGTGGAAAACAAAACAACATTCAGTATTTGATGTTGTTCTAAAGCAAATTCTTTTACCAGAAGCTTAAAATCAAACATTATGTTAGAAGGGTTTTTTACTTTGTACACACAACTTAAATTCTGTATTTCATGTTCATTGGACTATCATAACCTTAACAGTCGTCTTCCTATGCTACAGCTTTGTGTCTGACAGCATGCTGAATCCAAGAAATAATTATGTTTTGTTGCCAGGGAACAATTGTTGGCCAAGGACAACAAGATCCTGGAGCTGTCGGAGCAGGTGGCGGACCTCGGCAGGCAGGTCTTCGACATGGAGGAGAACCTTAGAGAGAAGGACGCGATAATCTCCGCCAGAACTCAAGCCGTTGGCCTGGCAGCTGCCAGTGTATTTGCCAAGGGTAAGAACACCCTAGAGCAGCTAGAGGATACAAGGGAGCAGCTGAAACTGCTCCAGGAGCGGTGGATTGGCCAGGAGGCTGAATGGAGGAAGGAGAAAGAACAGAAGAAGATTGATTTGGAGATATTGAGCGGGAAACTGGAAACGGTGACCCAGGAGAAGGTTGTGTTGGAGCAGGTTCAGCTGGAGCTGGAGAACAAGGGACTGGAACTAAGAGGAGAGGTGGGACGGGTTCAGGAAGAGCTCGGAGAACTCCGGAGTAGGACTAGAGAAGAGAGAATACTTCTCGAGGCTAAACTCGAGGAACTAACAGAAGAAAATACAAAACTAAACCAGGAAATAAGAGAAAAGGAATCTATTCATTCAGGTAATTAAATTCATTTACAGAGTGAACTGTATATATTGAATACAGTGATCAGAAAACAGTTAAATGATTGTCGGATTTTTTTTTAGTATGGCTTGTCACTTAGGATTTTACCATTGTCGTTAAAATTATCATGAAGTTAAGTGAAGTTAGCTAAAGGAGAAAGATTATTTTGTGACTTTATTCGTGAAGTTTTTAATAGACGCCAAGGGGTTTATATTGTAAAGAATGATTTTCAAAGATACCTAAATTTTTTATACAATATTTAGGGGATATTACTTCATTTGATTTGCTTAACTTCTTAAGTCCTTTTAATAGAAAACTGCAATTGAAAATAATCCTTTTTTAACTTTAGTAAAATAAGAATGAATCGGATATGACCAGGGGTCACAAAAAAATATAGCTTTTATTTGATAATGGTTATTTAAGGTCGTGTAGCGGAGCTGGAAGGTAGATTGAGGGAGGGACGGCAAGGAGATGATGAGGGTAGGATAGCAGATCTAGAGATTTGTTTGGCAGAAAGGGAGGAGGAGAAAGGAAATCTTCAACTCCGAATTCTAGAACTAGAAGAGATAATTTCTACAGAGGTGATCATTTTGATGCAGATCTGAATCCGGAAACTATTGATTTGAGTTTTTTAAAGAAACAAAAAGTTAAATTTAGCTTCCAAAATTTTTTACTAAGCAAAGAATGTTAGAAAATGGTAAAAAAAACTTATTCATATTTCACATAATGTAACGAAAAGAATTAACTCAGTTAAGACTGTGGAAACAGAAAGTAACTGGGATTGCAATGCTAGCTGTGTCCAAAAAATACAAAAAAGTTAATTAAGTTTGATCTGAAATTTTTAGTATTTTTTCCCACGAATTTTTTCAAACTTTTTGTTGTATTTTGGTTTAAGCAAGTGGAAATGCGCGTATTCTTATTTTATGTTTTGCCAGGGAAGAATGAAAGGTCAGCTGACAGAAATCCGAGAAAATCTGAGAAGATGTGAAGACGATCTTGAGTCGCACAGCAGAGCAATAACAATGTTAGAGTCGGAGAAACTAGATCTTATGGAGGTATTTTTCATTTATTGTCTTATTTACTTGTTATTATTTGTTAAACTTCTTTCGTAAGCAATCAGGGATATACATATTACATAATCTTTACCCCCCCCCCCTTCACACTATAAAATCTGTTTGTTTTTTTGTTATGAAAAAAAAATAAATGATTTGCTTGGTAAAATGTTTGAAAATATTAGAGAAACTTTGCCAGTTCTATTTTCCCCCGAATTTTCTAAAACCATTAAATTCTAAAATATAATCGCCGCTTATCTTGTTTCTCGTAGGCATTAGGTACTCGAGATGACTTGTTGACTTCACGTGCTGAGGAGTGTGGCCGACTGGCTGGTCAGCTTGAAGAAGCGGCGAGATCAAGGGTCAGCCTAGAGATGCGTTGTTTAGAGCTAGAGGAGTCTAAAGACAGGTAATTAGAGGCAATAAAAGGTTTTGGGAGGGGGGAGGGTTGTAAACCAACCCTCCGTAGCATTCTGTCCACCTGTCCTATGAATGGAAGCACAATTAGACTGCAGAGTTTTAACCAATGCTAAGGATCCAGATCCATTGGACCCGGAACATTTTGGCTTCCAAGGGGTAGAATTTCAAACAAAAAATGAAAAAAAGTTTTGACTTTCAAACCCCAAATCTGATCTGTTGAAAATAGAGAGATAATAAGAATTTCCTGATCTCTCAATGGTTAAGGTTATCCATAAAAATAAGTGAAAAAAAATAAATTGATGATTCTGCTTTGTGAAAATATAAGTCTATTAAAAATATTTTGAAGTTAAAGAAAATAAAACTACACGTTTTGTTTCCATTACTTATCAGCTGTTTTAATTTTCCCATTAATTGGTTTAATTAATTAAGGGAGGTTGGATAATCTTTGACCCACCGTAGCCTTTTGTTCACCTGTTTTATTAATGGAGTTCACCATTTAGGCTGCAGTATAGAATCAAAGAATACGCATATTTATTTATTTTAATGGCAAAGTAAAGCTGATGCCGTTAATTCGATTTTAACAGTAACAAAACTTATTTATGAAAATGTTCTAAATTTAAGGAAGATAAAACTACATGTTTTGCTACCACCACTTACCAGTTGTATTTGATCTGGCCCTTATCAATCCTAGTCTTTCTAGACCTAGGTTATATATTAAGGCTGCTTACTCTCGATGCGTTCCGATGTACAGTTAAAATCGGCAGTTGCCCAAGGAAGTTACGTGCGCTTGCCTCGTTGAATTACAAGGAAGAGAGATTTTTGGGTTAGGTTAGGTTAAGACAGTTTCTGGGCCTAGCGCTGCCGTTAGGATAGGCTAGGGGGCCAAGCGTCGCAGCCAGGACAGGCTAGGGGGCCGAGCGACGCGAATAGAACAGGCTCTCTGTCTTATAATTCAGCGCGGCATGCGCACGTAGCTTCCTTGTGCTTCTGCCATTAAAATCCGTAAATGACGTCACTTTCGGAAACCGTCTTCTTACTGCCCCATAATCAGTGACGTCATTTATGTCCATTGCTTTGGAGACGACATTTCCCGTACCTTGGAGCGCATCGAGAGTAAGCAACCTTAATTTTTATCGTAAGATAACCATTCTTGTATTTACCACCTCAATGAGGGACCCTCACGACTTCTTTGAAATCTAGATGGGAGGGAGAAAGGTTGGAGCTACTGCAGAGGATAGAAGAAGAGAAAGAGGAATCAAAACAATCCTTGAAACCCCTTGAGGAGCTATCCATTAAATATCACCAGCTAAACAAGGAAATTATTCAATATTATTTCGTTGGTTAATCATTTTTTATTAAAATCATCAATAATTTTTCTCAAAGAAATTGAGAAAATAAATTTGAATTTTCAAGTGAAAAAGTATCATTGTTCAAATTGAAGACAAAGATGCATTTTTAGTTATCGAGTTAAATAAATAATTGCAGAAATAAAATATGCATAAAATAATTTTTTGTTTAATTTTTTGTTAATCAAGCTATAGGGCAAAAACTTGTATATTTGAATAGTCCTTATAAAATGGATATAATAACATGTGTCACATGTTATTGTTAATATTTGTCAAAAGTAATGATCTATTTATGTCATTGTAATGGGTATTATTAAGTGTAAAAAAGTTTTTGCCGGGATTTTTATTTTTTCTAGTTTTTTTAAGATCAAAATAAAAGTATTATTACACCGGACGTAGTAAGGTATGAAAATACTTTTAAGTGTCAATAATAATGTTGATCCGCTCTACTGCCCATCCGTCCTATTGCCCATCTGCTATACTGCCCATCCGACCTACTGCAACATCTGACCTACGACAGCTGTAGGTCGGATGAACATATCTTCTTGCCCATCCGACCTATTCAGCATTTTTTGTCATGCATATAGCGCAGTAGGGTAGAAATAATTAATTGTAGCTCTGTCGGACGGCCACTCAATTTTGTAGGTCAGATAGGATGCCCATCCGACCTACGAAAAATGCCCATCCGACCTACGAAAAATGCCCATCCGACCTACGAAAAATGCCCAGCCGACCTACGAAAAAGGCCCATCAGACCTACATAACGTGTCTAAGCGACAGCTTACGTAGGTCGGATGCACCAATATGCTGTTTTTAATGTGCCCATTCGACCTACAGTGCATCGGACCTACCACAGCTGTTAAAACCACGTGCTTGTAGGTCGGATGGGCAATAGAGGGGATGGGCGTAGGTCCAAAAATACACCATCTAGAATGGAGTTTTGGCATCGTTACATATTGATAATATACGTAACAGGAGCATGACAGTTTTAAGGCGGAGCATGCAGCTGCATTAGGTAATATTTTTATTTAAAACAAGCTGAAGGGCCCGGCGTTGCCCAATGCTGGAGGGGAAAAAAAGGAAGAAAGTAAAATAAATTTTTTTCAGCTTATGTCACCCCAGGCTACCCATGAGTGTCCCAAAAAAAAATTGAGCTCATTCACTCCAGCCGTTTGGCAGGCTATAGGGAACGTATATATTCGACTGTCTTGTAAACTTTCATTTGAAATTGTCATACGAACTGTTCAATTAACACCAAACCTTGAAAAAATTTCGTGGACAAATTCGCTGAGTTAAATTTTTAAAAGCAGTAGAAATATCAGGCTTCGTTGCACATCGCTTTTTACTCAGTTTTTATTTTTTTTCCGATAATATCAACAATTTTAACGCTAGGAATTTGCAATTTTTTTTAATGCTTTACATTTGAATTGTTCCCGTTAATCCCTCTGTAATTTCAGAGAGAAGTAAACTTTATGACACCGATTTGATGGATAAATACAAACAATTAAAGGTAGGCATTGACTTGCATTATTCATTATTATTTTAAAAAAAAATTCTTTCTGTTGTTTTAATTAATGTTGAATAAATATTAATTTAAGATCCTTTATAATTCCTTTTTGATATTTTATGATATATTTTGTTTTTCTTTCGAAAAGTTCCAATGTTTTTCTGAAGGTTATAGCTTTGATTTACTTTAAGTTTTATGATTCATTAAGTAAAAATGCCATGTAAATCATTTAAAGTTCAGCATTATTAATTTCGAAATTAACTAGTTCGGAATATTTTTGGTTAAATCATATTTGTGGTTGAAGGAGTTGAAGATAGAGGTGTCTAGTCTGCAGAAGATGATCCAGGAGAAGAACATGGAGCTTGCCGAGCACTTCCCCTTCATAGAGGAGAAGGATAAAGTCATATTGGAACTCAGGTTTCAAACTTAATTTTAAAAAATATTTGCACACTTTGTTTAATTTTTTTTTTGTGAGATACAGGGTTGCCCACAAAATATGAGACTTAAGTGACGACCTAAACTTATTGATTACAAGGATTCAACATTAAATTTGATATTAGGCCTTGAATATAGCCTTTAAATGTAATAAAAAATAATTTTTTTCGTATGCAGAGAGTAAGGATTAAAGGACAGATAAAAACTTATCTAAAGTCGTCGCATTCTCACTGGTAAACCCTGATGCGTGTGCCTTACTTCATTTCTCTTTAAAATGTAGGGAAGGGGGTAGGTTGAGAACAAGTGTTTCAAGCTAAATCACAAATATGAAATTCTTGAATCTATTTTTATTCATAAAAAAATGTTAAAGGACCTCACTAGTCTCCTGGAGTTTGTAATAACTCTTGTAATAATAGAGATAAATGGTGCTAACTTTGCACCTATATTCTTTTAATCCATAAGTCAAAAACTAAGAAAATAATAATTTTAAATTATTCTTAACAATAACAAATCTTACTTTAAGAGGAAAAAAATCAAAATAATACATCAAAAATAAAATTAAACATGTTTTAGGCAAATACATTTCCGATCAAGTCGCTCGAGTACTGGTGGGGGAAAGTTGTTCCAGGATCTAGGTAATTAATCTCCCGGTATCCAGACTGGTAAACACCAGGATTGTGGGCGAGGACACCCAACAGATATATAGCTGTTGTGGTGTGGGCACAGGGAGAAGAAATTCTTGCCCCTTGAATGCAGTACCCTGGCCTGCGGGGTCCACATACCCACATCTTGAGGTGCTTGAGGGTGCGAGTCCTGAAGAAAAAACCTGTTAAAAGGTATATAATAAGGAATACAACAACAACTTTTTAGGTTTTCTACCATTTTTAACAGATTTTAAGAAAAAAAATATCCATTTTCCTGTAAAGTAATGAATCATTAACAAAAGCATATGTTTTTTAGTTATATTTGTGGGAAGAATTCGGGGATGAGAAATGATGAGAAATGTAAACCAATGACTTTGTTTGTTGGAATCTAGCTATCCTTGGCAGAGTGTTAATATATTCGTCACTGAAAAATGAATTAAATCTCGACTAGATTTAGTTGTGTTTCATGGAATTTCAAACTAAACCGACTGGACAATTTTTTAGGACCCTTTCTTAATCTCAGTTTTTAAATGTGAATTCTGAGATTTATTAAAATTGAAAATCCCTCAGAGAGTTATTTCAATACTTACAACATATTCAAAGAATTGTGGATTGGCCTTGCATTGCTTGGAACATAAGCAACTACAACCTTGTGCTTCTCTCTTCTGTTGTACCTGCTTGGAATCTCTAGATTAAAAACAATCTTTTACAGTAATAAGACAAAAGACATAAGAAATAATAATAATAATATGAAAATGTTAAAAAACATTATTTATTTTCCTCATCTTCATAGGAAGCAAAATAATTAAAGGCCAATTTAAGATACTTTAAAGTGGTTGATATTATCCATACATAAAACTTTTTACGGGATTGAGTAAGTGACATTTTTTTTTGTAGGCATTGAGTAACAACTGAATTGATGGATTTTCCAGAAAAGAAAATACATTTATACTGGAACTTACCTGGTATCAGGAGAATATTATTATTATTATTTTATTCCTTTTTAAAACCGGTTTTTCATTAACAAAACACGAGGAAAAATGCAATAATTATTGTTTCTGTATTTTTAATAGCTTTAAGAAATTAAATTCAATTTTATTCCTTTTTAAAAATATTTATATATATAAATACCTGTTTTGGGCCAAATACCCCCCTTTCTACGCCCTTGATCAAGAAAAAAAAATTTGAAATTTTTTTATGCCCCTTATGGATTAAAAGAATATAAGTGCAAAGTTAGCACCATTTATCTCTATTATTACAAGAGTTATTACAAACTCCAGGAGACTAGTGAGGTCCTTTCGTAGATTAATCGCAACTTTAATAGGGAGCAAATTGAGAGTATTGAGGGACGATTGAATGAGAAGGAGATGAAGTTGAAGAAGCTGAACCTGATCCTGGAGCAGAGCAAGGACGCAGAGCACATCCAGACCCTGGAGAACCAGCTTAAAGAGCTGACTAGCCAACTCGCCTGTTCTAAACAACACCTGGAGCAGAGAGAATCTGAGCTTTCAGATATTCGGGAGGTTAAACACAACTTGGAGATAAACCTTGAAACTCTAGCCAGTGAAAAGTCCAGCTCGGAGCAGGGATGGCAGTCCCACATGGACGCGGAGAAAATCAGATTCGAAAATATCATTAAGGAGAAGGATTTAAATCTTGAAACTAAGGACAAGGAATGTGAAACACTTAAAGAGAAGTTGAATTCCTTGGTTGAGAATATGGAGAAGACGGAAAAAATAAAGGAGCAGGACATTTCTGAGTTAAAAGAAAAGATTTCTAGTCTCTCAGTTACATTAACCGCGAGCAATTGCGAGTCTGAGAATAAGCTTGAGATTACCACGAAGGAGCTTGAAGCAAGATCTAAGGAACTTGAAGTTATAAAGGAAAACCTGTCAGATGTTCAGACTAGGCTAGAATCTCTCACCCGGGAGAGTGAGCAGAAAATAAATTTACATGAAACCAGGATCAAGGAACTAGAACAGGAGAAGATGACACTAGACTCCAGCTTGGAGATGTTGCAACAAGAAAAGCGTGCTATGCAGGACAGTAATAGTCAGCTTGAAAACTCCTTGACCTCATTAAACAATGTCATCGATAGTATGAAGGATAACCTCGAAAAAATGGAAAAGGAAGAAGAACTAAAAAATGGAAACATTACTGCCTTAAATGAGGATATCCTTGCAAAATACAAGATCATTGAAGATCTTCAGACTGAGCTCTCTGAAGTCAGGCAAATCGAAAAAGCACTGAAAATCGACATAATTCGTTTTGAAACTCTAAACTCCGGACTTCAGCTTGAACTGAACGAGGAGAAGTCTAGTTCTGAACAGCTGAGAATTGAGCTGACCAGTAAGAGCAGCGCTATGGAAACCCTGCAGACCGTGGTGGACGTCCTCAACAGAGAGACGGAAGAGAAGGACGAGAACACAAGCTCTGACCTGTTCAAGGAGAAGATGGAGGAGATGCAGAAAGAGTTGAAGGAGAAGAATATTCTCATTGAAGAACTGAAGTCAGATCAGTCTAGAACGGAAGAGAAGAATGCAGAGCTGAGATCCAAGATTGAAGAACTAGAAAAGGATTTAACAGATTTTTCCGGATTCACGGATTACATGAACAAATTAAAATCAGAAACATCAGAGAAATCGGAACAAATCTTAAACCTGAAGCAGAATTTGGATCAGCTCAGACTAGATCTTGAGTCCAAGGATCATAAAGTTGCTGAGCTCCGACTAAACCCCCGAGTCGATGATGGTGGGGATATGATCCAGCTTCAACAAGAACAGATCGAGATGCTCCGATCCCAACTGGTACAGAAGGCAGATCTTCTAGAACATGCTCAGTCGGAAGAAGGGTGTAAACTCCGTGTGTTGGAGTTGACGGATGAGCTTGAGCTCCGCTGTCAAGAAGTCGAGGATGTAAAGGCTGTCCTTCGAAGATCGGAGGCTGAGAAGAGAGTTCTGGAGGAACAAATAGAGAATGTTGAACAGCTTCAACAAGAAATTAAGAAGGAAAACAGCCAACATTCGCAGGTATTCAGCGTTCCATGCAATTTTAACCAACTTAATTAACAAACAATCAAATTCCTAAAATGCTCCCGTTCATAAATATCTAAATTTGTATAATTGGTAAAGTGATTTAATTATTTCGAAAAACTTGCAACATTATTTTCTTCTTCTTATCTGATAAGAATTCATTTTTTCCTTAAGATTAAGTTAAATGGCATACACAATAAAAAGGGGGATACTAGATAAATCCCTTTATTTAGTGTCAACTAACTACAATTTAATTTAGGAGACTGAAGAAAAAATGCGCGAAATAAAGCAGGACCTTGAAAACAAAATAGAAGAGTTGAATCTTTTATCACAAGAACATACCTCCCTCAAAGAGAAATACTATTCCTCCATGAAACAATTGCAAAACTTGGAGCAGAGATACAGCAGCCTTACGGAGCAAGGTTCTCCTGAAATATCCGTCCTTATTATAGAGAGAGATGTGCTGAAAGATAAGAACGATAAGCTTAAGGACATGTGTAAAAAATACATTGCTAAACTTAAACAACAAGAAGTCCGGCTTAAGTCAAGCACTGAGAATAAATTGGAAAACCCGGAGGAAGAAAATTACAAATCAGAGATTGAAACCTTGAAGGTCGAGTTAACCGGTCTGAGACAGGAGCTGTTGAACCAGCAGGAGGTCGTAGAGAACTATGAGGAGGAGGTGAAGAACCACTACACCAACCTTCAGCAGAAGTTCGACGAGTGTGAAAGGTTAGAAAAGGAGTGTGCAGAGAAAGATAGTATGATCACAGACAAAGATGATCTTATCAGAGATCTTAAACAGAAGTTGGAGAATGCTCCTGAAAACATCACTGTGTGTGTTCCTGAAGAAGCAGCGCATCAGCAGACTAAGAACGAGCTCGCCTCCATTAGAGAGAAATGTAAGAAACTCATTGTCAAGGTTAAGCAGCAGGATGCATTACTTAAGCAGGAGGGCGCTCGGTTGAGAGCCGACAGTGTGCTTGATGAATCCGCGCTTGAAGACAAATCCCGGGAATTGGAAGAAGAAATTAAAACCCGGAAGTTATTTGAAGAAGAGAGAATGCATCTTGCAGAGAAGCTAGAAGAAGAGAAATTAAAATTAAACATTCTTTCAGATGAAAATTCTGAACTGAAACTAAAGCTTGAAAATCATGAACATCAATTGAAAGCTTTGGAAACTATATCCAAGGAGAAGATTGCCCTTTACGATGTTCAGAACAGTTTAAAGGACGAACTGAAGATCCTAAAGCAGGAGAAAGCTGCGGAAACCCTGAAGGTTGAACAGCTCCAGGCACAGATCAGGAGTATCCGGGAGGAAACCTTGATTGCCCAGATGCAGGCGTCCCCACTGCTCAACCAAGAGCCTGAACCAGCATTTGCTGGATTCGAGGAGGACGATGGTTGGGCCTCACCAGACCCTCTTCCCCAGGTTCAAGAGGATGATGGGTTGATGACTCCTGAACCTTCTGCTGTAGCAGTGCAATCTGTTCATGAAGGGGTTGACCCTGTTGCAGATGTGGAGAAGGATGGAGAATCTAGGAAGAAAAACTCTGATAGATGGACCGGATGGGAGACCAAGGATTCCGGTGATGAAGAAAAACAGGTTAAAGTACTTTTTGTTTTGATGGTAGAAGTAGGATGGTAGTGTGTGATCATATTTTAGGACTGTAATATTGGACATACGTGTTTTCAGACCCAAAATTGTTTTAAATCTTAAAACAGAGTCCGAATTTAATTAATTTGAGCCGCGTCTCAAATCCGCCAAAACCGGTTTCAATTGAGTGCCGGCTTAATATTGAAACTACTAGATATTTTTCTATAAACTCGATAATACGGTCGGATGCTCTTAAGGTTGGGTTCTGTACTTCAGTGGGACCCATCAAATAGTGAAATAGAAAGACGGCGTTTAGTGTTTAGGGAGTGACCGGCAATTTAAGGTTGTTAAACTGAGAATGTAGTTACCACCCAAATGGATGATTTTAAACGTTGACTTTGCGCTCAAACTCAGTAGTTATATACATTAAAACGTTTTATATGTCTTAAATGAATCCTGAAATATTTCTCCACCATACCTCATTCTCAGTTCAACTACCATACATTGCCGGTCACTTTAAAATTATGATTTTATACAGTTCAATGAACATGAAACACCAATTGTTCCGAGTAAACTACAGTACACATTCAGTAAAATACAAGACACATTAAATTACTTAAATTTTTTTTCTTCCGATTTCAAAGTTTTATGGCACCCACTTAAATTAGAGACGTGAAATTGAAAAGAGAGAAAAGTAATCATGTTCCCACCATTTCCTGTGTTATAACAGGAACTGGAATTTTAAAGTAATGGTTGAGGGGGAAATGGTGGTTTTTATTTTTAAAGCTTAAACAATTTCAAGGGGAGTATTATTTTTGAAATATAAAAATACTCGCACGAAATATTTCATATTAATTTTCTCTTAGCTGACTTGGCCATGATCATTGCTCATTGATTATTGATTAATCAGCTATTATAATGACTATTGATTTTAACTTGATTTGTAGGGTGACGGATGGTTAGATGACTGGGGAGGAGATTCTGGTCAGGATGACGACCAGGTGCCTGGTGTGCCAGAGCATAAGGAGGACAGGGAACAGGTTTGAAGATTTATGTATATAGTAGCGTACAGTACTTGTCCCAAGTTATGTACTTTCATTTAAAGATTTATGATTATTACCTCTTGCATTTTCAATTCTATTACGAAGTCGTTGTCACGTTTTCTTACAATGTAGTTTCAAGTTTATGGAGCTATGTAGTATTGGTCTAAATTCTTTTCTTACAATGTAGTTTCCAGTTTATGGAGCTATGTAGTATTGGTCTGAATTCTTTTCTTACAATGTAGTTTCCAGTTTATGGAGCTATGTAGTATTGGTCTAAATTCTTTTCTTACAATGTAGTTTCCAGTTTATGGAGCTATGTAGTATTGGTCTAAATTCTTTTCTTACAATGTAGTTTCCAGTTTATGGAGCTATATAGTATTGGTCTAAATTCTTTTCTTACAATGTAGTTTCCAGTTTATGGAGCTATGTAGTATTGGTCTAAATTCTTTTCTTTCATTGGAGTTTTAAGTTTATAGAGCTATGTAGTATTCGTCTAAATTCTTTTGTTACAATGTAGGTTTAAGTTTATGGAGCTATCTAGTATCGGTCTAAATTCTTCTCTTCAATGTAGTTTCAATTTAATGAAGCTTTAGCTAGTAAAATTGAAATAATTTAAGTGTTCGTTATAAAAAATAAGTTTGAATTTGTCCACCGTCAAGCCCCCTCCCTGGACCTTCCGTCAAGCCCCAACCCTGGACCTCCCGTCTACCCTTAAAGACGAGATTTATAAGAAATACTAGCCGGAGAACCCATTGTTGCCAAGGGTACTTATAGTTACTTCCGCCGTTTACCCGCGCTTGGTCGTTGATTACGATTTCAGCTATTTTCCTTATAAACGTGGAACAGTTCAACTTAGAATCTCAAAACCAACTAAGAATCTCAAAAAAAGCTTAGAAAAATTCCGGGGTTTCCCAATTAGAATCAAATCGGTCAAGGGGCTTCTGAGTTATGATCGGACATAACAAACAATCGACAAACAGAGATTACAACTTTATAAACTTAGATTATGAATAAAAAAAATTTAAATATTTTTTACACAAAAGGGGTGGATCTTGTGGATATTTAAAACCAATATTTAAGCAATAATGATGAAGATATCGTCGCTTTTCAGCAAAAAAAGTGTGAAATTCTGACAACTTCCTTCTCTATTTTCTTGCACAAATCCACAAGTCATCAGTCCGATAATCATTTTTGAAGGACAACCTAGGGACCTTAGGACGAACTCTGAAAAAAGAATTATGCCTCTTGTCCTCTAATTATCTCTATATTTTGGGAGTTGTAAAAGAGGACGGCTTAGGAACTTCAGGACAATCTCTGAAAAGACCTCTTGTCCTCTAATTATCTCTATATTTAGGAAGTTGTAGAAGAGGACGGCCTAGGAACTCAAGGACGAACTCCTAAAAGAGAAGGGAACCATTCTTCTCCTAGAAGCCTAGCTCTGCAATGCAAGGTCCTAATTCAACACCAGCAGGGTTATTTAATATTTATCTGTAAGAGATAATAATAATTTGTTTTACAAAGAAAGTAACAATGTAACAATGACGACGATTTTGCGATAATTCTGTCATCTTTCTTTCTTCACTTTTAAAGAGAATCCGTGATTAGAAATTATTAAATTTTAGATAGAATGACTAAACATAATTGTATAATTCTTTAAATAGCGGGATCACTTCAAGCTTCGGTAATTTTCCCTTTAAACGAAATTTCTGATCTATTCCAGGTGGCGGAGAAGGAAATGGAGATGGAGAGTTTGGAGGAGGAGTTGATCAACCTCAAGATCAGGTTCCAGGAGATCGAGGGGGACCTACTCAGAGTACAGGTATGAAGGGGCCTACTCAGGGTTCAGGTAGGAAGGGACCTACTCAGAGTTCAGGTAGGAAGGGGCCTAATCAAGGTTCAGGTAGGAAGGGGTCTACTCAGGGTTCAGGTAGGAAGGGGCCTACTCAGGGTTCAGGTAGGAAGGGGCCTACTCAGAGTACAGGTAGGAAGGGGCCTACTTAAAATTAAGTAATTCCGTTAATTCAAACGTTTCTATTTTTCATGTTTAATCATTACCTAGGATGAATCGGATCGGAAGATAGTTCAGTTAATGAAGGAAAGGGAAGAGATGTATCGGAGAAATGAAGAGTTTGCGGAGAATGAAACTAAACTCAAACAAACCCTTGAACAACTGAAGCAAAAGCTCCAGGTAATTAAATTATTATGGGCATCCAAACTGTTTGGTAGAAATCAAAAATAGAATAGAAAGTCGTATTGTACTGATTTATACGGCGATGACTGTAGAAACCCCCCCCCCTCCCTGTCCCTACAAGATACATTCCGAAAAAACCTAAGATTATTCTGAAATTATTAGTTAGTAAGGCTTCAGGGCGCTTCGCGCCCATCTTTTATTTCAATTGTGAACATGTTCTCTTTGTGTACATTGTAAAACCTAAACAAAAACTAATTTCGCGGATTTTACAAAAAAAAATCATGGATTTTCAATATTTTTAAAAATTCGATCATCTATAAACCTATCCTAGGGTCCCCGAGGTTCCACTAAAAATTTGGGCCCAATTGGTTCAGTCGTTTTGTCGTTTATTTGATACAAACGGACAAACAAAGTATATATATAGATAATATAATCAAAGATTAGGAAGTCAGGTACTAACTCTCTTCATGGTACAAACTGCCTTTTAGGATTATAGGGAAAGTAGAAGAGAAGAGAGAAGACGGGGTTTGAAAAAATGGGATTTGTTGGAACACTTTTACTACACGAGTTACTTTGTTCTTCCACGAAACCATTCCTGAAGTTAAATTAATGTATTTTAGGAGGTTGAGGGCGTAGAGAACAAGGACGGACTCCTTCAGGAGAAGATAAAGGATTTGGAAACCCTGAACCTAGAACTCCAGACCTTAAGACAGGTTTCAGTGGAGTATTCTCAACTGCAGGTTAGTTTATCATTTAGTAGGAGAACCTAAACCTAGAACTCCAGACCTTGAGACAGTTTTCAGAGTATTCTCAACTCCAGGTTAGTTTATTATCTAGTAGGAGAGCCTAAACTAGAACTCCAGACCTTGAGACAGGTTTCAGTGGAGTGTTCTCAACTCCAGGTTAGTTTATCATTTAGTAGGAGAACCTAAACCTAGAACTCCAGATCGTGAGACAGGTTTCAGAGGATATTCTCAACTCCAGGTTAGTTTATCATTTATTAGGAGAACCTAAACCTAGAACTCCAGACCTTGAGACAGGTTTCAGAGGATTCTCAACTCCAGGTTAGTTTATTATCTAGTAGGAGAGCCTAAACTAGAACTCCAGACCTTGAGACAGGTTTCAGTGGAGTGTTCTCAACTCCAGGTTAGTTTATCATTTAGTAGGAGAACCTAAACCTAGAACTCCAGATCGTGAGACAGGTTTCAGAGGATATTCTCAACTCCAGGTTAGTTTATCATTTATTAGGAGAACCTAAACCTAGAACTCCAGACCTTGAGACAGGTTTCAGAGGAGTATTCTCAACTCCAGATTAGGTTATAAGTGGCATGTCCTAATGAAAGATGTTCCCTACAAATCTTCTTATAATCATGAATGAATGAGACATCCTTTTCTATCATTTCTATCTGAAAATTGAATATTTCCTTATAAAAAGTGACCTGCAAATTCATACTCCAGAGACGAGAAAGAAATTTTTCAGATATTAATGTTTCTTAAGATAAAAAGTTACTATATCATCCTACTTACTACTCAGATCGAGGTTCAAGGGTATCGTCGTGAATTGGATATGCTCATCTTATGTGTAAGGTCAATTGAAATTACTTTACAGTTACATAATGTTTAAATAATATTTAAGACGAGGTTGAATGAGTTGAGCGCAGTATCCGAGTCCAACTCTGAGCTGGAGGATCAACTGATGAGGATGAAGGATGAGAAGGAGGAGGAGGAGAAGGAGAGAACTAGGTTGAAGGAGGACCTCCAGGAGTCCAGGGAAAGAACTAGATTACTTCAAGCGGAGTTAGCTCAGGTATGTGATGCATTCAATTTTTCCGAAAGTCGAAACGCAGCGGGATCTAGCATGGATCTTCACTTTTTAACATGCTCACATTGAATATTGCGATCAAGGGTTGAAGACTGTGGATAATGTTTAATTTTGTGTATCCTATCCTACACCGAAAGAAAAAGAAAATCCGATGGAAATTAATTTTTTTTCTACCTTTGCCTGAAGTTTTCCCCGTTATTTTTATCGTGATTTCCCCTTGAAATGAGTGAACTAAATGTACACACATCACACACCCATCTTGCTTAAAAGGTTATTTTCATGCTAATGGTGAAACTTTAGCTTTAAAACAACATAAAATGCATTCTAACAATGTTCAAAGGTTTTTACCTCCATCATTCTCATTTTTGATGTAAAATTGTTGACGCTTCTGACCTCAGATTTATGGTTCAGGTATACTTGTATACTTGGAGAGTAGTTGATGTAGCCCCCGCTAGGGGCATTTAGCAACATCTTTTCCACACAGTCTTCTTCTGGAGATCCTGTCATATTCTCAGTTCATCAGTTCATCTCAGAAGAAGATAGATATTGGTCTAGATTTCTTTTAAATATCTTGATATTTTGAGACTCTCTAATTGTGCTGGGTAACTGGTTCCAATCATCAATGACTCTTTGGGTAAAGAAGTTACTTCTGATGGTGGTGTTGCTTCTCAGTTTAGTCAGCCTGGTTCTGTCATCTGATTGTCTGGTGGTTCTCACAGATACTTGATTAACTCTTTTAAACCAGAATTCATCTCCTTCAACCTCTAAGGTTTTGTAGGTTTGTATTAGATCATATCTAGTTCTCCTTGTTTCAAGGGAGAGAAGTCATAGTTCTTTGAGGTTTTCAGTATATCCAACTGCTCTCAATCCACTAATCATAATCACAGCTTGTATTTGGACATTTTCTATAGACGTAATATCTTGTTGTGAGGTTGGAGCCCAGACTGGAGTAGAAAATTCTAGATGAGGTCTGACATAGGTGGTAAATAATCTCAGAAATACATTCCTGTCTCTAAAGTGAAAGGATCTAGTTAACTGACCTAGGACCATTTTAGCTCTATTAACTGCTACTTCACATTGTCTACTGGGTTTTAAATCTTTGTTGATCAACACTCCAATATCTATAGGTATCACAGGAACTTGAGACCTCGACCAACCTCAACTCTGACCTCCAGGAGAACCTCAAGCAGACCCTAGAAAAGGTCGAGGCCAGAGGTAAGAAACCTTCCCCCCCCCCAGGGCCTGGGGTAGGGGGATTATATGCAGCTTACAGTATATAGTACACAGTATAAACCCTTGAATGAATGTCTTAAAAGATTTTATTCAGTCTTCTTTTGGATCATACCACGTATTAGGGACCAAAACTTATTTTACATTATCTGATCTAATCACTTTTTGGAGGAACACCAAGAATTTTTATGAAAATTGAGATTTAAAAGTTTTTTCGAAAATTGTACGGATTTTTTCAAAAAAGTATTGGCCACCCTGCATGCTACTTTTATTCTGACTTAGGCCAAACTTAGCAAATAAGTATTCAAAGATATTTTCTTTTACTGCACGGGCGCGCGGACATTTAAGGCTTTGCAGGTGAATTATTTGAGCGCATATTTTTTTCAAGAGTATCAGAATAAATGTTCAAGTGCAATTAATGAAGTTAAGATTGATTTACTTTTGCTCAGATCCGCTCAAAACCAAAAAAGCATTTAATATACATAATTTTAAGCTCGCATGCAAAAAATCAGCCTCCTAGGACAATGCTAAGCTATGTTTATACACTGTTTAAATTTCCCGGAGAGTAATACGTGTTATGCTTTATCATTGATATAAAAAAAAAATTTCCGAAGGTATACAATTCAAAAGACCAAATTTTTTTATATTATTATTTAATTAATAATTTGTTAAGTTTGGATTCATATTTTTGTTTTAGAATTGAGAGAACGTGAACTTGAATCCGTACTCTCACAGATTAATAACTCCCAACAGGTTTATAATTTCATAGATAGGACACTTAAAAGTTAGGACGTTTAATAGATGGGACAATGTGATATCTCATAAAAAGGACATGTCATTGATAGGACATCTCATAGCAAGTATTTTTCTTTGACAGGAAATATTTCGACAGGATCATGTTTGCCAAATTTCGCCACTTCTAATAAATATTTGCTTACCCATTTAAATTTGTGTAAAATTCTTATTGTTTTTAGCAAAATTCTTTTATTTTCAAAAAAAAAATAGAAGATTTTTAAAGAGGATAAATTATCTAGGATGAATCTGATCGGAAGATAGTTCAGCTAATGAAGGAAAGGGAAGAGATGTATCGGAGAAATGAAGAGTTGACGGAGAGTGAAACTAAACTCAACCAAACCCTGGAACAACTCCAGGTACAGAGTGGGCCTCTAAACATAACAATTTCTATTAAATCAAAATAAACTGATTAAAATACCGTTTTCCTAAGATGTATTTTGACCGGAACCCATACAACTGAATATGACATTTATGCAATCATATTTGTGTTTTAGTTCTCATCAGATAATAGCTGAATGGTCCAGCATTGCTCGTGGGAGAAAAAGAAAATGTTTGAAAAAAAATTTCGAATTTTATTGCCTTTAACACGGGGGAACACCCCTGAGTGTCCACAAAAATGTCAGCCCAATCGGTCCAGCCGTTTGGCCGGCTATAGGCAACATATATCTATATTCAATACGAATGTTTTGTTTTATTATATAGATATGCAATTAGTTTCACTAGAGCTCAGATAGAGCCGTTCTGATTAAGTAACGAACGATTTTTGGATGAAATAACGGTCTAATCTCGTTAATAATCATCACATGAACGACCAACTGTGTTCTTTACCGCCATTTTTCCGTAATGTCAAGTCAAATACAAAGTTTTATTAGTCTTCAGCAAGGTTTTGAATATCTTGTATCTAGGCCTCTCGTCTTGCTGAGAGTAATGCACTGGGGGAGCAAATCAAAGAGAAATCCGAAATTCTAGATGAAGTCTTGCTCCGGGTTGAGAACCTGAAGCAGACGAACGCTGAGCTTCAGTCCAGGTTGGAACAGGGAGAGGAGAGAAGGGAGGAGATGGTTAGGGAGCTGAACCTGAGGATCCAGGCTCTAGATCAGGAGAGAAATGATTTACAGGAGGAGAGAATAGACCTTAACAAGGTAAACCTTTAAAGGGACTGTAAGCGTAATTACAAGTGAACTCCATGCAAATATATCAACGCCTGATCTACAATTTTACCTCTAAAAGAAATATTTGATAAAGTCTGAATTATTTATCAATGTTAATAATTTTGAAAAATGATTTTTTTCTCTTGTGGTTTCTCTGCATAAGTGACTTGTGCATTTGTACTGCAGGTAAACATACAAAATTACGAAAATATATTTAAAATTGTTGATCAATCGGTAACATTGTAATCCAGTCATTGCCATCCATGGAGGGTCACTTAAAACTAAGCTTACAGTCCCTTAATATAGGATTTTTTGTCAGCCCTGGATTATTTTAGATATTAGTGTATGAGAGGTGGATATTTTTAATTTTACCAATCTTAATTATCGGGATTTCAAAACCCAAAAAATGAAGGAAGAAAAATCGATTTTAAATTAACTAAAAAGTAAATTGGTTCTTCCCAAATTGCTAGAATGTCTCAAAAATCTCTTAAATTTCAAATTATTACGTTTGTAAATTTCTGTTTTTTCACAACTACTTCCTGTAAATCCCTATACCCCTGTAATATTTAGTGTTTAAAGTTATAAATTTAGGAGGTGGAGAACTTGAAAAGTCTGGTTAATGAAATGAGTTTTGAGAATGATACACTTCAAAGAAACTTGTTCGAGACAGAAAATAGCCTGACAATTCATACACAGAGGATTATTGACCTAGAGGTTTGTTGATTGTTTTTAAACTTTCTCCGAAACCAAAGGAACGGATAAGTTGACTAAAATATTTTTACCTTTGCAACCTTCTGGCGTAAACCTTTGATATTCCAATTTATGAATCCTGCAAGATCAAATTGGATATTTTTACTTTTTATTATGAATATTAGTGAATAATTCAATATTTTTATCGCAACTAAATTATCTGTTTTTGTGAGGAGATTTTTTTTTGGGGGGGGGATGGGGCGCGGCGGGCTTAAATCTTGAAACATTGATTTAAGTGGAACTAACCATATTTGAGCTGCGGCTCAAATTCTTTAAATTCGGCCTCTAGTTCACCCTTTGCCCTTTTTATTATTAAAAAAAACTTTTGAAGGGTGAGTTAAACCAGCTCCGACCGCCGATACAGAACGCTCCACCACCTGATGTTACAAACCCAGTTTCGGAACCAGATGTTGCAAGGTAGGAGAGAGGGTTCGTGCAATTTAAAGGCTGGACCTCCCTGCATTTTTTGGATAGAAAATTAGGACCAGACTTCATAATTAGACTTCATAAGAAATACAATTTAGTACTTTTAAATGATTCAGTTTCGTAAGCAGTGCTCAGGGATCCGCAAGATTTCGACTTGGTAAAATATCAACTAAAAACTGCAAAATAAAATAAATTCTTAGCACTGTTCGTAAGGATGAATTTCTTATAACTACGACTTTTTTGTTAATACGGGGTTGCCCAAAAAAGATGAGCCTCCTGAGACTAATTTACAAAACTTTCAGCAGTTTTTTTTTACCTCAATATTCTATGGTTCCCTAAATGTTAACTTGTTTCTTGTTAAATAATTTGATTTAATTTATCTTTAAAAGACGATATTTAAGTCTCAAAACGAAATTCATCCTAGCTTGGGAAACCGGCGCTGCCCAGGTTACTCATAGTTACTCCCGCCGTTTACCCGCACTTGGACTTTTTTACTGGGAAACTAAATTTTCGCCATAAAAGTGAACTCACTCAACTTCAAAACCAAGCTAAGAACATTCCCGGGGCTCTCCCGAGTTATCCAATCAAAATTTAAGGTAAATCAGTCGAGGGGTTCCTGAGTTTTGATCGGACAAACAAACAGACAATTAGAGATTACAACTTTATATATATAACAGGAGCAGTAGACGCAACCCTCCAGATATAATGCCCGGTCAACCTGTGGATCAAATCCCGGCTGGTCAGCTGGATCTTGTTAACGATAATGCAGCAAGCTGGTTCGATAACTTGGCAGCTTATCCACAAGGTACTTTTCTCAATCTTTTCTCAATTATGTTTTGAAAGAAATTTTTATAATTGAAAAGAATCGATTAAAGTATAGATTAATTTTCCGCTAAATGCTGCATGCACTTGGAACTTTTGGTTGAGACAAAGCTATGCCAAACTTAAAATCCTTAGCAGAAACTTCTGAATTCTTATGTATAGTCCCTCAGCTAGATATGATTGGAAATTTCTTTCTATTAAATCCTGATTTTGTATGGTTGATCAATTGCTTGCATTAGTCAATTATTCAACCTTAAAATTTATAAAAAACTGGTTTCCGTTTTGCAATTTAAACTTGCCAAAAAATAAGTTTTTTCTAATGTTGTTCCAAGCTTATCCATATGCACATTGCACATAATAGAGAGGATTGAAATTTCGAAAATGTATCATCCCTTTTTCGTAGATTTGTGCATTTACAAGATACAATTCTTTTCATAAATTAATATTCCAGGTAATGACTGGGATGGAGACAATGCTGTTCAAGGTTATCCAATCCCTGAACCTTTACCTGAACCTGTCCCTCTTTTGGATCCTAGAATTGAAATGGATCAACTCAGGGTTCAACTTGATACCCTTAGAATTCAACTCAGGTGAAGTTAATGTCAGGGGTGTATATATTCCATAAAAATCCCCCCCCTCTCTTTTGAAAATCATTTCTTCCCCATAAGTTAAGTATTTTTCAGGTTATTTGCATCATCGGGGGAAATAAATGGTTTTTATGGGACCATAATCAAATGTTTGAGTTAAATGTATGAAGGATGCAAAAATTTGCCTTTTTATGTTCAATTTTTCATTTTTTACCCATATCTCCAAAAATCATTCAGCCCCCCACCTAAAAAGTAAATCGATTTTCAGTATCTAATATTATAATGTTTATTAGTGAGAAAGAGGGTATGGTTGGATTCCTAGAAAGAGAGAAAGTTATGCTAGAGCACTCCCAAACCCAGCTCCTCTCTGACTACAAGACTATGTATGAGAAGTGCTCCAGGTATGAAGAGGAGCAGAGCAACCAGATCCCTGAGTTAACCAGGACAATTGAAACCTTAAGAACAGAGCTGGCCGAGCTTCAGGCTAGAGAGATGGAGATCAAATCCACTGAGGTCGTTCAGAACCAACTTGCCTCATTCTTTGGAGATGTTGATTCTGGTAAAAAAGAGGAGACAGATGAACTGGAGCAATTGCGCACTGAGCTTCAATCTAAAACATTAGAGGTTCTTAACCTTCAATCAGAGCTTGAGAACTACAAAGTAAAGTTGGAAGGAGAACAAGAGAAAACAGGTTCAACAGAAGCGCAGAAAATCGAAGCCTTGGAGGCTCAGCTTGAGTTTAAAACCATGGAATTGGCTGGACTTATGTCAGAGCTAGAGAATTTTAAGTTTAAAAGTATCGAGGATGAAAGCATGATTGGCTCCCAAACCCAGGATTTGGCTGATCTCGGAGAGTCTTTGGCAGCCTTGCGGTTGGAAGTCATGGATTTAAAAGCGAAGATATCAGAGCTTGAATCTGTCAAGGGAAGCATGGAGGAGTATCTTGAGACTGTAAAAACCTCCCTAATGGAGAAGGATGGAAGTATTGAGGAATTAAGGACTAGTTTGGAGCAAAGAGATACAACAATACAACAGTTGAATGAAAATATAGCTCAGCTTTACACTGATAATCAAACTGGAATAGGTCATATCAATGATACTACTAATGATAATATTCCTCCTGAAGCAAAGGAAGAAGTAAAGTATGCTGACCAGCAGGTGACAGCTATGGATAATAATGTCCAGTTTAATAGTGAACCCCAATCAGCTTCTGATTTCTTTATTGATGAAGTTATTGCTGCACCACATGGGCTTCAGAGTGCTTCTCAATTCTTTGAGGAAGTTTCAAGTGGGGACAATGCTTTTACTGCTGATCTTTTTGTCTCTGAGGTTATAGCTCCTGAGCATAAACTTACAACTGCGGCTCAATTTTTTGCTGTAACTGCCTCAGGTTCAGATGCAGCTTCCGGTTATTTAAACAGCTCTTCTGACCAGCTAATATACGATCCTTTTAGTCAACATCACCAGTCATCAGAGCAATCTGTAAACAATGCTGCTACAGCATATTTTGACTCCCAACCAGAAGTTGATCTGGCTTTGTCAACACCAGAGAATGTTGAACAGGTCCCAGCAGAGTCTGAGGCTATCATGACTGCTCAAGAGACAGTGGGAGAAAAAGTAGAATTAGATTACCAACAGGAAATCATCAACTACCAAGAGGCTATTGCACAGTGGCAGGTTTGGGGAGAGCAGAAGTCTGAGGAGATCATTAAACTTCAAGAAAACCTCAACTCTGTAACTGAAGCATATAATGGAACAGTTGAAGCATATAACACAGCTTTGGAGAAGCTTAATTCCTTTTCTGAGGAGAAGAGTGAACCTGGAAGGTCAGATGATAAAGTAAATGAAGTATTGAAACTCATGAAAATCAAGGATATGGAACTTGAGGAATTAAAGGAGACCATTGATAGGCTTGAGACTGAGAAACAAGATTTGTTTGAAGAGCTTAGAGAGAGCAAAGATCAACTAGGTGCTCTTGAATCTGTAAGTGAACAGATAGATGCACTTAAGAACACTGAGGATCTTTTGGAAGAGACTAGACTTAACTATGATAAAGCAAAGGATTCTGAACAACAACTAAGATCAAAGTTTGAACAAGTCCACCATGAATTGTCTGTGTTGAAAGAAACCTCATCTAAGGATCTGGAATCTCTCCGCTATGAACTTTCAGCGCAAAAGTCAGAAAAGGATCTACTGCAACAGAAGGCAGAGATAAACACATCCCGTCTGGTGGAGTTGGAGAGAAGGTTGGAGGAGGAACAACGCATGCAGGAAGAGGCTGCAGCAGAGTTTGAAGAAATGCAGCTTGAAGTTGTCAAGTCACGAGAACAGGTTTCATCTCTTACATCTCAGGTGGAGTCCATGAAACAGCAGTGTGTGATGAATCAAGGATTATCTCAGGAATTAGAGCAGCTCAAACTGCAGCAGTTGTTAACTCAATCTCAAAGTATCTCTACTGAGGAACAAAATTCACAAGGTGAAGCCATGAAACCTCTGGAAAGTGCTGTTAGGGAATCAATTGACGGAGAGAAGCGAAAGGTTTTAGAACTTGAAGCAGAGCTGGAAAGTTGTAAACAATATCTTAATGATTGGACTGCCTGGTCAGATACTAAAAATCAGGAATATACTGCACTCCTTGAAGCCTACAATTCATATGTGGAAGCATACAATACAATGTCCACTGAGTACAATTCGCTGAAAGAATCCAACCCACTGACATCAAATGAAGAACTTGAAGCTCTGAAAACTACTTTAGCTGAAAAAGATGTAGAAATTGCTGGATATATTTCCGAACTCAAAGCCAAGGAAGAAGACTTGGTATCCAAAACAGCATCAATTGCCAAGATGAGCATCAGCTCTCATTTAGGTAGACTAATGGTGCATAAGCAGGAAGAAACTTCCCTCGCACCCGAAATTAAATCTTTAAGCTTAAGTAAAACTGAAGAAGTGAACGTAAAGCCAGATGATGTTAAAGCTCTTAGTGTTGTTAAGAATGAAGAAGTAAGCGTAGAGCCTACTGAGGTCCAACAGTCCCAGGACTGGGATGAACCTGAAGGTTGGGGAGAGGAATCCTCACCTGGCCAGGTTCCTGACCAGGTTCTTCAACTAGAGCAGGAGATCAGTGAGCTGAGACAAGAGATTAAACTGCTGCAAGGAACAAGATCAGAGACAGAGACAGAGCTGAACAATTCCAAGCTAAAGAACGGTAAGCTCCTGGTTAAGGTGAAAAGTTTGACTAAACAGATTGAAACCTTGAAGAAGAGTGGTAGTTCTGGAGGAGGAGCTGATGATCTTGATAAAGCTCTGGAGGAAGAGATTAATCACCAACTTGAAAAATCCAGAACTGAAACTAAGGAACTCCAGAAGGAACTGGAGGGAGTGAAGGAGGAGAAGAAGATGCTAGAGAGGAAGCTGGAGGTCCTGGAGTCCGGGAATGACCGGATGGTGGAGATGAAAGAACAGCAGGATATGGATGTGGAGTATCTACGTGGGAGGAACAAGGAGCTGAAGGAGCAAGTGGATGGGCTTCAATGGCAGATTGCTGAAGTAGAAGAGAGGTCAAGGGAAGAGCTCGCTGAACTACAGGTAGCCAATAAGTTCATTGTGTTTCTTTTTCTAGGATTGGGGTCATTCTATATCAAGTCAGCCACTTCATGGAAGTCAATGTCATGAATTTTCTTTAAGCTTTGAACACAGTTAACTTATGAAAAAATATTTCCAAAATATCCGGCGTCTGTGACCTCGGTTATGGCCTTAGTTTTTTTGACGAGTGTTTTCACCAATTTTGGAAGAAAAAAAGAATTTATAAATTCCATATTATTTAGCTAGTAACAACACAAAGTATCAGTTTTGGCCTTTACTTGATGTTCTAATTTTAGCTTTTCTTGTAACCCAATGCACTTGATATTGATTTGCGTGGTGTGGCTGAATTGATAATATGAAAAGGGAAGATTATAAATTAATATTTAGTTTTTAAGATATCAAATTTTTTATTCAAAAATTGTCTTCTGATTTTTGAATTGTGAAGGTTGCCCTGAGCTCGTACAAGAACACCGAGGGAATGGATGTTGGTCTGGTCCAGAAGGAGAATGCCAGGTTGAGACAAGAAATCGTTAATATCTCTGGAGAGTTCAATTCTCTGCAACAAGCTGCGGATTCTATTAGGTCAGAGTTTTATAGGGTGGCATATCCGATTCACAACGGTACATATTAAATCCTTGTGTCATGTGCATTTATGCTTCAAATATTGCAAAGGAAATTGACAGAATAAAATTTCTCGTATTTATAAAATTGACTTTTTTCCTAAATTCTTTCTTAGAGAAATACTACTGTAATGCTTAGTTTTCCTATTTCTTGAAGGAAAACTACTGTAATACTCAGTTTTCCTATTTTGTAAAGGAAAACTACTATGATACTCAGTTTTTTTAATTTCTTATAGGAAAACTACTGTAATACTCAAACTATCGTAATACTCAGTTTTCCTATTTCTTGGAGGAAAACTACTGTAATACTCAGTTTTCCTACTTCTTAGAGGAAAACTACTGTAATACTCAGTTTTCCTATTTCTTAGAGGAAAACTACTGTAATACTCAGTTCTCCTATTTCTTATAGGAAAACTACTGTAATACTCAGTTTTCCTATTTCTTAAAGGAAAACTATCGTAATACTCAGTTTTCCTATTTCTTATAGGAAAACTACTGTAATACTCAGTTTTCCTACTTCTTAGAGGAAAACTACTGTAATACTCAAAGTATGATTGATTATAAATAGTCTAATGAATATGAAACACATGAAATGTCCAGGATGTACAGACTCCTCTCGCTTATTGAGCTCACTGATGTTTTAGCCGCTGGAAAATCAACCCATCAAACACATAAAATTTCTTAAATGTTTTTTCCTCTTTTCTCCGCTTTATGCTTCCTATTTTAAATTGAATAATTTTCTTAAAATTGAATTAACTCGCGTGATAATTTTAAATAAAAAATTAATAAATAAAAAGAATTAAAGTTTGAACTTACGATATATTCTTTTTTCTGTCAATAACAATGTATTACCAATATCTAGAGCGGAGCTGGTCGTGGTTACGGCGAAGTTAAAGGCCTCTATAGTCGAGGCCGAGGAGTGGCGAGGACAGGCAGTGGAGGCCAGAGAGGAAATAGAGTCACTTAAGCTTCATATAGATGCACTTCAGAGTGAAAAGGTTTTTTCTTCAATGATAACATATTTTCTTCTTCAAGCCTCTGGTTTTAGTAGGGTTTCCAACGTAATAGATTATTCTCTTACGCGTAATTACGTGCAGTTACGCGTAATAATTTTCATTTCGTGTAATTTCGCAGGATTACGCGTACTTGGGGAAATATTCATTTCGCGACATTTCATAATGATTACGCGTAATAAGCGAAACTATAATTACGCGTAATAACGGCCTAATTTTGCGTAATTTCTACGATGTAATTTCGCAAAATTTTGTATTAATTACGCGTAATTAGCAAAACTTCAATTTCTACAAAGTAATTTTGCGGAATTTTGTAATAATTACGTCTATGAAATTTTGAAGTTTTAACTTTTAATTTAAATAAAACAACTAACTTACAAGGAAAATTATGTCACGCAAGTTGAATCAGAAATTTCAGCCAATACTATGTTGATATAATTTTCACGTTCGACAACTAAGAAGTTTAACAAAGGGCCAACAACATAATCTATAAATTTTCAATTTTCAACGACTTGTTAATATTTCACAGGGGCGTAAATAAGGATTCTGTAGGGGATGGGGGGGGGGTTTAAATTTTTACATTGTGGCACGCCGATTTTTTTGTTTTAGTTGGGTTTGATTTGCATTTTCCACTCATTTCTGGCATTGACAAACTCCACCAAATACAGGCTTCATTTCCTACCTTTCAGCTTTCACCATGNTATATGGAGGCCAAATTGTTAAATAGAAGGGGGGTTTCGGAGGAGTATATGGAGGCCAAATTGTTAAATAAAAGGGGGGTTTCGGAGGAGTATATGGGGCTAAATTGTTAAAAAGATGGGGGGTTTTGGAGGAGTATATGGAGGCTTAAATTTTTATATTGAAGGGGGGTTTCGGAGGAGTATATGGAGGCTTAAATTATTATATTGAAGGGGGGTTCGGAGGAGTATATGGAGGCCCTGAGATTAAATGAATCCTTGAATAATGAGATTACTGGTCTAAAAACATTGATTCAAACTCACCCAGCAGCTCACAGTAGCCAAGGTTAGCCTTTATTAGTCAATATTAAATAAATGGTTTAACGGAAACTATTAAAGGGACTGTAAACGTATTTTCAAGTGACTCAACATACAAAGATGGTAAAGCCCAATTAACAACGTAACCCTTAAACCTTAATCTAATCAAAAATGAGGAAAATGCTATTTATTTTAAGTGTTTAATTTTGACACTTTCTTCATTGTTTCTTACAAGCAAGAATTGCGCAAGTCACTTTCGCAGAGACTAAGACATAGATATCTACTAATTTAGTATATTTTTGATCAGAAATGGCATTTTTTCACTTGAAATTATGCTTACAGTCCCTTTAAACAAAATGAAAGAACCATTCATTAAAATTTCTGGAGTAAAAAATAAAGATAATTTACTTGTTTTAGGAGACAGTGGTCAGATTGAACAGCTTCGAGACCGTTTACGACGTGAACAGGAGCTTGTACTACAACTAGAGCAGGATCTGCTCGCCCGTGATGCTGCTCTTGAACAGGCTAGAACACAACTAGAGTTGGTCAGATCAGGACGGAGTAGGAGAGAAAGCTACTCGACGGACAGGGAGATCAGTGTTTTCTCCGACCAGGTTGGATTATTAACAAATAATTCTTTAATACTAGTGTTCAATATCACATCAGCATCTACTTTGGAAAACAACCTAACAATCCAGAAATAATTTGCAAGGATAAACGGGGATTGGAAGTCTTAAGTAATAAGATTAATACGATTTAGTAGAACATATTTATTTAGAAATTCGGCGTCGAAGAATTTTTCGAAAAACCTTTTCTATTAATACAAAAATAACTACTCTAGGACAGATTTGAACACACTTAGACGGACATGAACTAGAACTAAACTGTTCTGATTGCTCTAGGACAGATTTGAACACACTTAGACGGACATGAACTAGAACTAAACTGTTCTAATTGCTCTAAGACAGATTTGAACACACTTAGATGGACATGAACTAGAACTAAACTGTCTAATTACTCTAGGACAGATTTGAACACACTTAGACGGCCTTAACTAGAACTAAACTGTTCTGATTGCTCTAGGACAGATTTGAACACACTTAGACGGACTTAACTAGAACTAAACTGCTCTAATTACTCTAGGATAGATTTGAACACACTTAAACAGACATGAACTAGAACTAAACTGTTCTAATTGCTCTAGGACAGATTTGAACACATTTAGACGGACATGAACTAGAACTAAACTGTTCTAATTGCTCTAGGACAGATTTGAACACAATTAGACGGACATGAACTTGAACTAAACTGCTCTTAATACTCTAGGACGGATTTAAACTCATAAAGACGAATATGAACTAGAACTAAACTGTTTTACTTGCTCTAGGACCGATTTGAACAGACTTAGACGGACATGAACTAGAACTAAACTGTTCTAATTGTTCTAAGACAGATTTGAACACACTTAGACGGACATGAACTAGAACTAAACTGTTCTAATTGCTCTAGGACAGATTTGAACACACTTAGACGGACATGAGCTAGAACTAAACTGTTCTAATTGCTCTAAGACAGATTTGAACACACTTAGATGGACATGAACTAGAACTAAACTGTTCTAATTGCTCTAGGACAGATTTGAACACACTTAGATGGACATAAACTAGAACTAAACTGTCTAATTACTCTAGGACAAATTTAAACTCATGTAGACGGACATGAACTAGAACTAAAGTGCTCTTATTATTTAAACTCATGTAGACGAATATGAACTAGAACTAAACTGTTCTAATTGCTCTAGAACAGGTTTGAACTCACTTAGACGAATATGAACTAGAACTAAACTGCTCTAGTTGCTCTAGAACAAATTTAAACTGATGTAGACAAACATGAATTACTACGAAACTGCTTTTATTACTCTAGGACAGATAACTCATGTAGACGAATATGAACTAGAACTAAACTGCTCTCATTAAACTCATGTAGACGAATATGAATTACTAACTAAACTGCTCTCACTACTCTAGGACGGATTGAGTGAAAACTACAGGTTGAAACAGGACCTGGATACCAGTATCCGGGAGAACAGGAGATTAAGCAGCAGGATCCAGGCCTGGGAGCAGGAACTAGAGAGAACACAGAACCTTGATCAGGAGGGTCTCAGGGACGAACTCAGTCGAGCCATTAAGACCCTTCAAGTCAAGGTAATAAAATGATAACTAAAATTGAGTTGAGATCAATTTAAATCGGTTCTACTTCTTCAAACTCTTTAGTGTCAATAAATCAAAAGAGGGTCAGGAAACTAGAAAAACTTTAACTACTTTTCATTCAAAAATGTCCATCTCCAGTTAATTTTGAATTCCATGGGCTTACTTTTGACCACTAGTATCATGGTTATCATTCACAGCTATTATTATGAAAGTTTAAATCATGGAGATATTATTGTTTTTAATCGGACACGTATTGTATATCATAATTAATCTATTGTCGACCGTCCATTGATTAATAACAATACAGATAGGACACTAGCTGTCATCTTATCAAGATTAAGGTTTTTCGTTCATAATAACTGAGTCCTGGTAACTAGAAACTTTTAATTTTAAATTATATTTGAAATAAATCTTGTTTTCTGTTCAGGATCATCGTTGTGAGGAGTTAACCAATGATAACCTGATTCTCCTTGAGGAGAGAGACACACTCCAGCTCCGCCTTAGTTCTATGATGCGCCAGGTCGAGAGTGCAGCGAGTAGCCGGGCAATGACCCCGGTCCCAGGCGGTCAGCCCAGTCCTATAATGCCTGTTTATCAGCCGCAAGCTCAGATTATTGAACTTCATCAAAAGTAAGGGATTTGATAGGATTCGTAGCCGGGTACCGATTCGGACTCAAATATGGATTTAAATTCGGATGATCGAGATTGGGATGGATTTGGATTTGGATTTGGATTGGGATTGGGATTTGGATTGGGATTTGGATTGGGATTGGGATTGGGATTGGGATTGGGATTTGGAGGGTTTGACTTTATTTTAATTTGAAATTGATTGAAATAGACAAAATTGTAAATTTTTCTCTTCTTAAAATCTCATCTCAGTTGAAAATTTGTGAATAGTCCTGATATATGTTTAAAATTATAGGTTAGAGGAGTTACGAAGATTGAACTACTCCCTGGATGTGGAGTTACAGAAGGAGAGAGGGCAGAGGGAGTCCATGCAGCAGAGGGTGATGGCACCTAGGAGTAGACAAGCTGATCACATGCTTAACACAGGACAACAAGCAGATAGTCCAGTTAAACATTTGTGATTTTGAAGAATAGTCCAGCTGAACCCTTATTCAGAATCCTGAATTAGGTTGTATTTGTGCGTCAATGGATTAGTGCAGCTGAACATTTGTGATTCTGTATAAGTGCTTTTGAACTTTACAGGCAGACAGGTATAATTCTTGTGATTCGTTAGGCTAGGCTAAGCATTTGTGATTCAGCATATTATCAATTCAAGCCATTGTGATTCAGGAGTCAGCCATATTAAGATTTTCTGATAAAATTAACTCCCTTGTCTAATCACTTCTATGATTCAGCTGACAACCTGTCAATCATTAGTGATTTAGCTGACAACCTGTCAATCATTAGTGATTTAGCTGACAACCTGTCAATCATTAGTGATTCAGCTGACCACCTGTCAATCATTAGTGATTTAGCTGAGAACCTGTCAATCATTAGTGATTTAGCTGAGAACCTGTCAATCATTTGTGATTTAGCTGAAATTATAATTTGTATAATTTAAAGTATTTAATTAGGTTGTTGATTGGCATCATTAAGTTGTTCCCGTTAACAAATCCAGTCCTATTTATATTCGACATTTTTCATGTCAAAACAAAAGCATGTAATCTCATTGGCTGAATATTCAGTCCAATCAGAATACAAGTTTTACCGATGAAATGGGGAGGAGAAGTGTGAAATTGTGCAAATATGTTGTATTACAATCTTTATATTTTATTCTTGTTGGAAATTAATGAAATTTGAAGAGTTGAAAATTTTAATAAATTTTAGCGTTCGGTTCGAAAAGGCTTGGCTAATATTCGGAACTTCAGCCTTCAATGTGATATTGAAGAACAGTGATAATTTTTATCCTTTGTATTGAATTGTTTTTCAAAAATGTATAAATATGGTTTTAATAAAGATGACATGGTTAGAAATTGTTTTTATGGTTTCGAATCAAATATGTTTTTATTCAAGTGCAGCGTTCATAAGTGGTCAATTATAAATGCCATTGTTCCTGAAGGAATTTTATGTAACTCATGTCATTTACAACGATTTTTAAACAGGAAATTGCTACCTTTTGTTAAGCAATCTAATAAAATTTGCATCTTCCTGCATTCAATTCAATCTACTGCAGTCATTAATTAACATAAATGGTAACCCTCCGTAGGAATTCTCACTGTGTAAATTGCAACATCCCGCTGAATTTTATCGGGTTTAAATTGCAACCCTCTGCTGAATAAACTGATTGTTGTAATTAATCCTAAATTATAGAGCTGTAAGTGAATTTTTAATAGACCTCTTAAAAGATGGCAATTCCTGATTCACAACGGCATCCATTGCAAGGTACTAATGCAAGGAAAGTTATTTCAGAGGTGTACGCATTTTTTGTACTGCAGTGTACTGTCTTTGAGAGGAAAGTAAACACGAGACGGATGTCACAGCCCGACATGGAATCTATTTTCACAAAAATAATCTATGAAATATTCAGGTCGTAGGACAAAGTGAATAAATACTAAAGTGGAACAGACTAAGGGAACGACGACAGGTTGGGCCATAAGGTTTAATTTGGTTTGAAAATAATTTCATGAAAAGATTTCGTTTGGAAAGTAAAGACTAGAAAAAATAGACTAAAGACCCATGTAAATGTCGTCTTCAGATAGAACTTCGAAATTTTCACGATTTAAAATCAAAATTTTTTGTACGTTTCTATGTAGTTTATATGTAAATACTATTTAGTCGCTTAATCAATTCATTGATTTTGCCTGGCACTTCTAATTCTAAAGGAATTTATCATATATATATATATACATATTTCTAAATACTTGGGACATAAAATGTCGTCATCCAACTATGAGTTTGGTCCACTTTAGTATTTATTCACTTTGGTCGTAGGAAGCTAATATGTTAATTTTCAAAATTATCAAAATTAAATGCTTTTAACCTCCTCCGAACACTGATCTATTCTTGATTAAAAATTACGCCCAGAGAGAACTGGTTTCAATATGTATTGTACGCATAGTATACCCGACCGGAATTAACTTTCCTTGCATTAGTACCTTGACCCCTTGAAGCTTTTGCTGACCCAGTATGAATTAGACGTCGAAAGTTAATAACTTTAAACAACTGATTATTTTCAATTCTGGTTTCTGTACTGCAGGGAAACATTTTTAGAATTATTAGATTTATAATAAGAACTTAACACCTTAAAAATACGACTGTATCTTCCACATCTATTCGGGAGACCCACGACCACCACCTTGGTTTTGTGATTCTGAACTATGACAAAAGCATGTGAAGTACAGAGTATACTGTTGTGTTTTAAGCACCTCGTTCTGAAAGCACAATTCAGCAGTTTCTCTGTATTTTATGATCAAACTAGGAGCAGGCACGTCCCATCTTTTCCAATCCGTTTCTAAACGTTTACATAAATTGAATCAAGTCTTTGCCGCAAACCCTGATTTTCTCATGATTATCCTCATATCGTTGCAACCCAATGTCGTTTAATATTCAAACTGTGAATTATGTTAAATGAAATGAAAATTATTATTATTTTAATAAAATATACCATACATTTATATAATAAAACAAGACTTTCAAATTATGTTCCCTATAAACGGCTGGACCTATTGGGCTGCCATTTTTTGTGGACACTCATGAGTGGCGGGGCTGTTATGTAGGCTAAAGAAATCGTATATTTTTTCAAAAAAAAATGTTATCAACATTTTTTTCCATGGGCAACGCCGGGCCCTTTAGCTAGTATTACAGATATTAATGGTTTAGTTTAATTTTATTTTGTTAAATATATGAGAATGATATTAAAACTATTAATATTGAATATTCATTATGCTTCTTCAAATTCATTCTCAGAAATACTATGTTCATAAACTTGTCAGTTCAAAGAAATCTAGTCAGTTTTTTAATAATCAAAACTTTTGAAGGAGCATATTTATTATACTTAAAAAGGTTGATTCAATTCAGGAAATGTATAAAAAAAATTGTGAGAATTAAAAATGTAAGTAAAAATTTAGAGCAAGTAAAACAAAAACATTCTTTTAACTGAATTAATACATTTAGCCATATCAAGGGTTGTTACTAATAGTGACATCCTTCCATACTAATCAAAGGGAGTAAATTGCAATTCTCGTTGTTTCTAGTAGGCTTGACATCGTTCCATACTAATCAAAGGGAATAAAGCAATTCACGTTGTTTCTAAAAGGCTTGACATCCTTCCGTACTAATCAAAGGGAGTAAAGAAATTCTCGTTGTGTTCTAGTAGGCTTGACATCCTTCCATACTAATCAAAGGGAGTAAAGAAATTCTCGTTGTTTCTAGTAGGCTTGACATCCTTCTATACTAATCAAAGGGAGTAAAGCAATTCAGGTTGTTTCTAGTAGGCTTGAAATCCAAACTATCATAAGATGCAGCTTCTTAGGAATTGTAGCGGAACAGGCTCATTAAGAAGCAATAACTAAACTTTTTGTTCAGTTATCGTAACTGTGGTAGGCGATTATATCAATGTAACGAAGACGACTTTCAGTGTAAATTTTGATTCATATGAAGCTGTTAAACACCATTCATACTCATAAACATAGAAGTCAAGAGAAGCTGTCGATTAAAAACCCATTAAGTCTGAAAAAGCTTGTTTAAAATAAAAACTTTTTTAAAAAATCGTCTTTATTGTATTGATATAATCGCCTACCACTGTATTTTTTCCGGCAGTTAATGATGTTGTAGTTTGTTTTGATTTTTTTAAGCGCATTTACCGCGTAACTGCCCTTATCCATAACGGATGCAAAGTTCTTTATAGAAATAATCAATATGGTTTGGGAGTTTAAATTCCAAAAAATAATTTCAAATTCATTACTGATTTGAATGTAAATGGTTTTTCCATTCCTTAATGAATTTTAAATTAATTTCAAACACAACGTTTGAACAGAATGTTCCAAGCCCTAGACCCAACGAACCCAACAGGGGTTAAGTGACATCTCATAATTTTCAAGTTAAAAACAATCTCAGAATATATAATACTTTAATTTCAGGAATGAAGAAACTGTTAGATAAATTTTAAAATTTTAATTTCAATATTTTTATGTTTCTATGGGTTTAAGACTAAACAACTTAATTGAGTTGTTAATTTATTTTTTAGTTGGATCCGAACAGGGCTGGCAAAGCTCAAAGTTGAAAAAGCTAGATTTTTAAATTTAAATATCTGTGCATTCTAGTAAATATGTAGTTTAATTCTGTTTGAAAAAAGTTAGAATATATTTGTTGCACAGGGTGGTAATCCCTGTTCTATAAAGAAACTGTAATTTTTTACAGATGAATGGGGATTACAGGAATTAAGTCAGTTATTGAACCAACCAGTGTTTAAACGCAATTTTCACACTTGTATGCCAATTCCATTAGCGCCTGATCCAATCAGGGTTCAATCATGTGTGTGTTGACTATTCTAAACCAATAGAAATTGTATGTCGGTATCATCTATCTCATTATCTAATTAGAGTTATTCGAATCCTTTAATCGGCGCTATCAGTAAATGGAAATATTTTCTTCTACTGAAACTGTTAAATAATGATATTTTTCTGTAAACCTTATTATTCAGTAAACAGCAAATATTTACTCTCACAAGTGATTTTTCTAGCATTTAATTGATCTTAATTCATTTTTAAGTATTTTTTTTACAAATTTTAAATATGACATAATTGGCTATATACTATTGTAATGAATTTCTAAACGACAAGTAAATAAACATGTGCGGAAAATAGAATAATAGATGCACAATTGTTTATCCAGTTTTCTTGAAATCTTTGCTTTGCACAGAGGGTTTAAACCAAACAGAATAGAATATATATTAGAGTGGAATTTAGATCCTTCGGTATGAATTTTGTCAGTCCCTTTCAGCCTGAAAGGGATTTCAAAGTGTACAAATCATGTAAATGTTCACAAATTATATGAAGTAGAGTACATTAATACAGTATTGTTAACCATTAATTTTAAAACCTCTATAAAATGTCGTCTTCAACTTGAATCTCCTGTCGGAGACAGCCAAACCAAATTTTTAGCCCGCAATTACCTAGTTGCGCCACTGTTAGGTTAGGTCGGCTTAAAAGTCGGTCCATCCAGGCTCAGCTCGCCTTATTTTAAATAAATATGTTCTACAGTAGTTGCCATGTTAATTTCTTCATCGTCAGCCTGTGGACGGGTTACTGCAGTACATATGTACATCCAAGTTCTATTTTAAATTAAGAATTATGGATCCTAATGAACCAGGCAAGGAAAATCCTCCCCAAAAAAAACCTTTTTTGAACTATCGGATAAAATACCTAAAATGATCATCCTAGTGTAGTGGTGGTTGGTTACCAAGCTTTTTAATAGGATAGTGAAACGTGTTAATTTACAAACATACTTAGCTTTGAAAATAAAATGAAATAAAAAATTATGCAATAAAATAATTCATGAATACTGTATAGCAGCCCAGTGGCAATGCTGATGCACATTCAGCATTTCAAATTACAATCTAAAATTTACAATTTAAAAATATTTCTTTTATAAAACAGGGAGCACTGGCTCCATTTCTATGGATCACGCTAACTGATTTCGTTGACGCCGACGAGGGGAGGAAGGCCAACCACATCAATCTCTAGTCCGAACCACATTCTCATCATTTTCTCGTCCGAACCACATCGAAATCCTCGTATTTTCAATATTATTTTTTTAAAGTGTCCGATCCTTGAAAATAAATACATTTAAAAAAAATGAAACTTATTACGCGTAACGGCACGTAATTACGCGTAAGAGAATAATCTATTACGTTGGAAACCCTAACTGAGCAATATAATATTGCTCAGTGAAATATTGTTGTTCAAATAGTTCCATTCCCGGAGTTATTTTACACTCTATTATGAAATCCATTAAAACACCAAACCACCCCGCTTATCATTGAAAAACACTTTGACCCCTAGAAGTATGAGTTCGCTGACTGTACAATTCTTGGTGATTTTGCGTACATAAGCTATCTATGTTTATTTATTTATCTATGACCAGGACCATGAGATAAAGATAGATTGCGCATAAGACGACATTTTTCATATATAAATGTACAGAGATGTTTTAAAGATATTATATAGATAACTAGGTCGGTTGTGAACATTGGCTGCTCTTATGTCATTGAGTACTTGTGGTGTACATGAGTTCTGTAGAGAGAAATTTAAGTTAGTTTAGTCCTTCTCATGTCCTTCTTCAGTTCTCGTCACTATTATATATTGCTCAGTGAAATATTGCTGTTCAAATAGTTCCATTCCCGGAGTTATTTTACACTCTATTATAAAATCCATTAAAACACAAACCACGCCGCTTATCATTGAAGTACACTTTGACCCCTAGAAGTATGAGTTCGCAGACTGAACAATTCTTGGTGATAAGCTATCTATGTTTATTTATTTATCTATGACCAGGACTATGGCTTTTTATTTTGTTTTAAGAAAAATATTTCTAAAATTAGGCTGCCTATGAATGCCAAAAAAAATTTTAAAGGCCAAAGTCAAATTTGAAGTTTTTCTCGATTGTATAAATAGTACGCTAGATTAAAAATAGCACTGCATCTGAGTGTGATCGATAGTAACACAAATCCTTATATGGTTAATTCAAAAATACTGTAATTTTAGAATTTAATTATCATCATCTTAAAATAAGAATATGCGCCTTGTACCTTGGAAGAAGCTGTTCAGGATTGCTGTAGTGTGCTCTACTTTTTCTTTAGTATACCACCTGTTTACAAGGTATAGCTCTTTACATAAACATTTCATTTTATGCTAAAATTATGGCCATTAACAACATTTTGTAGCAATTTCTAACTATCTGGCAGTTTTTCAGAAATTTTTATTTTTGGAGTAATTTTGCAATTCTTTAAATTCCAGTGCAATTAATATTTAAACTTGATTGGATACGTATGTAAATTAAATCACTTTCAATTTCTGAAATTAATTCAGGTATACGAATCTGATTGAACAAGTAGCTCTGGCCACCAATATAACTTTATCTGAGGATCAGAGACTAATTAAACCTTATATAAGTATGCACAGAGTACTTATTTCAAAAGTAAATTCGTACTTTGGCAACTTAAATCGACCATTTCCCCCCTTGAGTGTATTATGGGTTTGAAGGAATTGGGTAAAGGCAATGATAAATTTTGCTAAAAAAGAAAAAATTGTCCTATAAATATATTTACACAGAAATATATACTAATATTAAAGCAATCCACTATATTACTCACCCTCCCCCTTTTCTGGAATTTTTATGAATATGTTATGTAGCTGGGTGGATATTAAGGTAAGATCTCGTGTAAATCGAGTGAAATAAACTCAAGTCTTCCCCGTGTAAAAACACGGTTCTGGACCTGTGATAAGCACCACATTAACCTAGTCAACACCCAATTTAGAACGAGATTTTCACTACTCACTCATGTGAAATATTCCAGATAATTTCGGGTTCTCTACGCAATTTTGTTAGTTGGGTAATAGAATTCTTTTTAAGTCAACAGAGGCCGAATTTGAAGCATTTGAGCCACGGCTTAGATTTGAGATGCGGCTAAAATATGGTTGGTTCCCCTGAAAATTGTATTCAATGTTACAAAATTAAAGCCGGCGCTACTCAATTGAAGCCGATTTTTGGCAGATTTGAGACGTGGCTCAAATTCATTAAATCCGGATTCAACTCAGATGAAAGGAACCAGATTTACAAGTGTTAATTTTGTTCTATAGGAGGTACATGTCCTGGTAGATTGGCACTAGGAAATGTTATTGGATGCTTTGAAACGCTTTGGGCCTTTAGCATCAGATATAAACTTCAGGTACTATACATACTCATTCTAGAGCATCTTTTACGTAGCTGGGACTAGGGTTGTTAATCATTTTCAAAAGCTATTGAAAAAACCATAGATTAATAACAACACAGATAGAAAACTAGATGTTGTCTCGTCTTTTCAAGTTTTAGAGGTTTTTCGTTCACAATAACCTTGAGGCGGAAGCCCAAAGGAGTTTCGCGTAGGCAGTGTTGATTTGGAAGATGACAGAGAGAGAGTAATGCGCTGCTTGCGTGGAACTCCTTTTGGGCTTCTGGCTCAGGGTTACTAACTTACTGTGAACGAAAAAAACCCAAATCTTGAAAGGACGACATTTAGTGTTCGATCTGTATTAGTAGTATTTATATAGTTGATTATTAATAAATAACTGAAAATAAAACATTGAAAGCCTAAATGTTATTATTTTTTATATCAATAATCTGAAAAGAAATTATGAATGTATGTAGGTAGTTTTTCCCGACAAAGAACTAGCTGTCATGAAAAAAACCTTTAAGGTATCATTTCGTTACAATCTAACGTTTTTTATTGAACCCAAGGTATTCCGGGAATAACAAAGGCTGAACATTTTTTTTCTTTTTCTTAGAATATTTGAAGCTACTTAATTGATTTTTTTATGCTAGAATATTGGTGAAAGTGTTCTAAGCGAATCAGAATTTAAAAAGTTATCCCAGCAGGGACTCAAATGGAGGAAAGTTCAGAATGCAAATGTTTTTTTTCTTGAACAGGTAAAATTTAAAATCCATTTTTTATTTTTTACTAAAATAATTTCATTACTATTGATGCAATATAGAAATATCAGTTTTGTAAGCAGTGAGACCATGTGTAAATTTGCAAAATTGTATTCTTTAAAATATAATAATTTTAGGAATCTTGTAATCCAACTATTGATATTGAACAGTATAAGAAAATGGTAGGACAGGTTAGAAGTATTGTTAATGGTTTTGGGTACTTTCCATAAAACTTCCAACATTTCAAAACTGTTAAGATTTTGTTCATTTAAGTTTTGCGATATTTTTATCCTAAAAAATGGAAAAAATGAACAAAAATACTGACTCTGAGAGAAAATAAAGGCAAAAACAAGCCAAAACTTTTCTACAGGAAGGGGGGGGGGTGGAACAGTTTCCATATAGAAATCCAACTTTTTAAACTTTTCGTATGAACGTCTTTTTCAGTTTGGAAGTTAAGAATAGAGTAAATCGAGATAAAATTTAATAATTTGAAAATGTTTATAGTGTTCTCAAAAAAGATGTCTGTTTATAATCTTTACAGCATGGAAGGAAGCCTGCCTGCCATCCAATATCTATGGAAGAGAATATTAGAATTGAAGATAAAGTTCCTGTTATAATGGCAGCTCTTTTACCCTTCAGGATAGTTTAATAATCGGGGAATTTTTTTTTATTTGTGGTTTATTATATTATTTTATTTGTTGAAATTTCTCGAATCAGAATTTTTTAAACCTCATAAAATAAATATTGAACCCTATAAATACAATCATAGGCGATTATATCAATTCAATGGAGACGACTTTCCATTTAAATTTTGATTTATATCAAGCTGAAAGCAGCATGGATTCACATAAAGAGAAACTGTCTATTAACAAGGCTTCTCTTTGTTTACTTGTAAACATGTAATTTGAAAAAACCTTGTTAACAATCAACACTTAGATTAAAAAGTCATTTTCATCGTATTGATATAATCGCTTACCACTCACTGTAAGAAAAAAATAAACTATAAAATTAAAAATTCAAATACAGGACAGAAATTACTCATCAGCTTGAATTTGTGGATAGCGTAAACAAGGAGGTAATTATTAACAAGGTTTATTTATCAACTGGTAATTTTTGTTTTATGAAATACTAGCGAAGGGCCCCGCGTTATCCGTGAAAAAAAAAAAATTTGAAAAAAAAATATATTTTGAAAAAAATTCTAATTTTTTAACCTAGAACACCCCCCGGCCACCCATGAATGTCCACAAAAAAATGTCAGCCCAATCGATCCCGCTGTTTGGCCGGCTATAGACAACATATATATATATATATATATATATACACACGAATGTCTTGTTTTATTATATAGAAGAATACTCAAAAGCAGAAATTTGTCGGGGTTTAAAAAACAAGAACTGATCTAGTGACTAAGTTGGTTTTACCTAAGTTTAGAGTTTAGTTCAAATATAAAGAGGCCTCGAAAGAATTTATAAAATGCCGTGTTCCTTACTTTCTGATAACGGAATGCTGCAGATATTTATTTTTTAATTAAATTATATGGAATGGAGTTCTTTAAAACTGTTACCGCATATTCATGGCTATTTATTTATTTTTGCAATTACTGAGATTTACACAGTCTTCACTTGGTCTTTATTTGGGCGTATATAGACGCGAAAGCCGGATTTTACTCAGATTAGGATTTCCTACAAAATTTTCGTTGAACGAAATTTGCGAAAATGAACGCAAGAAACTGAACGAATTTCGTTAAAGTTTTCGACCTTATTTTCGTTGCAAAATATATTTAATAGATATGGTAAATTAGCAAATAATCCCAGGAAAACAATAATGTTTTAATATGATAGTTTCAAAATAGTATGAATGCAAATTTATAAAATGAATTGTTTATCAGTGATTTTCTGCATTTCTATTTTCACATCTAGCAAATCCTATTAACTGTTTAGTGTTGAAAAGGGTTTCCAGTCGAAATTTTTGCACGAAATTCGTGCAATAATTGCGCAAAGATTTCAAGCAAATATTGCACGAAATTTCGATGTTTTTGCGCATTGATGTGCAAAAACTATTTTGCGCAAATTCTGAGGAAAATTTGGTATTTCTGTATTTCGTTAATTCATGCTATTTCATTATTTCGTTAAATTTCAAGAAACAATTCCAGGAAATAAATTCAAAATTAAACCAATCAGAGTCGACTATACTCCAGCCTGCTCGGCGCTCACAAATGCTGGCCGAATGAGCCCCAATTCTCAGGTTTTAAGTCACCGGACCGTACTGACTATTACACCGTTTACCGGAAATGAATCTCAAGTAGTAACTGAGTTACTTACAAATTAATTAATCATATTCACATTCACTAATCATCAGATTCAGTCCGGTCTGAACTTGGAGACGAGCAGGGTTAGATGGAAGTTGTTTGTTTACTGAAACTAATTCACACCATACTGTCTAAATATTAAAGTCTTTCATATTAATGCACTATATATTGCATGCAACAAATATTACTTAATTTCGTTTTCATGCACACTGCTGTACAAAAATTTCAATTTTTTGTATTCATGAGCATTGCGAAAATATATGCGAAAATGAACTGTATTCATGCAATTATCAGGAAAAAACTCTGACTTAAATTTCATATCCATGCAAAATTTCGTGCAATAAAATCTTTTATTTTGAAGGAATGTGCAATTTTGTGCAAAACTGGTTTCGTATTGATACAAAAATGATGCGGAATTTCGTGCAAAACCACGCAACTGTTGCGTAAGAGAATTGACTGTTTCGTGGAAACCCTAGTTGAACCTTGAAGGATACTTTACAGAAGACTGTATGGGGGAGGTTTGGAAGCCCTATTGGGACGCACACTGCCGCAAAAAGTTAAATGAGGTTCAGAAGCTGTGCAGGGGATGTTGCCTTCCCTCCCTCGAGTAACCCTGTATATTTAAGGTTCAAGAGTCAGCACTAAACAGGATAACACATAGATGTGAAAATACAAATGCAGAAAATCACTGATACACAAATCATTTAATAAATTTTCATACATACTATTTTGAAACTAACATATTAAGAAATTATTGTTTGTTTGTTTACCATATCAATTAAAGAATTTTTTTTTGAAAGAAAATAAGGTCAAAAAGTACGTCAAAAGTAAGTCAAAATTTGCAAACATCTTTAACCAAATTCGTTCAGTTTCTTTCGTTCATTTTCGCGAATTTATGACTGCAAAACAATATATTTTGACAACCTTTTAGATCTTTGTAGATCATATTAGAGTGTTTATATCTTACAATTGCGATTTTCGGGACTAATCAGAAAATTCAAAATGAATAAATCATTTAAAGAAATTGTATAAGGCTAAAATAAAAGTTGGCATGTAGAAAATACTAGTTTTTCAAGTATTATGTGTGTATTTTGGCGTTAAAGCTTAGAGATAATCCAATATGATGTGATACGCTCTGTATAATATTTGTAAAGCTAACATCGACACAAATTAAACAATTATTAGGCTGATTATGTGATTGGTAAAGTTGGTGATCTTTACAGTAATCCTGTATTTATTGGAGTTCATGTGAGGAGAACTGATTATGCAAGGTACCTTCATGTTTGCTGGGACACTTATATGTTTGCTGGGTACACTTTCATGTTTACTGAGTACACTTTCATGTTTGATGGGCACACTTTCATGTTTGCTGGATATACTTTACTGTTTGCTGGGCATACTTTCATTTTTGCTGGATATTTTTTACTGTTTGCTGGGCACACTTTAATGTTTGCTGTGCACAGTTTCACATTTGCTGGGTACACTTTCATGTTTGCTGAGTACACTTTCATGTTTACTGGGTACACCATTTAATGTTTAATGGGTACACTTTCATGTTTGTTGGGAACACTTTTATGTTTTCTGGGTACACTTTATGTTTCCTGGGTACACTTTCATGCTTGCTAAGTACACTTTTATGTTTGCTGGGTACACTTTTTTGTTTTCTGAGTACACTTCCATGTTTGCTGGGTACACGTTCATGTTTGCTGCATACACTTTCATGTTTGCTGGGTACACTTTCATGTTTGCTGGACACACTTTCATTTTTGCTGAGTACTCTTTCACGTTTGCTGGGTACACTTTTATGTTTTCTGAGTACACTTTCATGTTTTCTGGGTACACTTTCATGATTGCTTGGCACACTTTCATTTTTGCTGAGTACACTTTCATGTTTGCTGGGCACACTTTCATGTTTGCTGGGTACACCTCCATATTTTAAACAAATACCTATTTAAAATATACATACATATAATTTAAAAAAACAAAATGTGGAACTATAACACTTAATTAATTAACTCTATGATGCTATGGATCACCAGAAACACCAAATTATAAAAAATGCAATATGTCAGGTTGTCTACCAATTTTTACCTTCAAAATTAACGGAGATATTTGAAAATTTGATAATCAACAAAACTGACATTTTAAAACATCAAAATGTAGAGGTCGGGAGGACGGACTCTAACGTTTTCCAGTATATATCTTTACACTAAGAGGAACTCTATAAGATTGTGTATATAAATCACACGAGATAACTATATGAGCCTTGCCGCGTAGCTTGATGTGGAACCCTTCTCCGGTGGCCAGCCATCGTCTTCCGCACTAATCATTAAAACTATTTTTTATTATCTGCAAGTTTCTTGCGTTTTTAACTGTTATTTTTCTTAAAATATAGAATATCAAAGCCAAACTAAGAACATTCCCGTGGGTCTACCGAGATATTCCCAATCTATATTTGGACCAAATCGATGCTGGGGTTCCTGAGTTAACAAACAAACAGAAAAACAAACATAATTTCAACTTTATATATAATAGTTGACTCAAAGTACTTTAACGACACGATGAACTGGATGAAAAGAAGGTAAGTAATTTCTATCAAAACATGCGTTCTAACAAACTTATCGTAATTTCTAACAAAACTTGTGAAATTTCTAATACAATGTTCGGGTTTTCAAAATTTTATGAACCATATGGTTTAAACATTTAAAGATCAATTTTGAGTAAGTAAGTAAGTAATTATTTATTTGTGGAATATACCAAAAACATACAAAATTTAGTGTTTCAGGAGAGAATATTTAAAACCTTCAAAAAATTGGTTGTTGGAATGTTTCCCCCCAATTCTGAAAAACAAGGAAAAGGAAATTTTACATATTTATTGTTAAAATTTCATTTTACTTAATTGGTGGTGGATTTTTCGACGATGAATTAACAACTTTTAGAAATATAAATTATGGATTAAATTTTAATGTTGATAAAATAGGTTTTAAGGATGTGAAAAAGATATAGTTTCTACACAAAACGGGTTTTTTAAAATCATATTTTTACCTTGATCCAATTTTTGACATCCTTTCTGTGTGACTATATCTTTTACTCTTTTTTATCTTTTCTTTGCAAATCGTCTTTGCTTTCTTTTTATTTTTGCAAAGATGGCATCTGTTAGGTATAAGAACAGTGTGTTCCTGGTTGCTAGCGATGATATGAAATGGTGTGAAGAGTATTTATCCCAGCCTGGAGTTCACATGGTAGAGTTAAAATTTCCATTTGATCATTTTATTACTTTATACAGGGGTAGGCGATTATATCAATACGACTTATTTATTTAAGTTTTTATTGTTAACAAGCTTTTTTTGAATAACAAGCTTGCAAGGAATTGAAGAGTAGTTTTTAAATTGACAGATTTTCTTAACTGCTATGTGCATGTAGATATATCCATGTTTGGGTTTCCAATCGGAATTCCGTTGCGCGGAATTGCGCGCAATGGTTGCTTCCGCTTGTGCTATTTCATTGCGTGCAATTGCGCTATAATTGCGAAAAAGGAAGCAATTAAATATTCACGGAATTGCGTGGAATTGCGCGGAATTTCGCGGAATTGCGTGCATCGGAATTGCTTTTCTATCTAAAAATCAATAATTTTAACTGTTCGACTTATGTAGCAGATACAAGAAGGGAATAATTATATCTCTGTTGATTTTAAAATAATCGAGGCCAGAGTGTTACTTGTTGTAAGAGTTTTCAAATTTTAAAGTTTCTTGTGGTTAAGCTACTAATTAGCAATTCAATATGATACATTATAAAATATAGCGAGCAATTTCGCGCAATTCCGTTGCGTTTATTTGCGCGCAATTATCACGGAATTGCGCGCAAGGGCTCGCAATTGCGCGCAAGTAAAATTCACTTGCGTTGGAAACTCTATCAATGCTGTTTCACAACTTGAAATAAATCGAAATTCATCCTCATCGGTTTGATATAATACTGATATAATGCCAAGACGATTGTACAATTCTTCTAAAATAATTATTTTCATAGGTTGGAGGAAACAGCGCAGCACTGGACTTCGGGAAACATAAATTTACATTTTATCCATTTCAAATTTTTTAAAACATTACCTACAGTTAAACCCTAAATGATCCATACATCGACATCTAATGTCGTCTTGACAAATTTTCAATGGGTTTTATACTATATTACGTAAATCTCAGTAATTGCGAAAAGGAATAAATAGCTACGAAAATGCAGGAACAGTTTTATAGAGCTCCATATAATCATTTAATTAAAAAACTAATTATCTGCAACATTCCATTATCAGGAAGTGAAGAATACGACATTAATAAATTGGCTTTACACTTTAAACCTTTTTAACCTATTTGATCCAATCAGTTTTGTTACATTAGAAGTCTCTGTATTTCAATCAATAATTTTAACATTTTTATAAATGGTTTAATTCAGAATTCCTCATTTTTGTTTTTTATTATTTTTATCTAAAATTTGGTTGTTTTCTTCAGCTATCTTAGCTAAATGTAATCACTCTATTGTTGATTATGGATCTTACTCCCTATGGTCTGCTTTTCTAGGTGATACAATTTTAGAATTTAGATAATTTAAACTTAAATATATATTTGTATATTAACTGTTATTTATATTTAAATTTTGTTTTTAAATTCGAAATTGTTTTCAAAATTAGAAATTTTCTTTGAAGTGCTTATAAAATTCCACGGGCAACGCCGGGCACTACAGCTATTATAATAATAACTTTTTGCAGCTGGAGGCAATGTGATAACATCTGCTGATCATCAGTAAGTGCATATTTTATCTTTTAAATTAAGCTAAAGGGTGTCCCAGGTTGGTAGTTCAGAATGTCTTCTTCCAGAATTTGTTAAGTTGATTGATACCAAAGGGAATAATCAAAAATATTATATGGCATTCACAAAATAAATTTGATTTCAAAGTAAAACATATTTGAGTAAAAGAATTTTTTAAAAGAAATAATCTGCGGAAAATCTTTAAGATATAAATACAGTAGATGGAAGAAGACATTCAAAACTATCATTTTTCGTAGTACACATGAACTTTTTAGGCTCCTCTGGGTTATCGTAATTTACAGATTTCTTTTGCGTATTTGGTGAATGTGATCTGTATAAGACATTGATTCATATACTGCATATCTTACATATATGAGTTTTGGTATAACTTTGACACAGTTTTGTATAAATTTCTCAAGACAGGGACATCAGGTTGAACTATTATTTGTGGCGATCAACTCCTAAAATTTTTAGATAAATCATATGGCTTAAAAAGTTGCCTTGACTTGTTTAAGTTACAAATTTCAAAAAATATCATACATTAGTACAGTACAGTACAGTACAGTACAAGACAGTACAAGACAAGACAGTACAAGACAAGACAGTACAAGACAAGACAAGACAAGACAAGACAAGACAAGACAAGACAAGACAAGACAAGAAGTACGTCAGAAAAATGAAAAGAAATGCAACTTAGCATTATTCATTATTTTTTTTTATTTCAGAGGTGCTGCTAGGTCCGCAGGAGAAATGCTGGGCTGGAAATTATGGAAATTCGATTTTGAAAATTGAATTATGTAGATACACTTTAATAAAAGCCAAATATAAAAATACTGTTATTATCAGTTTTATTTGAAAAAAAAATCAAGCCATTCATTGTTACACACATAGATTAGTAATACTACTGATAGAAAGCTAGTTGTCGTCTTTTCAAAATTTATGGGTTTTTCGTTTACAATAACCCTGGGGCAGAGGCCTAGAGGAGTCACTCGCATGTTCTCATCTCTCAATCTTGTAATCCAACGCTGCCTACACGGAACTCCGTTGGGCTTTTGTCTCAGGGTTATGTGAACGAAAAACCCCCTTAGATCTTGAAAAGACGACCTCTAGTGTTCAATCTGTATTGTTATTGATCTATGATTCATTTTTTCACAAATTGGTCACATGGTTTATACAAAAAAGCCATTATAACAAATAATGAGGGTTCATGATTCAGGATTTTGGATTCAGGATTCAGGATTCAGGATTTTATTGGGTTCAGAGTTCAGGATTCAGGATTTAGGATTCAGGATTTTATAGGGTTCAGAGTTCAGAATTCAGGATTTAGGATTCAGGATTTTATAGGGTTCAGAGTTCAGAATTCAGAATTTAGGATTCAGGATTTTATAGGGTTCAGAGTTCAGGATTCAGGATTCAGGAATCAGGAATCAGGATTTTATAGGGTTCAGAGTTCAGGATTCAGGATTCAGAATTGAAGTTACATCAACTAATATTTACTCTGTATAATAGTATATGTATCTAATGTGTACTTAAAAAGATCGATTGAAAAATTGTAGTCTTTTTATTCTACTTTTAATTAAAAGTAATTGTACTATCTATTACACACAATGATTTGGAATAAAACATTTTATTCATCAAAAAAAACATTAAAAGTATTTTTGAAGTATATATGTACAATGTACAACAGAACTTCACATAAATAATAGGTATATTTACAATACAGCGCAATTCAGCTAACTTAAGTCTGAGATAAACTAGATGTGCTTGTTGTGTAGTCCTTATGTTTACACTTTAAAAAAAACTTAAAATTAGATCTCATGGACGATTTTTTATCTGAATGCAAATATAAGGTGAACATATTATGGCCTTATAATAAAATAAATTCTTATTAAATACAAAAATTTGCATTTATTTAAAAGAAATAAAATCCTTTCCGGGACTAAAGACACACCTCCAAGCCACTTTCTTTTTATTATGAGCATATATTGCTCGGGAATACTCCTACTTTAGATAGAGGGTTCCTGGAAATGATAAAAACAGTCCCTTTGACAATACTTTTCCGCCTAAACCTCTAAAGTTGAAATAAAAAAATTTAGTAACAGATTCCAACATACGACAAAATACAAGAAATTAATCTGTGTTTCTTAGTTTGAAAGAAATCTGAACAGATAAATGGATGATCGCAAAAATCAGTAAGCTTATTTCATGGATTAAGCACCATTTTCACATACAACTTTTGACCTATATCAAATTTAATATTCGCTGTTTCTAGGGACTTTAACTTTTCATAGAAAGGTATCGTAACTAGGCCGACTCGTTATAATCGGGGGGCGGGGTTCGAGCTTGGGTTGTTTTCCCTGGTAACTGATGTCCTCCGTTTTCGACCTTTTCTTCTTTGCTTCTTCGCAAAAGTAAACTAAAATATGAAAATGAAATGATGAGCATTTTCTGGTTGCTAGTTGCAAATTAAGTTGACAATTTCTGAATCTGGTAACTTGTTACTTCTCGTAAAACCATTTGATATTTTAAACATTAAAATTTGGTAAATCAATTTTTATAAAATGTCCAAGGTTCACACAAGATGTGGGAATTGGAAAAAACGGATATTTATCCTCTGCAAGTAATTTAAGAGAAAATATAAAATTAACTAGACTAAATTAGCTCACAGAAACATATTTTAATTTATTAAAATTATAGAAAAGTTTTCTTTTGACGGATTGAATACTATTCTTTATTTATCTTTTTTAGGTGATTTTTACCTTTTTACAAGATAAGCAACAACAGAAAGGATAAGAAGCGCTCCTACTGCGAAGAGAATTGGATAAAGTATACTGCGCGCACGCTCAGGAGCGTGCACAGCCATCTGAAGAAGATTTACCGTGTCCTCGGGAAGTTCATCCACGCCAGTCTAAGAAAAAGGAATTTCACATATTGAAGAAAGGAATGTCGAGCCTTTTTAACATAATCATATCACGTAGAACTAACAAGAACAAAGAACACACTGTATCACGTAAAATTAACTTGAAAAAAGTACACCCTGTATCACGTAAAATTAACTAGAAAAAAGTACAGACAAAATTTTCTATGTATTCAAATATCTGGGATTCACTGGAGCAAAGACGAAAAATCTTCATTTAATGAAAAAAAAACGGTTCTTAACTCACTGTACTTTTAACTGGGACCGTGTATATATACTAGAATCTCTAGTTTTACCGTGTCTGCATACTAGGACGTCTAGTTTACCGTGTCTGCATACTAGGACCTCTAGTTTACCGTGTCTATATACTAGGACCTCTAGTTTACCGTGTTTATATACTGGGACCTCTAGTTTTCTGTGTAAATATACTAGGACCTCTAGTTTACCGTGTCTATATACTGGGACCTCTAGTTCACTGTGTCTATATACTAGAACCTCTGGTTTACTGTGTTTATATACTGGGACCTCTAGTTTACCGTGTATATATACTGGGACCTTTAGTTTACCGTGTCTATATACTAGGTCCTCTAGTTTACTGTGTTTATATACTAGAACCTCTAGTTTACCGTGTCTATATACTAGGACCTCTATTTTACTGTGTCTATATACTAGGACCTCTAGTTTACCGTGTATATATAAACTAGGATCTCTAGTTTACCGTGTCTATATACTAGGACCTCTAGTTTACCGTGTCTATATACTAAGACCTCTAGTTTACTGTGTCTATAGACTAGGACCTCTAGTTTACCGTGTATATATACTGGGACTTCTAGTTTACTGTGTTTATATACTAGGACCTCTAGTTTACCGTGTATATATACTAGGACCTCTAGTTAACCCTGTCTATAAACTAGGACCTCTAGTTTACCTTGTTTGTATACTAGGATCCCTCTAGTTTACCGTGTAAAAATACTAGGACCTTTGTTCACCGTGTTTATATACTGGAAACTCTAGTTTACCGTGTTTATATACTGGGACCCAACTCCCCCTCCCTTAACGTTTTTTGAAAGATTTGTCAAAGTCTGTTCAATGTTTATAAAACTTTTTCTATGAACACATGGCTTTAGAGGTTTTATACTGTCCACCTCGTCCATCTATCCCTTCAACAACATGAATGTCTCCTATTTATAAATTTTTTTATTTTAAATTTATTTGTTAGAACCACTTTCAGTCGTTGGATTTGAAAATGATAATCTTTCTATAAAAGCCTATTTCAAAAGAAAGCAGATTCCAAAATGTTGCGAACAATTTTTTACACATGTTTTTTTTCTTAATTACTCGCCAAGAGGTCACTGGTAATAGGATAAGAGAAAAAATAAATAAAAGAATCTTACCTGAAACCAGAAAATTGGATAAATGATATCTCTGACCCCCTGCAGCTGTTTTACATGTTCCTGAGCTTGCATCACAAGGTTAATCTGACTCCTAGCCGTAGCGTGCATTGCAATCCCCATTTTCTACAAGAAAACGGTAAAAGTACACCTTATTACAACTATAAATCAGTTAGAAGACACCCTTCCAGTGCTATACCCAACAATCCCGGCAACGTCGGGGTGACGTTATTTCGACGTTGCAGTATGGTCAGCTCAGTTGCAACAACTTCGTGCGTTGAGGCCTGTTTAAGACTCGTTATGACCCCCACAATTAACTCTAACTCAAGTGAATCTCCACTCGCCAACTGGTATTTTAAATTCACAACAGCACTATATATGACAACTTTTGTCCGGTCAAGAATGCATGAGAAATTTGCCATATTCTCTTTTTAAATAGATTATTTTTAATTGTTGTGTCAAAAAAGAGTTACCTACATGTTTTTGCTCTAGAAATGATTAAGAAAATATGGATTAGATCATGGTACCGCGTTGAGAGTTAGACATGCCCCTTTTTCATTTTTAAATGAAAGGTCCCTTTAAGACCACCTGCAAGTTTGCAACCTGTAAGATCTGTAAAGAACACAACACAACCTACCGAAACTAAAGAATACAACCTACCAGAACTAAAGAATACAACCTACCGAAACCTAAGAATACAACCTACCAGAACTAAAGAATACAATCTACCAGAACTAAAGAATACAATCTACCAGAACTAAAGAATACAACCTACCAGAACTAAAGAATACAACCTACCGAAACGTAAGAATACAACCTACCAGAACTAAAGAACACAATCTACCAGAACTAAAGAATACAATCTACCAGAACTAAAGAATACAACCTACCAGAACTAAAGAATACAACCTACTGAAACTAAAGAATACAACCTACTGAAATTAAAGAATACAACCTACCGCAACTAAAGAATACAACCTACTGAAACTAAAGAATACAACCTACTGAAACTAAAGAATACAACCTACCAAAACTAAAGAATACAACCTACCGAAACTAAAGAATACAACCTGGTAAAACTAAAGAATACAACCTCCTGAAACTAAAGAATACAACCTACCGAAATTGAAGAATACAAGCTACAGAAACTAAAGGATACAATCTACCGAAACTAAAGAATACAACCTACAGGAACTAAAGAATACAACCTACCGAAGCTAAAGATACAACCTAACGAAGCTAAAGAATACAACCTACCGGAACTAAAGAATGCAACCTACCGGAACTAAAGAATGCAACCTACTGGAACTAAAGGATACAACCTACCGGAACAAAAGGATACAACCTACCGGAAGTAAAGCAAACCACTGATCGGAACTAAAGAATACTACTAACCGGAACAAAAGAATACTTTTTACTAAAACTAAAGAACACAACCTACTGAACTACAACCTACCGGAACTAAATAATACAACCTACCAGAACTAAAGAATACAACCTACCAGAACTAAAGAATACAATCTACCAGAACTAAAGAATACAATCTACCAGAACTAAAGAATACAACCTACCGGAAATAAAGAATACAATCTACCAGAACTAAAGAATACAACCTACCGGAACTTAATAATACAACCTACCAGAACTAAAGAATACAACCTACCGGAACTAAAGAATACAATCTAACAGAACTAAATAATACAACCTACCGGAACTAAAGGATACAACCTACCGGAACTAAAGAATACAATCTACCAGAACTAAAGAATACAACCTACAGGAAATAAAGAATACTAATTACCGGAACTAAATCCATCTGGAACTGATGTTTCTCTCTTGTAGGATTAAGCCCGTCTACTGCATCTACTAAGGATGGGTCAGCTTGGTAGAAATGAGGCCACGAGAGCATGACTGGAGATCCAAACTGAACAGTTTAAAATAAAGTGTTCAGAGTATTGATTTAAAAGACAATATGTTTTCAGGAACAGTTTGAAATCAATTCTGAACTTTATAACTGATACGCTGATACATTAAAGTTCAATGTTGATATTTATACCAGACATACTGATATATTCAAGGTCAATGTTGATATTTATTCCTGACATAATGATATATTCAAGGTCTCTGTTGATATTTATACCAGACGTGCTGATAAAAAAGGTCAATGTCGATATTTATTCCAAACGTGCTGATATATTAAAGGTCAACGTTGATATTTATTCCTGACATACTGATATATTCAAGGTTAATGGTGATATCTTTACCTGACATACTGATATATTCAAGGTCAATGTTGATATTATACCTGACATACTGATATATTCAAGGTCAATGTTGATATTATACCTGACATACTGATATATTCAAGGTTAATGTTGATATCTATACCTGACATACTGATATATTCAAGGTCAATGTTGATATTTATACCTGAAATACTGATAAATTCAAGGTCAATGTTGATATTTATACCTGACATACTGATATATTCAAGGTTAATGTTGATATCTTTACCTGACATGCTGATACATTGAAGAGTCCTGAGGGAGCACAAGGTTCTTCCTTGCAATAACATTTATTTTTAGGATTCTCTTTTGGAGTTCCGAAAACGTTGCTTGGAGGAACAAATCTAAACAAAAATTGTGTAATTACTTCTAACTTTTCGACCTTCAATATCGGACCTACGAAAGCTGCTTATTTTGTATTACTTGAGGGTTAGGTTATAAGTTAAGACCGTTTCTGGGCTGACCGCTGCGGCTAGGACAAGCTAGGAGGCCCAGCACTGTGACTGGAACTGGCCAGGGGGCCGGAAGCTGGGACCGCAAGTCCAACTGTATTAATATTTAAAAAATATAAAACAGCTTCCAAATAAAATTATTAACAGTAGGAATCGTTTTGTGAATAAAATATGAATGCCTTTATATAAACATATATGGTAAAAGAGTAACATTCAACATCAGAGAAATTACTCCACAAATTGAGTGTCAGTTGAAAATATGTCTACATTCCCTTTACTCTGAGAGCCAGTGACCTGTTAGTATTAAGTCCAGTGACCTGTGAATATTAACTCCAGTGACCTGTGTGTATTAACTCCAGTGACCTGTTAGTATTAAGTCCAGGGATCTGTAAGTATTAACTCCAGTGACCTGTAAGTATTAACTCCAGTGACCTGTATGTATTAACTCCAGTGACCTGTTAGTATTAACTCCAGTGATCTGTAAGTATTAACTCCAGTGACCTGTAAGTATTAACTCCAGTGATCTGTAAGTATAAACTCCAGTGACCTGTAAGTATTAACTCCAGTGACCTGTAAGTATTAACTCCAGTGACCTGTAAGTATTAACTCCAGTGACCTGTAAGTATTAACTCCAGTGACCTGCAAATATTAACTCCAGTGACCTGTAAGTATTAACTCCAGTGACCTGTAAGTATTAACTCCAGTTACCTGTAAGTATTAACTCCATGATGATCAACGTCCTCCTGATAGACCAAAGGAAGAGACTGGCAGAGTGCCTTGTTATACATGTGCAAGGTTTCATTCCTCACCAGGGCGGGGTGAAAAAGTGTTCCGTCTGATCCTCTAAATAAAACAAAATTATTAAAGGGACTGTTAAGCGTATAATTTCAAGTGACCGTTTATGCAAAGATGGCAATGCCCGATTTAAAACGGTGCCCTAAGAATCTTTATCTGCTCAAGTATGATTTAGATGTGAATGATTTTGTTGTTTTAGTTGGTTGACGTTACAATCCACATTTTTTTATCAAATATGGTTTCAAGGGTATCATCGGACAATGCTTTTATAGCATAGAGAGTCAGTTAAAAGTGAAATATTTCAACAAAAAATAACAAATTGCAAATAAAAAGTCCTTATATCGTGTCAGAGAAAATATATTTCTTAAATTAGAAAATATTAATATTTCACGGAAACACATTAATATATACTGAAGAAATCTTAACGTTGTGTTCTACCTATCTATAAGACACTCAAGTTTTTTATTGATTTTCATAACAATCTGTGAGAACAGAACCCCCCCCCCCTTTGTACCATTTTTCTTCCACAAACCACCCCCTCCCCTCGTGATATATATATATATATAAACTAGACTTTAGGCGCTTGGCAAAAATCTTTTATTTTGAATTTGGCTCTATCTGTGAGCATCTTCCCTTTGTATAATATTAAACAAAAACAAAACAAAAAATTCGCAGATTTTCAAAATTTTACAAAATCAAAATTTTTTGAGACAACTTTTTGAAATTCTGAGCATTCATAAACCTTCCCTGCGGTCACGTGATGTCCCGATTGGTTCAGCCGTTTTGACATTTATCGGATAGAAAAGGACAGACAAGCAGACAAGCAAAGTATACATAGATGTTATCTATAGCTGGCAAAACTGAACCAAATTGCTGACATTTTTGAGGAAATTCATGGAATTAAAAATCTAACATTTATTTTCGAAATTCGAAATTTTTAAAACTCCGCGGGCAACGCCAAGCACTTTAACTAGTATAAAGTAAAGTCTGTAAAAAGTTCTTAATTGTAATGATAAACCAATTTTTCATGTTAAGACTAAAAGTAACTTAATTTAATAGTTTTCTAAAATATTTGGCTTTTCGTTTTGTATTTTTTTATCAGATTAAGGTCAAAACTGCTCAACAATTCACGGATAAAAATTAAAATTTATGACCCAAAATAAGAAATTATTATTTGCTTACTTACATTAGTAAAGAATCCAAATTTGTCAAATGGGAGTTTTTTTTCTGGAGGGAGCACATCGTTGCCCAGCTTTATCAGAGGATGATCAAACCCCCAAACTATTTCTCCGACTGTTGTAGAATTAAACACCTAAAATAATCGAATTTGATTTTTCTAGTAATAATGGATTTAAATATGAATAGAGCGATAGAAGATGTAAAATATATATATACATGAGCTGAAGACAGACAAATAGATAGATAGATAGATAGAGGGATAGATAGATTGATAAATAGATATGTAATTAATATCGTGTAACCCTATATCTGTATAACTGAACTAAGTTGTACATAATAATAACCTAACTACGCATTCTATTAATTATCAACGTTCGTAAATAATTACGTAAAACTTGTAATTACGTTTATTAACTTAACCTGTATCATAGAATTCAAAATAAACGTCAGTTGGAATAATACTCCGCTTTGATTACGGTGTGAGTGTAGTTGTTTCTTGGCTAGCGAACGAGAAGCGTCTCGAATCTTTTTCTTGAAAGAAAGATATAGATTGGGAATTAAATTGAGTTGTATCTTGTAAGACAGATACCTGAGAGTACAGACTGAGTCGCATCCGGATTGATGCTGACTTTTGTATTCGTGTGAACCTTACCTTGAGTTCCTGATTGAGTTGTATCTGGATTGGTGCCGGTCTTAAAGTATTTATTGGAGTAGGACTATAACTACAGATAGATAGATAGATAGATAGATAGATAGATAAAAAGATAGATAGATAGATAGACAGATTGATAGATGGATAGACAGATAGATAGATTGATAAATAGATAAATAGATACATAAATAGATATAAATAGTTAGATATAGATAGCAATATTAAGATGGATAGATCGATAGATATAGATAGATAGATATTGAGATAGATATATATTTAAATAGATAAATAAATAGATCAAGGGCGACATAATTTATAATTTCTCAAAAATTAAATAAATAATGTCATTTGCGAGAAGTGTTAATTTTGTGCGTTATGCAACAATGCCCCGTATGGTTATAACTAAAACTTTCTGAACAGTTTTCAAATAAACAGTTTTCAAACTCACGGGCAGCCGTAGTTAATTTGAATTTCCGAGCCAGGTCAACCTTTCCGGTCCCAGTTTTTACTGTATCGCCCGGACATTGGGTAAATAAAGCAGACACTCAATAGGACTAGCCGGTAAAACAAGGTTGACGCGGTCAGACTTTAGGTTGAATTTACTTTTGCTAAAGGGTCAGAGGTGCGTGAAATGATATACATCTTATAATCCAAAATCCAGAAAAAAAAATACAAACCAATGGAGGTTAAATAACAAAGAAAATTTTTTTGGCTGAAAATAAAAACTCGGCGATTTACTTTCATAAAAACATGTTTTTTTCACCTCTTGCTTTAGAATATCCAACATAGAGCTGAGGGCTTGCTGAACTAGTTTACCGGCCCACCTCATCTGGTTTATACTGCCCTGAATATATATATAGGGTTAAATAGTATAATAAATTCAGTTTATACGGCCCTGAACACATTGGGTTAAACAATTTAGTTTTATACGGCCCTGAACAAAAAGGGTTAAAAAATTTAGTTTATACGGCCCTGAACACATAAGGGTTAAACAATTTAGTTTATACGGCCCTGAACACAAAGGGTTAAAAAATTTAGTTTATACGGCCCTGAACAAAAAGAGTTAAACAATTTAGTTTATACGGCCCTGAACACAAAGGGTTAAACAATTTAGTTTATACGGCCCTGAACACTAAGGGTTAAACAATTTAGTTTATACGGCCCTGAACACAAAGGGTTAAACAATGTGGTTACACACTTGAAGAGAAACTTGGGCTTTGACCTTAAATAAAAAATCACCCCCCCTTCATAAAAATATATTAGTTTTTTGAGCAAATCGTTATTAAAAAATGTTACTTACAAACATTGGTATATTCGGTAGGGTTACTCTATCCTCTACTCCTCCTATTGATAGATCACGCCGAAACCTAAGGTATTATCATTATTATTGTTATCATCATTGATCAGAAATTGATAATTATCATTTTTATTGTTATCATCTTCAGCAATATTATTAGTTTCAAAAATAGCAACATAAATTTATAATTATTATTATCTTTTTATGATGATTAGTATGCCGATTATTTTCAATTGTTATCATCATCATCATCATACCTATAAGTTCTCTTGACTGAATATTTGACTGTGGATCCATCCTCCCCCCAGACAACCCCAACCTTCTCCATAGTTTCCTCCCATGTGTACGGTCCCATCTAGACAATGCAGTACAGTACAGTACATTGCATTACAGTACTTTACAGTACATTACAGTACAGTACAGTGCAGTAAAGTACACTGAAATTCAGTAGAGTACAGTGCAATAAAGTACAGTACAATGCAATACAGTACAGTAAAGTGCGATACAGTACAGTACAGTTCAGTGCAATAGAGTACAGTGCATTATAACAGTAAAAAACAGTATATCTGTACAGTACATAAAGTGAAAACCATTACAGCACAGGAGATGGCACTGCAGTACATAAAATACCATACTGTACAGTAAAGTACAGTTAAACTAACAGAACAGTACAGGCAGTATATACCGTACCGTACATAAAGTTCATTACAGTACATAATAGGACTAATAAATTCCTTTTTAAAATCTAGATATTTATTTTACGTATATCATCATTTACAAGATTGTTAACATGGGTTTAACACAAATTTTTTTTTTACATATAGTTATAAATCATTATATATCATTTATATTCCGATCTTCATTATTTCATGTATCTTTCCTGTTTTCTTGGTTGCTTATATATTTGTTGCAATAGCCTGATGGTAGTATGAAAAGTACACTAAGATAGATAGATAAAAATCACCCTAAGGGCAGACCAAAAACGTATTACTATAAGATCAATAGTATTGTGCACTGTTTACTGTGTGTGTTTTGGAGCCATACATTGCAATTTGCTATAATTTTTTTTCTTAAAAAATATCTAAAAATCATAAATAATTCCGAAAATACATAAGCTTACCACAATGTTAATCTTATCTATATATATAAAGTAGTAATCTATGTTTGTCTGTTTGCTTTTATGTCCAATCATAAACCATGAACCCCTGGACCGATTTGCCTCAAATTTTGATTGGGAAAATCGGGAGAACCACGGGAATGTTTTAGCTTAGTTTTGTGATTCTAGGTTAAGTGGGCCAACTTTTATATTTAAAAATAGCTGAAATCGTAATTTACGGCCAAGTGCGGGTAAACGGTGGGAGTAACTATAAGTACTCCTGGCAACGCTGTGTTCTAAAGCTAGTTAATAGTAATATATTTGTTCTTACTATAGACACGGTTATATATATGTAACGGCTTTGACCGGGGAAACAATATATTATAAATATTTTCATTTAAAATACAAATTATAAATGGAATAAATATATATAATTATATAATTTTTTTTCTACTTTACACTTTAAATGAATTATAACATTTAGCAAAAGTGTATTATATTAATTAATTCATAGAAAGATTTTTAACAACAAATTTTGTTTCCTTTTCAATGTGAATGTCAAACAAACCCCCCCCCCCCTCCATCCCAAACCAACATCTTTCTTTGTTGGCAACCCTTAATGTTGCCAGTCTTACTATATTAATCGGGCTTTTCAGCACTGAAGATACATAAAGACAGTACTTTAAATAAGATTTTAGGGTGTTCCAAAAAAAAATTCTGTGAAAACATAAAAAAGTTGAACTCTTAAATGCGAAGACAGTACCAAAAAAATTATTTCAGGATCGCCAAAACAAATATAGAAACAATTGGCTTTGATCGTTTGTTTTCTGTGGGAAATTTTCTGTAAAATTACCAAACTAATTTTTTTGTGACACCCTCCTAACTATAACCGTTATTTTCGAGCAAACGTAAGAGCTCAAAAGGTACAAATCTTAAACGCTCCAGCAATACACTGAAACATGATATTAACCACAGACTAGATATACATAGACTGCTCATAAGCTCCCACACGGGCTTTATGAAAAGCTCGTCAGACGGACAGCCTTGTTTTTTACTTTCTTTGACATGCATTAATTTAAAAAATCAAAGACGACTTTCAAGTCGTCACTAAATTCCCATGTTTATTGGGACACCCTGTCTATATTCAGACAGGCAGAAAAAACCAATTTAGCTAAGCCGTAGAGCAGGGGCATATCAAGACATCGTGTTTACTAAATATGTATATAAAATAACAGTATTAATGGAACTAACGTTGTAATTTCAAGTGACCCTTCATTAAAAGAGGGGAATACTGCATGTCCGATTCACAATGGTACCCTTGAAAACAGAACAATAAGGTAGAGGATATCCTCGTTTTTTTGGTATGGAAAGTGTTAATTCTGAAACAAACATACGCACGCCACTTTTGTAGAGAAAAAAAAGCTTAATAATAATCAGATTTGCATAAGAAAAAACATGGTAATCTCATACTTCAACTTTCTGATCAAATTTTTAAGGGAATCGAAGATGCCACTCTATAAATGGAGGATCACATGAAATTAAATCTATGCACAGTCCCTTTAAGATATATACAAATAAAGTAGAAGAAAAGGATAAAATTACCTCAACCAAAAAAGGTTTCTCCCCTTTTAAGAAACCCTCGGGGTTCGTAGTGTTGAAAAAATACAACCTAAAAAAATTCATTTAAAATGTTGGGCTTCGAGTTATAATGTTGTAGCCAGGGGCGTATTCATGAATTTGTCTAGGGGGGGCTTAATTTTTTTCTTTCCAGTGCAGGGGGGGGGTCAGAACACGTTGGTACCTGAAAACACCGTAAAAGTCATAGACTTCACTGGTCCGGGGGGAGGGGGGTGAGCCCCAATAGCCCTCCCTGAATGTGCCTCTGGTTTTAGCTTAACACTATATACGTGATCCGAAGTTCCGATGTTATGAATAGCAAATATAAAACTGTAACGATTTAGTTGATTTGTGGTTCTAGATATTAAACTGAGAATGACTAGCAAAATAAATATAAAATAAAATCTATGACTAAAAAGTACATAGACTTTAGGCAAAGAGAATAGAATATATATTTGAGTGGAATTTACTCGAAAAAAGTGTAAAACGGCCATTTTGTTGTACTGTTTCCATACTGCAGGTGTACTTCACATATTTATGCTACATAACCTTTTGAGCCCTGGAACATCATTTTATAGAAAAGTTTTCTTGAAAATTATTTGATTTTCTATAAATCAAAGAGGGAAACCCAATATTTTAGAAATATTATTGGTATCAAAATATGGCCCAACTTTTTTTTCCCCTAATTCATTTTATAAAGTTTATTTAACAGGGTAAATACTGTATTAATATACTCTACTGCATATAATTTCTGAAAATTGACGTGAATTGTACACTTTGAACTCCCTTTCAGGCTGAAAGGGACTGACACAATTCATACCGATGGATTTTCTAAATTCCACTCTAATATATATTCTATTCTCTATGACTCTAGGACTCTTCAGTCCTAATAGCGGATAGGATCCAATCGAACAAAACATTCCATTCAACGCTGCTAAATAAATGTTTTCAACAAACAAAAAATAAATGAAAAGTGTATCCAAATATTTCTTGAAATCTTTTTCTATTTTTCAGTGAAAAGAAACAGTTTTATGTTTAGTGCATCCTGCCCAAAGTGTGCAAAGATGATTCATTTTATTTAGTTTTTTTTTACACGTCACGTTTATTGGCCCTACCTTAAAAACTAGCATCAACAAGTTATGTTGAAACTTAAAAAAATACACCCGTTAATGGAAAGACGATTTAGACATTGCCTCATATCACTTTAGCTATTTAATGAAAACATATTTTAAAAAAAAAGGTTTTCTTTTCAAAATGTGGTCTATCGTCTAAAACAAACAAGAAGATTTAAGATATTTAGACACATGTTCATATTTGTACAGTGAGGCCCATAAACCTATGGAATAGTATGACGACATTTAAGCCATCTTGTGTGTATTTGATGCTGTTATGAAGCAACTTGAAAATCCACTGTTCAAGTGAAATGAGTCTATGTACACTGTACACAGTAATATTGTTGTTTTTCATGTTCATGGGACTGTGTACACTGTACACTGTAATATTGTTGTTTTTCATGCTCATAGGACTGTGTACACTGTACACTGTAATATTGTTGTTTTTCATGTTCATGGGACTATGTACACTGTACACTGTAATATTGTTGTTTTTCATGTTCATGGGACTATGTACACTTTACACTGAAATATTGTTGTTTTTCATGTTCATGAAACTGTGTACACTGTACACTGTAATATTGTTGTTTTTCATGTTCATGAGACTATGTACACTTTACGCTGTAATATTGTTGTTTTTCATGTTCATGAAACTGTGTACACTGTACACTGTAATATTGTTGTTTTTCATGTTCATGAGACTATGTACACTTTACACTGTAATATTGTTGTTTTTCATGCTCATGGGACTGTGTACACTGTACACTGTAATGTTGTTTTTCATTTTCATGGAACTGTGTACACTGTACACTGTAATATTGTTGTTTTTCATGTTCATGGAACTGTGTACACTGTACACTGTAATATTGTTGTTTTTCATGTTCATGGGACTGTGTACACTGTACACTGTAATATTGTTGTTTTTCATGTTCATGGACCCCATCTTCACAGACCGTAACCTGTCACGTTAAAAACATATTATATATTAACAAACAATCATATTTACATATATACAGAGTGTCTAAATAAAGTGTACCGAAAAAGGTTGTACAGGGCTACCCACTAAGGATCTGACTTTAATAACGACTTAAAACTTTTAGAATATAACGATCTAAAGGCTGATTTTATTCGTATTCCTTTAAAAGTTCATTCTAAAAATCGTTCGTAAAAAATATCGTTTTTCAAGTTCGTTCAAACGAACGATTTAGAAGTCGTTAATGAACGATTAAGATCCTTAAATCGTGTCTTTCCGGTCCTTTATAAAAACGAATGTTTTTTCATTTCGCTAAACGAAACAAGTCGTTCACAAAAAGATTCTTAATTAACAAAAATAAAGATAGTGTTTACCTCATTAAAGGTTTTACTGGGGGGTGCAACCAAGCATCAGTTATTTTGCTTCCAACCCTATTTTTGGAAAATTATCATCAAAATTCATTTCAAATTTAAAAAAATTAAATTTTAAAAACTTATATTTTAAAAACTTAAAAGTGTCAAAAATGTCAAAAGTTATTGTTATTACTAATTTGGTAATATTTTTCTTTTAATCCATTTTTTTGAGTATTAGAACCAGTTTGATATGCAGTACTGCTTCGCCGAAAGATAAGTTTGTAATTGCGCATTATTCTAATTTGTTTCTTTTGTAAAACTCATTTATAAATATTTATAAATACAAATTCTAAAGATTTTTTGATCAAGGATTCGGAATAAAATAATTTTTTTAGGAAAAAAAACATTTTTAAGAACTTAACAATTATGATTTTGATAAAAATTGTTCCTTAATGGTATTTGATCTCTGATCATGTTTTCTAGAAAATCCTTGAACAGTATACACACAAGTATGCCACCAATAACTAGCACTACCCCTAGCAAACTGGACAGTCCTGAAACACAAATAAAAATTTTAATATTTAATGATTCATATACAAACTTCTATAGAAGTAAAAAGTTGTAATCTCCGATTGTCAGTTTGTTTGTTTGATCATAACTCATGAACCACTTGACCGATTTGCCTTGATTTGAAATCGGGAGAACCACGGGAATGTTAAAATGTCTAGCTTGGTTTTAAGTTGGTTCACTTATATAGGAAAAACAGCTATTATCGTAATTTGCGTCCATGCGCGAGTAAGCAGCGGGAGTAGCTATGAATACCTTGGGCAACGATGGGCTCTCAAGCTAGTTGACAGTATTAAATAATCAAAGTTTGAAATATCAAATAACTAAACCATCTAGTTACAAAGATATATGGATAAGGAAATTTGAGTTTGTGGCAAGGACCCATATTGCCTGGGCAGAAAATAGTTTTGGCAGCTCACAGTCTCATGACCCAAGGTATGAGTTATGAAAACCAAAAATATTTAAAAATGTCAAAGAAAAATTTGTTTTTAAAAATAGCAAAATCCTATACCAATGATAGCAGAAAAATCGGCCATTTTCCCGTTTAAGGAGTGTTTTCAAATTAGATATTCAAAATAAATTGTAATTGTAGTATTTAAGCATATCAAAAAAGACAATGAGAAAAAATTATTTCAGAACATTTACTTTAACCCAAATTAATGTGCAGCTTGCCAATAAACGTTAACACGGCTGAACCGATTGGGCCCAATTTTTTATGGCAACTCAAAAGGATAGTAAAACTTGTGCCCGAAAATGATGTAGACATTTTTATTTTTGAAAATGTACCAATCTAAACAGAAAATTTCTAATCTAAACAGAAAATGCACCAATCAAAACAGAAAATTTGTAATCTGAACAGAAAATGCACCAATCTAAACAAAAAAGAACCTGTCAAATCTTTCGTTGGGATGTTTAGAAAGATGAAAATTTCCCTGTATGATAATTGAAGGACTGCAGTTTGGTTTTGGTGAATTATATTGACGTACTAAGCCTAGGGGTGTCAGAAATGATTTTTTTTGCATTTTTTTGAAAACGTCCAATAAACCTAAAAAAGTTTAATTTTGATCAAACTTTTTGTTCTGGATGATTACAAATAACTATCTAAAACTTTCTTAAACCGGCATATTTTTTCTATATTCATTTAGTTAAGAGTTTGAGTTAAAATAAGTATTAATAAATATTGCTTTATATCGAGTAAATATCTTTAAACATATTGATGTGAAACCTTTCAGAGAGTAGGAAAGATTCCATTAAGTGGTCAGCTGATTAGTATTAAACTAGCTTTTTTGTCCGTGAAAATAGTGCAAAACTATAAAGAAAACATCCCTATAAGTGCTTACTTATATTTTTTTATTAAAATAAAAAAATTCTGTTTGGTTTCTGTACCCCCTCCCCCCCAGTACATTGTAGTACCCTGTACCCTAAAGCACTCTGTATACCCTGTTTCCATCACTTTCCATAAAAAGATTTGGGAATTACAAATTGGTGTTTTTGCCATTCCTCCCTCCAATGAATCATCAGCTGTTTAGTTTTAAACCATCAACGGAACCTCTTTTATACTGTTATACACAAATGAAAATAATGCAAAACTAGAGTAAAGTGCAACCCAGAAAAGCTTCTATATAAGTTCTAAATATTTTTGTTCAAAATAAAAATTCTGTTTGGTTTGGCAACTTTTTTTTGCAGAATCTTTCCTACTTTCTAAAAGGTTTTACATCGGTATGTTTAAGGATATCTACTCGATATAAAGCAATATTTATTAATACTTATTTTGACTCAAACTCTTAACTAAATGAATATAGAAAAAATATGCCGGTTTAAGAAAGTTTTAGATAGATATTTACAATCATCCAGAACAAAAAGTTTTATCAAAAATAAAACTTTAAAAGTTTTATAGAAGTTTTTAAAAATATGCAAAAAAAATCATTTCTGACACCCCTAGGCTTTGTACGCCAATATAATTCACCAAAACCAAACTGCAGTCCTTCAATTATCATACAGGGAAATTTTCATCTTTCTAAACATCCCAACGAAAGATTTGACAGGTTCTTTCTAATCTAAACAGAAAATGCACCAATCTAAACAGAAAATTACGACTTTTAAAGTACCAGCTAAAAGCTCCAATTGTTAGAAAGAAAGGGAGCGTGAGGCTTAAATCTTCTTAAATATGTGTAAGACAAGCCCCACCAGTGTACATTTGAATATCCGAGCTAGGCCAACCTTTGCAGTCCTACTTTGGAATGTGCCGCCAATTTACAATTACAAAAGCGGCAGAGGAGTGTGAAGAGCTATCATCATTATTTTTTTCTTTTATGTGAAAAGATTTTATTATTTTTTAACGAATTTATTTCTAGGCATATCGTTAAAATCTTAAAACAATTTTAACAAAATTGTACTTTTATTAGCCATAGGTAGTTTAACATTTTAAGCTGAACCATTCTTGATTCGTTCAATTGTATGGTTGAGTTCGAAAAAATACAATAATGTATATTACTCTTTTTTTAAGGGCTTGCCTATTATATGTCACAACCGCTTGTTCAACCGCTACCTCTATTTTTCCCCCTCCAAAGAATAAATTTTCAATAAATGTGGAACTAACATCTACTTTTTTTACTCTACAGAGGTTTGGTCCATCACCATCACCGAATTTTAAAGAATATATTATTGTAAATAGTTGAGGTATTATTGAGAACGCTTGTAAGCCGCACAGCTCACAATGCAATGCGTAACCTTAAAGCCGCAGCTCACGTTTTTGAGTCATGAGACCTCAATTTCATTATGGGCCCATGGAATCTAGCTTAAAATTCTGAGAACTACTTAAATAGTGACTGCAGCGATAATTATATATTTAAAATTCGGTGATGATGATAGACCCAACCTCTGTAGAGTAAAAAAAAGTAGATGTTATTAAAGTTTCACATTTACTGAACATATATTTCGGTCTGGGTTGACGATATAATAACCATCAAAATTGATAAAAAATGTTAAAGACCACAAGAAAATAAACAAACAAAAAATATAATTTAAAAAAAGATGGGCTGTCAAATGGACAAAAGGGAAACGAACTTAGTTCATGAGATGGAAAAAAGATAATTTGTAAATATTCACTTTTTAAAAAATGTTTTATGTCAATTAATATTAATGTTTCTGTCACAAAGATTAAAAAAAACAAACTGTTTAGATGTATATGTATAAAGTAGTGGTGGGGGTCAATCTAATAAACAAACTTTTACGTAAATCGGGGGGAGGGGGCGGCTTGTTTAAGGAATGGTATTTAAACCTTATAAATGTTGTGCATAAACATTACTCTTTTTAAAAAAAACATACTGAATTACAGTTCTGTTCATTCCTCTGAGTTCAGTCATAAAATCTCTAATGTATTTAGATTAATTAAATATGTATTCGGTATGATTTTGTGTGCATTTAAAGATGGTGTACAGTTATCAGGTTGTGTGCAATTAAAGATGGTGTAAAGTTAAAAATGGTGTACAGCTAATGATGGTGTACAGTTAATAATGGTGTACAGTTAAAGATGGCGTATAATTAAAGATGGTGTACACTTAAAGGTGGTGTAAAAGATAGCGTACAGTTGAAGATGGAGTTAAGTTAAAGATGGTGTAAAGGTAAAGATTGTGTAAAGTTAAAGACGGTGTAAAGTTATAGATGTTGTACAGCTAAAGACGGTGTACAGTTACAGATGGTGTAAAGTTGAAGGTGTTGACTAGTGTGTAAAGTTAAAAATTGTGTGAATTAAAAAAAACATTAAAATGTGTGTAAAGAAAAAGACTTATAAGAAATAATAGGGTTTAATTACGGAAGCAAGTTTATAACCTTGAACCCTATTCGTACTTCATAATCCTCACATAAACCAAAAAATGATACACAAAATGGGGGAGTTTTAGCTCTTGAAAAATGCCCCATTTGATATCAACCAATGCGCATGCGCAATGTTTAGTAGTGCAAAAACTAGATTTAATCAAAATTCATTTAGAAATAATTATTTGCCACTACTTTAAATGGAAGTTCAGAGAATTTTTCTTCACCAAGACCGATTTTGCCTACAATACATCCAGTGCGCAGCGAGGGATGTACGCAGGTAAAATTTGTCGAGGGAACTCATTGTTTAGAAAACTTATATTCCAGTTAATAAACTTTTACTTAAAATACGTAATTAAAAAATACAAATTATCTGAAAGAAGGTCTTTAAAATATTTATATATAGTTGAATCAGATTAGTAGTTTTTTAATAGTAAGATATAAAGATTTAATAGAGCTGGGAACTTAAGAATGGTGGATATCGAGATGAATGCGTGATCCTATTTTTATCTTAATCTTGAGACTAACCTAATCATGTGTCAAAATCCTGAAAAGTGTATAAAATTCAACCAATCAGAGTGGCAAACCAGAAGTCGGGAAATTTGAAATTTTACGCGCCATTTAATGAGTTCTCTTATTTAAATAAGATTTGAATACAGAGACGGAAGGGACTCCCTAATTTTAAAAACCGGTTTTTGATTTGCCTGTACTATATCCAAAAAGAGTGGATTAAGCAAGACATTAAAAGTGTCCAAATTGGATATTCAGATTAAGCGATCGGGATCAAGGGTATCTAATTCTAAAGTTCCCTGTGTCCGAATTTAATTAATTTAAATCAATCCCCCAAAAACCGGTTTCAATTGAGCGCCGGCTTAAATCTTGAAAAATTAAATACAAATTTAAGTGGAACCACTAAAATTTGAGCCGTGGCTTAAAATTAAACCGCGGCTTAAATTCTTTAAATTCGGCCTCGGTTCAGATAAAGGTATTAAGTTAGATTTCATTGATATCAATTTAGACTATAGCTATTGCAAATTAATCTTTGATATGTTTAAGTTTGAAAAATTAACAACTCTAATTATATTTTTGCCAATTGTCTATAGTTTTTAAGATGTTTTTGTCAATTTTTTGAAAATTCTCCAACAAACAGAAGAAAATCCGCAAAAATGACCATCATTCTTATCCTATTTTGTGATTGTAGATAGATTAAAAAAGTAGAAAAAAAAATTATAATTCAATTTTGTTCTCGACCAAGTAAGCATGATTCCCGTAAATTCGATCAATTTGCTTGTTCACTGCATTTTCATTGTTCAGTTTTCTTATGCAATATCTTACATATTTATCAGAACAATAAGTTTTATTTGAATAAAATTACAAAACGTTTTAGAACCAAAAGCCAAGGGGATTTGAGACTTTGGTCGTATATGTAAACGACCATCTTAGTTCAGTTGCAAATCATAAAGCAAACCAAATTAAAATGTATTCAGATCATTGAACGTTTTGCCCGATTTGATGTAAATTTTATTTATTGTTTAGAAAGTACGAAGGGTTTCATGTAATGCAACCATTGAAAACAAAATTATTTCTTGAAAGAAGGCCGTATCTTGATATTAGAATGGATTTTGCAAAAACACAAAATATATATTAATCCAGGGCGCTTTGCGCCCATCTTCGATTCTAACTTTAAATTATTGCTTTATCTGTGGCGATTTTTTTTTAATCATAAAACAATAACAAATTATTTTTCGTGGATTTATCAATATTTTCTTCTTGTGTATTTTTAAAAATTCTAATTTTGAAGGGAAAATTTTAATTTCTGAACATCCCTAACCTCCCCTGGGATTTTGTGAGGGCCCAATCAGTTCAGCCGTGTTTACGTTTTTTGGATACAAACAGATGAACAAACAAGCAAGCAAAGTATTTATATAGAAGGAAGAGGATAATAAAAATATGACTTAAAAAATACAATTAAAAGAACTTACCTATACAAGCCCATGTTCGCGTCTTTCTTACAGGTTTCTCCTTTTTAGAATCTCCCATATTGTTTTACAAATTATCTAAGTTCTGTTGCTACTACAGCATCTGAAATTTTGGGATTAATAAATTGTAGAATTCTAGACTTTTAAGGCGCTTCGCGCCCATCTTCTATATCAATTGTGAAGATGTTCTCATTGTTCCAATTAAAAACACAAAGGAAAAAAATTTCGCGGATTTTATAAAAAAAGATTTTCAAGATTTTAAAAAAAATTTTAAAAATAAAAAAACTTTTAAACACAATTTTTTAAAATCTTTATCATTCATAAACCTTCCCTGGGGTCACGCGAGATCCCACAAAAAATGTGGGCCCGATCGGTTCAGTTGTTTTGACGTTTATTGGATAAAACAAACAGAGAGACAAGCCAAATTTATATATATATAGACCTTATTTTTAGGATTCCCTTTATATTTATAAACTTTCCCAAATTTCTCCCTTATTTAACTAAACTTCACAATCAGGCCATTTTGAAAGTTAGTCGGATCATTTTTAGGCAAAAATACCTATTTAAAAACCTCTTGAAATCAAATTTAATTCTGACCTAAATCGATAAATTTTTCAAAGAAAAAATCATTCTCATATTATATGAAGGAGATACGTTTGAAATAATCATTGCGAGCTTGCGAAGTCATGGTTTTTTAATTTTTAAACAAAATAACATACAAAAACTGTTTATTTTAAATATGTTAAGTCCACAAAGTTCATATTGCTTCATGGTATATTGCAGAGATAATCAGAAAACTCTGGAATAGAATGCCATCTTTAAGACTCAAGATATGACTTGAAATGGTCCAATGAACATGATTCACAGCAATTGTGCACTGTAAACAGACCCATTTCACTTAATAAGTGATTTAATAACTTTCTAGTAAAGCTATTTGCTTTGTAGTAACATCAAATGCACTTCAGGATTTCTGCAATGTCGTCTTCCTATTCTACAGTTTTCTGGATAATGCATGTATGTTCACTTTATTATTAATATTCGCTCTTGGGGTAAAATGCTAATTAAAAGAGGTATTTTTTTACGTAAAATGTTTCAAGCCCCTCCCCTTTCTTTCCCGTTCTAAAAACCCGATTTCAAATTTTATTTCCTTATACATTTTTCACTCCCTATTCCCATATTTCAATCCATAAAATTCACTCCCACTTCCATCATTTAACCGAATCAAGTAAAAATACTCATAACTCATATCGTTTAATTTAGTTAATTAATTAATTTTATAACTTTTTGGACACCCGATGCGTTTGCTATTAACAATTCTAAACACTACTATTTTGGTTCGTATAGTGATAAAAAGTTTTTAAACAGAAATTTTCTTTTTCAAAAGTAAGTTCAAGTCTTTCATAGATTATATTTTGTTGCTAAAACTGTTCAAAAACTATGGCACTGCGAAACACAATTATAGCGTTTAAAAAGTTGATTGAATTTTTAAAATTCTTTTTTAAATACTAAAATTTAGGAATATTATGTTGATAATATATGATAATAAAAAACACAGAAATTGATTACAAAATGGTTGAAAATGCTAGTTAGAGAAATTATAAATTATAAGGGTTGTCAGAGCAATGTATTATTTACATTCGGTCAATTATAATCCGTATTACGTCAAAATTTGGAATCTAATTTATGGGTATCACTCTAATTTCATCACTTCACTTACGTTTTTAATTTTTCTATTTATTTACAATTTTTGTTATGAAATGGATCTCTTCAATCACCTGTTTCTAGGAATAACTTCGCAGCGTCTTTAGGCGCATTTTTCCCAAGAGAGACTTAAATCTCTCTATTTAAAAATCGTTCCGGAATTCCGGATTTCCAGAACCTTTTCCATAATGGAAATGGAAAAAATTTCCGGATCATTTCCGTACGTAAACCGTAACCCGGAATTCCGGTGGAAACCCTACTTAAATTTCTCTATCTGAAAGTTTACACTGAACGTAAATCGACTTCAGTTCTGCTAATTTCTAGGTTTAAGCCCTGTTTAAGCCTATGTTTGAACAATGTTTCCAAGTTATAAACATCTAACACCTAGTTTACGCGTCATATGTTGGTTTCTCCGGGTTCCTGGGGGGTTGGAGGAGGTGAAACTCTGCTCTAGAACGGGTTTAAGGATTTAATTTATATCCTGGTATTCACAAATACACACAAACACACAGATTTAATAGTAAAACACAATACGAAACTGTTTTTGTGCAAAAAAGCAGACAAAAATATTTTCTTAAGCACAGAAAAAGTGTAAACTATAAACTATTAAATCATTAAAAAATATTAAAAAGAACTATTTATGTAAAACTGCTTTTTTAGTTTCAATACTTATAAAGCATTGATTGCTAATCAAAGTTAGAGAAAGTATTTATAACGACTGCACTGGATACCAGCGGGACACCGACTGACCCAGACCAGAACCATATACTAATACTCAGGTAGGGAGGGGGGGGGGAGGGGGTACTTATTGAAGGGAGGAAATGGGATTATCCATATACATACTGAAGAAATACAATTCAGTAGGTATGAGAGTGGGGGGGGGGGGTCTTTAAAAAAGACCAAAACATAATATTATCAAAATAAATGTGTCTCCCAAATTAAGATTTTTTACGCTATATAAAAAATACATTTTAACGATATTCGAATTAAAAAATATTCTATAAATTAATGAAATATGTGTAGCCCGGTTTGTACACTTGTGCCTCAAATGGTAGAAGTATTTTGTATTAATAGCAATGCATACACCTGGGAAAGGCAGGCGCTCATGAGCCACAACCTTTTCCCCTGCCATGTACATATTAGTTTTTTTTGTCTTCCAGCAGCCTTGAGCCACAAATATTCGGTACTCCAGCAATTATATTACTTTTTTCAATAGTAAATGGTACATTAAATTTTCAAAAATCCATGCCACCCCGATAAGCCAAATAAAATTCTGAGAACGGTAGATAATGTTCCTTTTAGGACTAATCAACGTTAATTAAGGACACTATTTTACGTTACAGTACCGTTACATGTACCCACATTAGCTTTAAATGTAACACTACTATTTTACGTTACAGTACCGTTACATGTACCCACATTAACTTTAAATGTAACACTACTATTTTACGTTACAGTAATGTTACATGTGCACACATTAACGTTAATTGTAACACTATCATTTTACATTACTTACGTTACAGTACCATTACATGTGCACACATTAACGTTAATTGTAACACTATTATTTTACATTACTTACGTTACAGTACCGTTACATGTGCACACATTAACGTTAATTGTAACACTATTATTTTACATTACTTACGTTACAGTACCGTTACATGTGCACACATTAACGTTAAATGTAACACTATTATTTTACATTATTTACATTACAGTACCGTTACATGTGCACACATTAACGTTAAATGTAACACTATTATTTTACATTACTTACGTTACATTTAACCTTAAATAACATGAAATAAACATATAAGTACCATATATTTAACATTATCTAACGTGAATATAAAATGTAAATGTTAAAAACTTGATGACTATAATTTTAAATGCACGATGTTCCTTCATATATCCATACAAGTAATTCCACAAATTTGGAATGTCTGCAACTATTAAAGGTTAAAAAAGTCTCTGCACCAAGCAGGATTTGAAAATTCTGAGGATATTAATTGTGTCAGAATGACAAATGGGTTTAGAAAGGTTAGGAAAGGAGTGGATATTTTCGACAAAAAAATCTAGATTGTATGTTCATCTTGGACACAGTGCTTCAGAATACATCTCGTCTACAATTTTTTCCTTACAGCTGGCAGAGTATAAACTGGTATCATAGTGCATGGTGCACAACCTATTAGGATTCTACTCTCTATGTTTCCATTTTCCTTATTTCTTGCAAGAGGAAAGTGGAAGATGAGGAGAGAACCCCTCCCCCCCCCTCTCTACACTATGTTTTTTCCAAGTAGGGTGTACTGCCATGTTATTCCACACAGGGTTCTGTTCAGCCATAACAAAAATGGAGAGAGTTGTATAAGAACCTGACTGTTCTGAGCTCCCTTGATGCTTACACACACAACGCAATATGTAAAGAGAAAATAGACTATTTTTCAGAGGAATAAAATGCACACGGTTTATTTAAATCACAATTTAAAAGCATTAAATTTACCATTTCATGAATCATAGAGTAATAATTCCCGGAAAATAAAAATAATGTGGCGAATAGTTGTGGCTTATGGAAGACTAAAAAGCTAATCTGTTGCATCTAAAAGAACAAAATTGTGGCTCATGGCCGCCTACCTTCCCCCGCTCATGCAGCTTATTTGCATTGATTTATAGAGTACGGATTTGTTACACAAAACAACAACACCATTGATTAAAAAATATCTTTTTTTACGTTTTAGCACTTTTTATGATAAGATTTTCGACAGCCATCTTATAACTTTAGCATATTAGTTAAAGTGTAATTGTTGAAAACGTCTGTTTTACTATAGGTTTTCACAACAATACCTTCTTTCTACTGTCACCAAAAAAAAAAATTTGGTGGATAAGTCATGAAAGATGCCTTAATGCTGCATTCGTCCATAACCACCTCCCCTACTTGAAGTCCTTCGTCCTCAACAGTCCTTACTTCATCTTGTATATATATATAGGGTGAGTAAAAAAAAAGTGTGATTTGCGGCGCCTGGTGCAAAATTGTACTCTCCTGTATAGTGTTTTTTCAATATTTTTTTGAAAATTTATAATTTTAAAATTTTAAAAAGGTTGAATCACAGAATCTCAGAAAATTTGCAAAATTCGCAATTTTCAGTTCTGGTATAATTTTTACGGAAAAATTGTTTTTCAATTGTTTTTAAGGTTTTAACTGAACAACGTGTATATTTAATACTTTAGAATATACTGAGAAGAAAGACTAGAGAATTCAAACAACTTTTCCTTAAAAATTAGACCAGAACTAAAAATTGCGAATTTTCTCATTACAATTTTGCAAATCTTCTGTGATTCTTTGATTCAATGTTTAAATTTTTTTAGATTTCGATAGACATAATTTATATACACATTTTTGCTTTTCTGAACTTTTGATGTTGAGAGAAAAAAAGCTTCGCGGATTTTCTTTTGGGTCATTGGAGTAACAAAAAGAGGTGCGATTTTGCACAAGGCGCCGCAAATCACACTTTTTTTGACTCACCCTGTATATATGTATTTTTGTTTGTTTGTTTGTAACAATAAACATCATAAAGGCTGAACCAATCTGGCACTCATTTTTTGCTGGACCTCGCATGACCCAGGGCAAGATTTCAAAATGGTCAATGTTTGAAAAATCCACAATTAAAATCGCTAGTTAGCGATTTTTTGTAATTGTTTGATAATTTAAAAAGAGAAAATGCGGCTGATTGAGCAACAATTAAAAGTTAAAATTGAAGATAAGCTTTAATTAAAAAGAAAGATTTTATGATTTTATGAATTTATTTAATTTATGAATTTGTACAATCAAAACAGACAATTTTTGAGTTTAATATGGTGAGAACCTGAAAACTGTGGATTATGAAGACGACATTCAAGCAATAATTAAGTTACAGGGTGTCCCAAGAAACATGACAGTTGGTAAATAGTATTGAATGTCTTCTTCCATTTACTTTAGAAGATATTAAAGACTTTTGCAGTTTATTTTGATGAAAAAATCTTTTACTCACGAATATTCTACTTTTAAATTAATTTTACTATATAATATGACAGACATGTAATGTTTTTTATTATTCTGTTTGGCATAAAAGAACTGTATAAATTATGGAAGAAGACATTTAAAACCATTCACCAACTGTCATGTTTTTTGGGACGCCCTGTATTTGATCTTGTATTTTACTTTTGACGTATTAAATCAATTATTCACTGAAAAGTGTCTGTTTACACTGCACAAGTGCTGTGCTCCATGTTAATTGGACTTTATAATGTCACAATTTGTGTCTAACAGTCATCTTTCTAGTCCAGAGTTTCCTAGTTCTCAAATTCTTTTTCGAGACAAAACGAGAACTTTTCTATCCAAAGCTTTAGTCTTAGAACACGCACCTCTGCCCCCTTCAGTAAAAATAAATTCAACATATATGAAGCATAAAGTCTGACCGCGTCGACCTTGTTGCACCGGCAAGTCTTGTTGATTGTCTGCTTAATCAAGCCAATGTTCGTGCGGTACAGTACAAACTGGGACCGGAAAGGTTGACCCGGCTCGGAAATTCAAATGTACTACGACTGCCCGTGACAATTTAACTTTAAAGCATCCCCTGTCATTTCATGCATAAACTCTCCCAGGATTCAAAATAGCGACAAAAATCTCTTTAATAGAAAATATGTTATCCTGTATGCCGAGTCCATTAGTGCCTCATCCAACCAGGGTTCAGTCATGTGTTTGTTGTCTATTCTGAACCAATAGAAATAGTTTGGTGGTAACAACTATCTTTCTATCTATCTCATTATCCAATTAGAGTTACGAATCCTTCAATCGGCGCTAAAACAGTGAATGGAAATATTTACTTCTACTGAAACTCTAGTGATGCATTTCTCAGGAAATTATTGGGACCAATGGTAGAGAGGATCTTTTTTAGGAAAAAATTTTAGAAAATTCCCAAAATCGTATGACCAAAGTGTTGAACCGTGGAGAATTTCTCTACTGAGTGTATTTTATTGCGAATTTCTTTTTAATGCTTGCTCATTTATACTTTTAATATTCTACAAATTAAACATGAAATTCTATACTGAATCTTTTAACAACAAAAAATAGGCTTCCCAATCAATGTACGTAACTGGCCGAAAAAATTTATACTTTGCTAAAAAACATTCTTATTTATAATTTTTACTGAGAAATTTCCATGAATTAGAAAACAGTAAACTTACCATCCTGACCTTTAACTCTACAAAATGTTAGATTTATTTTTTTAAAGATTGCTGTATTTTAATTGATTTCCCCTTTTTTTATTTTTTATAGTTCTATGTCTTCCACACATTGCTTCTTTTGAACCTTGCATTTTATAGTTTTCCTAGACGTTTCACAGACGACTGTACGGACTTCCTACAGGCCTGAATTTCTATTCCCTGCAACTTAAACTTGTATTTTACTTTTTTTAAATCATTAACTAAGCTATTTTCAGGCTTATTCCAGGCCATGGACCAAATTCGAGCTTCAGATCCCTACATTATAATATTATATTTTTAGGTCGTCATCTTATTCCTTGTGGGTAACAATGTAAAAGTTGTAATTCTAAAAAAAGGAAAAAAAGGAAAGTTACATATTTATTGTTTACATTACATTTAATCTTGTTTAATTGTTTAATTAATTATTGATTTTGTTGTTCATCTATATATAAATGTGGTTTGTCTGTCTGTTTGTTTGTCTGTTTGTTTGTTTGTTTGTATCCAATAAACGTCAAAACGGCTAAACCGATCGGGCCCAAATTTTTTGTGGGACATCTAGGGACCCCAGGGAAGGTTTATGAAAAATCAAAATTTCAAATATTTGTCTCTATCCAAATTCGATCGTCATTAAATTTTTAAAAATTTTGAAAATCCGCGAAATTTTTTGTGAAAATCCGCGAATTATTTTTGTTTTGTTTTACGATGTACACAAAGAGAACATGTTCACAACTAATTTAGAAGATGGGCGCGAAGCGCCCTATAAGGCTAGAAAGAAGGGCGCGAAGCGCCTTGAATTTCTAGTTAGTTTTAGATATTCTCTGATTTACTCTCTTCTTCCATCTTTCTCTCTCTCTTTTTAATTTTAATTTTCTTCTAAACTTTGTTTTATTCAATTCAAAATTGAAAACATTGATATATAATTCATCTTTAAATAGACAAAGCGTTGTGAATCAGGCAATCCCATCTTTGCATGGAGGGTCACTTGGAATTACGCTCACTGTCCCTTTTGAAATTTGATCTCGGTGTATTATTCAATAAGTTTGAACTTTAATTAATAATGAGCTCACTATTTACTAATAAAATAATCTGTGCGCACATCCAATCCTTGAAGAATATGGCGCGCTACGCGCATCAATCTATCTGCCTAGAGCAAAGCCTGTGTGCTGGTACTAGTTAGAACGGAGAAATTTTCTGAACAGGTGAAAATCAGCTGATCTTACATTTTATATAAACTATTATATTTAGAAAACTAGAATTCAGTTCGGTTAAAATTTGGGCCTTGACAGTGTGTTTCGTTAAACATTAGACAAATTCAATTAATTTTGTTTACATCAACAGACAGCAGTTGGTAAAATTTGTAAAATCTAATATTTATCCGTAAGCATCTTTTTTTGGATTGAATTTACAATTTACAAATCCTTAATTTACTAGTACATTTTTATCCATAAACGTCTACATTTCCAATTAATAATATACAAATTACAATATACTTTTATATGAAAATTTACAAATAGGTTGTGAATTTACAAATAGGTTGTAAATTTACAAATAGTTTGTAAATTTACAAATAGGTTGTGAATTTACAAATAGGTTGTGAATTTACAAATAGGTTGTAAATTTACAAAAAGGTTGTGAGTTTACAAATAGGTTGTGAATTTACAAATAGGTTGTGAATTTACAAATAGGTTGTGAATTTACAAATAGGTTGTGAATTTACCAATAGGTTGTGAATTTATAAATAGGTTGTAAATTTACAAATTGGTTGTAAATTTACAAATAGGTTGTAATTTTACAAATGACAAAGAAATATTACGATAGTCTCATACTGAGCCTCTAATGTGATTTCTGGAATATTTATGAAGTTGTAGAGAAGCCACAAAGGAAAATATTCAGTTCTACAAAAAATTTCAGAATTAAACACGTCTGCAGCTGGAAAAATGATGATATTGTTTAATAATTCAACTTATTAAATTAATAATTCTGATTATTAAACAGGAACCTGATGCAGAGATGAGACTTTAGAGATGGCCGCTCCTGAAGCTTTACATATTTTCATTCTTTGCCAAAAAACATATTCAAAAGATAATTTTAAAGACAAAAACAGAAATTAATCCTCAGATCTTTAGAATTAAGGAGTTTCAGGTCTTTAATAAAGTCTCATCTTTTTGGGTAACCCTCTGTATATATATATATATATATATATATATATATATATATATATATATATATATAAATATATATATAAATATCAGCTGTTCATTTTTCCAAACTTTATTTTGTTTTTATAAGAATTATTTTAATAGAATAATCCTGACTGAAAACTGTTTATGCAAAGGCAAGTTATTTTATGCATTGTTATGTGTGTATTCATTATGGGACATTACGCATTTTATAACATTGTCTGGTGTATATTCATTGTGTGAAATTACGTATTTCAGTATATGTTATTCGTATTTTCTATAGCATTGTTATTTGTATTCATTATGTGCAATTACGCATTTTATATAGAATTGTTATGTGTGTTCATTGTGTGAAATTACATATTTTATTTAGCATTGTTATGTGTATTCGTTGTGTGACATTACACATTTTCTACAGCATTGTTATGTGTATTCATGTGTCAAAATTACGAATTTTCTATAGCATTGTTACGTGCATTCATTATGTGGAATTACGCATTTTCTTTAGCATTGTTATGTGTATTCATTGTGTGACATTACGCATTTTCTATGGTGTTGTTATTTGTTTTCATTGTGTGATATTAAGCATTTTCTACAGCATTCTTATGTGTGTTCATTGTGTGACATTACGCATTTTCTATAGCATTGTTATTTGTATTCATTATGTGTAATTACGCCTTTTCTATAGCATTGTTATTTGTATTCATGGTGTGACATTATGCATTTTCTATAGAATTGTTATGTGTATTCATTGTGTGACATTACGCATTTTCTATTGTGTTTTATTTGTATTCATTGTGTGATATTACGCATTTTCTATAGCATTGTTATGTATATTCATTGTGTAAAATTACGCATTTTCAATTGTGTTGTTATTTGTATTCATTGTGTGATATTACGCATTTTCTGTAGCATTGTTATTTGTATTCATTGTGTGATATTACGCATTTTCTATAGCATTGTTATTTGTATTCATTGTGTGATATTACGCATTTTCTATTGTGTTGTTATTTGTATTCATTGTGTGACATTACGCATTTTCTATAGCATTGTTATATTTTTCATTGTGTGACATTACGCATTTTCTATTTCACTGTTGTGTGTATTCATTGTGTGTTCATTGTGTGAAATTACATATTTTATTTAGCATTGTTATGTGTATTCGTTGCGTGACATTATGCATTTTCTATTGTGTTTTTATTTGTATTCATTGTGTGATATTACGCATTTTCTATAGCATTGTTATGTGTATTAATAATGTGTAATTATGCAATTTCTATAGCATTGTTATTTGTATTCATTGTGAGCAATTACGCATTTTATGTAGAATTGGTATGTGTGTTAATTGTGTGATATTACGCATTTTTCTTTAGCATTGTTATGTGTGTTAATTGTGTGATATTACGTATTTTATATAGCATTGCATTGTGTATTCAATTTAGAAATTTACGCATAGTTTAGAGCATTTTTGTGTATTCATTGTGAGTCATTACGCATTTTCAGCAATTTAAATTTTTGGCAAATATAAATTTTTAGCAAATAACATATTTGTAACTATATTTCCTAAAGTTTTTATTTGCAAAGATGTAAGGATTAGAAAATTAGACTCTTAGCAAGAAAGCAGTTTTTTTAATACATGTTAACATGTTAACATACGATATTTTTATAAGTCTGAAGAACAGATATGTACAATCTTCCTAATTCCATCAAAATTCATAAACATTCCTTTATTTTCTATTATATTTTATATTTTAGCACTGCAGATTGAAGGAGATCAAGCTTAGTAGCTTGGAAATAATCAAGATCAATTCCTTACCTTCAGATCAAGATCAATAGCTCAAATGTGATCAGTTGCTTGTGATCCAAATCGAGACTTGAAATGTGAACAGGATCAATATTGTCATATTGAGTGAGATCATGACCTTATGATTGGGATCAAGACCTTAAATGTGATAAAGATCAAGCCCTTAGATGTGATAAAGATCAAGTCCTTAAATGTGAAAAAGATCAAGCCCTTAAATGTGATAAAGATCAAGCCCTTAAATGTGATAAAGATTAAGACCGGAAGTATGATCAAGATCAGTACCATAGAGACAGGAAAGCTTACCTCAGATCAAGATCAGTACCTTGCAATCAAGACCAGCACCTTGTCATCAAGCTCAGTACCTTGTAATCAAGATCAGTTCCTTGTAATCAAGATCAGTACCTTGTAATCAAGATCAGTACCTTGTAATCAAGATCAGTACCTTGTAGTCAAGATCAGTACCTTGTAATCAAGATCAGTACCTTGTAATCAAGATCAGTACCTTGTAGTCAAGATCAGTACCATGTAATCAAGATCAGTACCTTGTAATCAAGATCAGTAACTTGTAATCAAGCTCAGTACCTTGTAATCAAGATCAGTACCTTGTAATCAAGATCAGTTTAAATCATGACGCGAAGATCAGTGAAAAGCAAATCCGGGAATCAAAATCAAGATTATACAACCTCAAGGCAAAGATGCAGAAAATATAAATTAATCTTTTTTAAAATTTTCAATCGCAAAATTGTTTTTTTTTAATTTAAAAACTAGTTTCATATCGTTTGTATTCGGAATTACAAGTGCAGAGAGTTCCCATTAATTGACAACTTTTAAATATATGGTCTTCAATTGCCAATGAAATTCTCTTGTAAAGAAATTGAGTCTTTGCCACAAATTCAAATTTTCAAATCCTTATATCTTAGCAACCTGATGGCGTAAACTTGTTATGTGCCAAACTTAGACTATTTTATCTAACCGAATTCATAGTTTGAAATATCTAAGGTCTATACGACATTAAGTTGCAAACATATTGGGATTAAAAAATCAAAGTTTGTGAAAAAGATTCAATTCCTTTCCTGAAAAAAAGTGATTTTTTTCTATAACTCTATCTGGCCTTTTCCTGAAGATATTTTACCTAATTGGCTGATAAAATTCCACCCGGGTTGTCTTTTAATAAGACTATCATATATTTATTTTCTAATTCTTAAAGGAAGGATATGCTTTACATTTCTAAGTGCACATATTGGACTTAAAATCTTGTATATGTGCAAGTCTAATTGAAAATCCTTTTTTAGAAACCCATTAAAATTAAAATACTTTTCTTTGCAGCCTAACCCCGTCATTTCGAAAATTTCGTTCCTTATAAAATGTTTTCATAATTTTCCATAAAAACTTTTTTTTAGTTCATTTGAAAAGGTTTGAGACAATTTTATTGTTGTCACTCCATACAATGTTTATTGGGATACCCTGCACTATAGCTTCAAAGTAAGATGCATTCGGAATTTATAAATAAAGAAGAATTCAGCTATACCTACAACCTCTTGCCTGTTTAAAATTGAGAGTTAAACCCCTTAAAGGGACTGTAAAGGAAAAATGAAAGGGGGTATAGGCTGAAAGCTAATCAATTTAGCTCTCGATCGCGACCCATGAAAGTCATATCTGATGTTCCTATCTCGAGAAATTGATATACAATTTTGTCAAATTTACACGAAAATTAATATATATATACAATTTTGTATAAAAGTAGTAGGTTTTAATCTTATAGAATTGAATATATATTAGAGTGGAATTTACTAGAAAAAAGTGTAAAACGGCCATTTTGTTGTACTGTTTCCATACTGCAGGTGTACTTCACATATTTATGCTATATAACCTTTTGGGCCCTGGAACATCATTTTATAGAAATCTAAAATTAATATTAAAGGAAAACCAAATTATGAAAAAGGTTGGTTTCATAATTGACTAATGATCATTTCACATAGACTCTATGCCTTTCACCTTACAAACGATGATTTTCCGTTATAACTAAAAATCAAATGATGTTTTTTATTCACCTAATTCATTATAAAGTTTATTTAACAGCTTTAAAAATTCGAAATTGAAATGAATAGTCTATTGAACATACTGTATTAATGTACTCTACTGCATATAATTTGTGAACATTTACATGATTTGTACACTTTGAACTCCCTTTCAGGCTGAAAGGGACTGAAAAAATTCATACCGAGAGATTCTTTAAATTCCCCTCTAATATATATTCTATTCTCAATGGTTTAAATAGATCAAATTCAGCAAATAAGCGACCAATCTGAAAACGATGATATCCAAGAGAAAGCTAATTGTAAATTAGGTTTACTTTTATATTTTTTATTTATATTTTTAATAGATTTCATTCATAATATTATTTATACGCCCGCATTACTTGACCAGAAATTCCACCAATGGCAGTGCAGTAAAGTGGTCATGTGATACAGGCGGAGACACGTGATCAGTATACTGCTCTGCCATTGGTGATAGTTCTGGTCACGTGATTTACGTTTAAGATTTTCTAAATTTTACATATATGAACTTTCGTATAATTTTAACACAGTTTTATATCAATTTCTCGAGACAGGAACATCAGATATAACTTTCATGGGTCGCGATCAAGAGCTAAAGTGATTAGCTTTCAGCCTATACCCCCTTTCATTTTTCCTTTACAGTCCCTTTAATTCTGAAAAGACGACATCTAGTGTCAATATATCTGTTAATTATTCTATAGATTGAACACTCTAATTTTCCAGTCCTTATTTTTCCAACCTGATGCAAAAGTGTAAACCTTTGATTTGTCAAACTTTAGTTACATATCAAGGGCCATACAACATTCTGGTTGCAATAGGTCGAGGAAAAAAGTTTGTGACAAGTGTTCAGTTCCTGTATATATTAACTCCAGACTCTTTCCAGTTTTGTTTCATTCCTTTTGCAGTGAAACCCTTAATAACGAATACATCGAAAGAATTCATAAAATTCCTCACTTTCTGATAATTGAATGTTGCAGATATTTAGTTTTTTAATTAAATGATTATATGGAACTCTTTAAAACTGTTCCCACATATTCATAACTATTTATTTATTTTCGCAATTACTGAGATTTACGTAATATAGTATAAAACTCATTGAAAAATTTTCAAGTCGACATTTGATAAAATCTTTCGATGAATTCATTATTAAGGATTTCACGGTAGTTTCTCAAAAAGGCCTGAAGTTGATCAATAATAAAACCTTGCACAATGTTTTAATGAACTTTCAAATAATTTAATAATAAAACCTGCATTTTGGACAGGGATCTTCAAGAACCATTACAGAAGTTACAAACAATACAAAATAATCGAAACAATTCGATATTTCAAGTTTTTCCAGGGAAAAAATAATAATTTCTTATCCTAATAAATTAAAATTTGTAACCGATCAAAAATATACGGTTTTAATTTTGAAAAGTTTAGGTCAGACGGGACAATAAATGACAATAAATGACAATAAATGACGATAAAGGACAATAAATGACAATAAATGACAATAAATGGCAATAAATGACAATAAATGACAATAAATGACAATAAATGACAATAAATGACAATAAATGAAGATAAATGACAATAAATAGACAATTAATGACTATAAATGACAATAAATGACAATTAAAGACAATTAATGACAATAAATGACATTAAATGGCAATAAATGACAATAAATGACAGTAAATGACAATAAATGAAGATAAATGACAATAAATGACGTTTAATGACTATAAATGACAATAAATGACAATTAATGACAATAAATGACAATAAATGACAATAAATGACAATAAATGACTATAAATGACAATAAATGACAATTAATGACAATAAATGACAATAAATGACAATAAATGACAATAAATGACAATAAATGACAATAAATGCCATTAAATGATAAATGACAATAAATGACAATAAATGACAATAAATAACAATTAATGACAATAAATGATAAATAAATCATGGGATAGTAAATCGCTTTCTTCAAAGTCTAAATGTTTATTTAATAAATCGTGGCAAGCAAATATTCGATATTTCAAACTATATATCTAATAGCCAAAAATATCAAAGGTTTACATAACACCATCAGATTGCAAAGATGCTAGTAAAGAAGAGTTTTTGGCGAGTAATTCCGTTGCAAACTTTTTTTAAAAAGACATATTAATTATTAAAATACTATTTTTTTTAAAGATTCGACAGAAGAGACTTCACAGCTTAATTCTTTAAGTACTAATCCACCTTCGTTAAACCTGAGGAAAATCAACTTTAAAATAATTAATTGTGTGAACAAACTTCTTTTTGATAAATTCAGTATTTCAATTGTGGTTTCTCTACAAAAGTAACTTGCTCATTGATTCTGCAGATACAATGAAAGAAAATAATCAGAATTAAACACTTTTCAATGATTATTAATTAATTTGAAAATAATTCACGTCAAACTAAAGTAAAATGCACTTACGATTAAAATCTTTTATGTTTTCCATTATAAATCCTCTTATTGAAGAGTTATTTAAAAGAACTAAAATGTTTTGAATTCATGATAAATAATCAAGTAAATTTGCTTTTCTTACAATTGTGCTTAAAATCAGAACCAGAGGAGCTACGGAGTCACAAAGTCGTAACAGCAATGTCAATTGAATTTGACCTTCTCATCCTGGTTAGTTTGCTGTGAATTAATACTTGATTTTTAGTAATGGTGTTGGGAAAATCCATAGCAGTATTCCTTTTTGGCTGACAACAATCCTAGGAACTAAATTAGAATTAAATTAGTTAAAAAATATTTTCTGAATTTAAAAACAATGCAAATTTGGTTATCACTAAAGAATGTATCCCGGTATTCTTGTTGCATTATCCAAACTAGTATTCAGATCTAGTCTTTTCTTATACCAGCCCGTGTAGTCGACCCGACGCTTTTTTTTAAATAAATATCGGTAGCATGAATGTAGACCGTCAAGCCCCGATCTATGTAATGTTTTGACTGCCATCTAACGCAATTTATTGCAATTAAATTAAGTTTATTTAACTACTTGATAAAAATAAGAATTTAAGAAAATTTTACAATTTTACAATTTTGGAACGATTGTCATTTTGATTCTGATTTGGTGATTATTAGGATTCTTTTTACTGCTTGCATTTGTAGTCCACTGGATACAGGTTAGAAGAAAAACAAATAAAACCTTAATAAAAATCATAAATGACGGCTTATCTTTTAAGAAATAATAATTATACTAATAATTCAACTGCATAATAATAATAAAAATAAAAATTATAATAATCATAAGCATAATAATAATAATAATAATAATCTCAAAGTACTTAATCACTTAAAGGACGTCAAATGTTTTCAGTGTTTTGAGCTGCAACAATACATTTTGGACATAAATGAGGCGTATTTCTTTATTTTAGTTTAGTTTTGGCTTTTTAATATTTTTAATATTTTTCATATTTTTAATATATTAATATTTTTTAATATTTCTCCCAATTCTGTTTGTTAGGTCCTAAGACTGGTGATAGACCGGAAGAAGAAAAAACCCGAACATCGTATTGTCGGAGGTAAAATTATAATTATAATACAGTGGTTAGCGTTTATATCAATACAATGAAGACGACTGTTTATTAATATATCTTTTATCCCAGACAAGCTTTTTTCAGATTACAGGCTTGTTGTTAATTAATAACTTCTATTTGTTTATATGTTGAATTTTAACAGAAAGTCGTCTTCATTGTTTTGATATATATGAAGACGACTTTACAAACTTTTTTTTTAATTACTTACTTTAAAATAATTTTTATACGAAATTTTTAATTCTGGAAAGGAGCTGAGTTGTTGCTGCAAACTCAAATTTTCTAATCCCTATTTCTTTAAAAACCTAATGGTCGAAACCTTTCATAATTCAAACTTAGGTTTTCATTAATTATAGAATTCATAGTTTTAAATATCAAAGATCTACGACATCAGGTTGCACAGATGTAGGGATTATAATTTAGGAGTTTGTGGCAAAACTCGTTTCCTTTAAATTGAAATAACAAATTGTAAATTACTTATTTGTACATGGTGTTAAAAAAGACTAGTAAAGTTGTTGAGTCCCGAAAATTCTGTAAAAATACACAAAACTGCGCTGCACATTGAGAGCGTTTTATTCTAGATGGTTCTTTTAATCTTCAAAAGCTTTATTAGTCTGGCTAAATTTTATATAAAAACTTTAAATTCTCGTGGTCAACTTTGTTCCCGTATATCAAATCAAAACAAAGTTTTTTGCCCACGCAAGGGACTGTAAGCGTAATTTCAAGCGACCCTCTATGCAAAGATGGCAATGCCCGATTCACAACGACACCCTTTCATATGATCAATAATGTGGATGATATTGTCGTTTTTCTAGTTTAAACAGTGTTAAATTCTGATAATTCCTCTATGTTTCCTGAGTATAATTGCGAAAGACATTTTTTTAGCTAAACCATTATTGAAAATAATCCACGCACCTCTGACCCTTCAGTAAAAGTAAATTCAACCCAAAGTCTGAAGGCGTCAACCTTGTTGCACCGGCTAGTCGTATTGAGTGTCTGCTTTATTTACCCAATGTCCGGGCGATACAGTACAAACTGGGACCGGAAAGGTTGACCCGGCTCGGAAATTCAAATGTACTACGGCTGACCGTAAATCAGTTTTCAAAATCATAAGACCACGCTTTAAAGGGTACAGTTGCGAATCTGAAATTGCTGTATCTATGGACGGAGGATCACTTGTAATCATGCAAACGGTTCCTTTAATTTCTGCTCTTTTTCCATGCTTCTTTCCATGCTTGTTTATTTAGGAAAGATGAGTATCAAGACGCTGGAACGAGAAAATTCAGTTTTCCTTGATTTCATTAAATCCGACCACCATGATGAATATCAATCTTTTTTACCTTAAACAGATTTTAAAGATCAATTTGATCAAACAGACTGCACTCTCCACAAAACGCTACCATATGTTTGGTCAGAGTACTGTTGATTACAACAGAATACACCGAAAGCTTAGTTGAGGGTGACTGTTGTCTTTGTATGTATGTACGTAGCTAAACCGTAAGGCTTAATTATAAATTCTCTATATATTGATTTAAGGGTATAGTAGATAAATCTCCAGGCTTTGTACTTTAAATATAACCGAGATAAATAAAACAATATTTTATTTTATAGTTTATTATAACCATCGAAGTGCAGGTTGTAGAACAAAAATGTAAATTACGTAAAAAAAGGAAATCAAAGCCCGATGGAATGTATCATTTTCATTTTCAATTTATAATTAAAATTGTGTTGATGCCCTGTGATTAAAGCCGTTTGTAAACGCCTGCCTGGTCGCCTCTGCCGTGCTGATCCGCATTGTGTAATTGAACCCTTCCGTCCCCATAGTGTTGTTTTAGAGTTTATTTAGATACAGGGGGTTTAGCTAAAACAGCTCCGAGCTATTGAGCTCTCCTGCTGAAGGAGCAATTATATGATGTTAAATATGTTATCGTTAGAACTGTTATGCTAATGTTTCCTTCAGAAATATATAATTTAAATTTAAATTTCCATTGATTCTAATTTGTCTGAAAGTAAATGACATTCCTGTGTAAAAAATAACAAATCATTTTTATTATTTATTATCATTTTTAAAAGGGGCGGGATTAAATGAAAATTGTTGCATACCAAAAAACCAGTTTTTTATAAAGGAATGAGAATTTTTTCATGAAATAACATGAAGAATATATTGTACAATAAATATCATAATCAATCTTTCCATTTGATCTTGTTGGTTAGATTTAACTGTAATTCTTTCGAAACAAATTAATAAATATATGTGTACTAACTAGTAACTACTAATAATTAATTTGAATATTTGAACTAATAATTAATTTGAATATTGGACAATAACCATTAATTAGTATCGTATTAATATTCCTAAAGTGTAAATATTTAGACTATTTTCACTAAATAGCATTCCACATTCCACACTAGTAAATAGCACTAATTATTGTACTAACAAATATTTCAGACAAGATTTTTAACATATATTTGTCTGGTAAACTCATCGGTTTACTCTTTTAAAGGGACAAATCAGGGAATTTATAAATTAGATCGGAATCTATTTTATATCTTTTAAAAGAAATTTGTAAAAATCCGTGTTCATAGAAAAATGTACTAAATTATTTTTAAAACTGAAAATATGTACGTGTAAAGGGAGATTAAAGGAAAATAGTTATCTTAAAGGAACTTTTTAATTTTTAATGAACCTTTAATTATAGAGCGAAATCCACAATTAGTAATGGGAAGTTTTCTCTTTTCTACAGGTCCAATGAAAGCTGAAAGCTAAACAATAATCTTTTTTAAGTGTATCGTTTTTAAGAATAGAAAAGTATTATTTTTGTATTTGTGCCTATCCTTGTTAACGATCTTTAACCTTTGTTAAACTATTAAGTTCTGAATAATTTTATCCTAAAAAAAAATAATGAAGACGTAATATTTGCAGATTTCCACTTTAATTTTTGGGTGGATTTTTTTATCTCTTTTAATTATTTATGAATTTTTATTAAATTTTGGAAAACAATAAATATTTTTTTATCAATTTTTTTAGAACTTAATTTTTTCCAAAAAAAAATATTTCGCGGACTTTCTTTTTCATATTTTATATTTTCATATTCAATTTCGAAGCTAACTAAATTGAAATTTGTGTGGAATTATTGCTAATCCCGTTTTTTACTCGCCCTCTGGCCTTTACATATGTAGATGTAAATTTTTTCTTCCAAAAGCTACAAAGCTTAATTTTCAGATTTCTTACATGTTAAACCCTAAATATGCCATACATCGAAAGATTTTATCAAATGTCGTCTTGACAATTTTTCAATGGGTGTCATACTTTTTTACGTAAATCTCAGTATTTGCAAAAATAAATAAATAGCCATGAATATGCTGGAACAGTTTTAAATTCAAAAACTAAATATCTGAAACATTCCATTATCAGAAAGTGAAGAATTCGATATTTGATGAATTCTTTTGATGTATTGCTTATTAAGGGTTTAACTGTATGTAAAAGCAATTATTACATAAATAAATATCACATGAAGATGAAATTACTGATCGAGTCACTTATTATCAAAGAAAAAAATAAAAAATAAATTGTTTTGGGCACAAAATTTGGAATTCGAAGTTTAACTAAAAATATAATTGTTTTTAAAATTTGAATAGGGATGGGCAATGTCAAGATTATTTTTACAGGAACTTTTAATGTTTTTAGGCTTTAAAAGGTATTACGACAATATGAGAAGGTTCCAACATTTTAAAACTTTATTCTGTAGAAGTTTACCAGACATACAAATTTGTTACCCTCGAAGAAAATATAAGGGTTTTATAAACGATCGTTTTCAGTTTGTTTTTGCTTAGGATAATAAATTTTGCATGTTTAATAATAGTAAACTTTTACAGAAGACAATTTCGAATCGTTGAACCCGTAAATCTTTTAAAAGTCGAAAAGTATTAAAAGTTTTCGTAAAAATAATCTAATACAGGGTTAACCACAAAGAATAGGAGTTAAGAACATATTAAAACTCTACAATCTTGAAATCGCATCCTTTGGGGTAACTTGTAACTTAATTAGTCACTGATTTAAAGTTCAAGGTTTTAAAGAACCCTAATGTGATGTCGGCTGATGCGATTTCGGCAAATGCGATGTCGGCCAATGCAGACAAATTTTACGACAATTCCAACCAACCATATATCAGGATCTGTTGGCCGAAGCAGAAATAAGCTTTTTGTCATTAAGATTTAGAATTTAAAATCCAACCATTACAGATATGTGGTTGAACCGTCTCTACATAGTTCATCGACTTCTTGCAATTCATTAAATCAGGTTAAATAGATCCCTATAATTTTTCGACTAAACTTTTTTTCAATGCACTTTCAATCATTTGTTTTTAAACCTGAAATACAGGGTTACCCACTAAAAATAAGATGGTTAAGTATTTAATATCTATTTTGTTTCGCTACTTAGCGATTTCCCTAAAGACCTAATGAAACTTTGTAAGTACCGAGTGGTATTTCTCTGGACAGGGTTGTAAGACTTCCTTCTCTCAACGCTCTCCATAACAAAAGGATGATAATAAGGTTCCGAACGTTTATTTCTCTGAGTCTTCAATCTAAATAATCTTTTATAAGCCCACAGAAAAAGAATTGAGTGATAAATCATACAAACACAGCAATAAATCCACTCAGGCATTAAAAAACTGTGGCAAGGAACCAATACATTACATTATACGATATCAACCATAACCGAACATAAATAAGCAAGATTCATATAAATATAAGCATAATTACCGCAGTGATCCTAGAATTTCACACGGTTTAATAATAGACGATCTTTACATGAAACACGAATATATACTAAGGTAGAATCTGCCCGCTTCCACGCAGAAAACTTGCGCATGCGTAGTCGGACTGGAAACAGCTTCTAAAACTAGTTTTTTACAATACGTTCTGTACAGATCTTCAGGGAGAACTCAGGAATTCACAGGGGCATCACATAGACTTTATGAACGCAGCATGGCTCGCGTAACATATTTATTTAGTAATTTAGTATGTAAATGGTTTACGAAAAAAGCTGGTTTTAGGAACTATATATATATATATATATATAAAAATAAATGCAGAAAATTCTGAGAAAAAATAAATTCGAAAATTTCAACTTTACGAAGATACAATATTTTATAGTATTTTTTTTCATATCATGATCAAACTTGATACCACACATAATGTCCAAGATTTTAAATGAACAAATTTGATAGTTTGAATAAAACGTTTAACAAATTTGAATTCTAAATTAGAGTTCCAAGGAGTTCAAGTTTGGTTTTCAACTGCTCTTGGACAAGCTCAGGATTTAGTATTTTGTGCCCTGGGTTCCTAGAAACAAATTATCATTATTATTATTGTTGTTCTTATATTAATATTTATATTTATTATGAATATATTGTTACTACAATCATGTTCACGGATAACTAGTAATATTATTATTATTATTATCCTCATCATCATCATCATCATCATCATCATCATCATCTTCGTCATCATCATCATCATCATCATCATCATCATCATCATCATCATCATCATCATCATCATCATCATTAAATTTCTTGCGCAACATTTTTTTCAGATTTTTATTGCTTCGAAAAAATAGTTTGACTTCCAAGAAAGACAAAAAACTTAATGGATTGGAAAATTTAGATGGATAAAGTAAAAAAAAATATTAAATCGTTAAACAAATTAAAGCATAATTCTCATTTATTTCAATACTATGCCTTCAGGGCTTCGCGTTCAACTTCTAATTCAATTGTGAACATTTTCTCTTTGCATAAAAAATTGCGTGGATGTTCAAAATTTAATTAAAATCATATTTGTTTGAGGTTAATTTTTGAAATTTTGATAATCCGTTCCCAGGGGCTTGGGGGCATTTAAAGTTACACACAAAATTTGGGCCCGATTAGGTCAGCCGTTTTGAAGTTTATTGGATACAAACAAACAAACAGACAAGCAAAGTATAAAGATGAACGAAGAGATTTATTATATAGATTAGTGATTACCTCAGAAGATTTCTCCAAAAATGTTTGTTAACTTTGACTGAGCCTGCAATCATTTTAGAATAAAAATGTTGAATTATTGATAAAAATTATCAAAGAAGTATAAAAAAGGATAATTATTAGTCATAGGTGCACAATGCACATGAAGCTCATTTTTTTCTGGACCAGAACACACACCCATTGTTTAACCCTATAACAATGGGGGGGGGGCGTGTTTTCCACCACAAACTGTTGTTTTTTCTTGACACTTAAAAATGGCTTACATCACACCGCTCAAACACGGTCAAGTGGCTAGTTGGGGTTTTAAACAAATCAAAAAGAGTCTATAACCTTTTTCTTCTTTAAAAAGCAATTGCAAATTTTTTTGGAAACACGTTTATCAAAAAAATAAAATATTTTTAACATTTTTCCGACGTACTTTTTGAACCTTTTTAAACCGTTTCCAGCACCAGATCTATTTTTTTAATGAGTTGGCCTCAAAAAGTTGGACTTTGGACAATTATCACATGACATGACATTAGAAAAAAAATAGCCCAATCGTTATAATAGAGTTAAAATTGACTTGACTTCTTGTGGCAGTTACAAATGTTATTTTACAAGATTTCAATCTTAAAAAAAAAGATGTGAAACGATCGGTCATCACTGCATAAAGTCATATCTGTCTGAATAAGAAACAATTTACAGGATTATTTACAACTACAAAAAATTGATTTTTAAAAGTTTTTTCTCACCTTTTAGTTTTGTGAGCTGTTGCTTTATCAGTTTTCTGTCTGAAAATTCTTCTGTTTGATCACGGGCAGAAAACCAGGCAAATTCTTCCAGAGCTGCAAGTTCATCTCTAAATAATGTTTAGGCAATTTATTGGTTTTTCTTGGGTAATTCAAATATGTGATTGAAAAGTTCTGTTTAGCATTAACGAATAGGTTGACCCTCGAAAAAAAAGACTAAACCGGTATCAT